TGGTCCAATGTTTCGGCTGCCGTGCTTGGGAGATAGATCCGCACCACCAGATTAGCGCAGGTTGACTACGCACGGTGCGAAAGAAGTTCCACACAAACTCGCATACAGATCAAATTGAACCGGCGGTGACCTCTGTGCTTGAAGGACCACACGCAGTTCCATTAAACAATAAAGCTCAGCTCCTGGGGTCTGCAAAACAGGCAGTGAAAAAAAAGCATCTTAGATTTTACTGGGATTCTATTAACAGAGGGATACAATGTAACATGAAACATCTTTAACAGCATTTGTACTTGCTGACTTGGTGGGATACAAAAGAGGGTATATCCATGTTATTTATTAAGTATGTTGGTTTTTTGCAAATGGAGTTTTATCCCACTGTCAGGCCAGATTAAATCCCACAGAGTGTCAAGTTTTATTTTCTCACTTTTTTTATTCGCCGTTTTTTCTGAAATGCAAGCTCATTTCAAATTACATAGTCAATGATTTTCAAGTCACAGTCCCTTTTTTATCCACTGCTGGATTAAACACTGTCCCGATACTGTGCAGGTCATGAGGGCTGCTGGACCATAAAAAAAAATCCAGCGCGTCCCCGGGTCGACTCGACCAATACGGCAGTTCGTGCCTGGCGCGGCATTGTCAATGTCCCGTCGAGCTGGGGGATGAGCATTTGAACACAAATTTATTTTTTTATTGGCCAGGTTAGAAGGCCAACCGAGCTGTTTAGCTCTTTTTCAGACGTGACGTTGCTTGCGCAAATGATAGCTCAACGAGGTAGCTTATCACGTGGAAATGTATGGCAGCCAAATACTCTAGACGTGTGATGTTGATTCTAAACGTGGAGGTAAAAGATAAAAATCTACTCGGGTGAGAGAGAACATGCAAACTCCAAATATGCAGGCGTCAGGATCGGGATAGAAACCACGACCTCCTGTATACCAGGCGAGGTAATTAACATCCCGCCACCGTGGCGCCCGGTGGCGAGTGTTGCTGGCCCAGGACAATAAAATTAGCATTTATATAGTGTTCCTATGCGACCGCATCTCAAGATAGAGAGGCTGTCCAAGGTCTATATGCGAGCCTACAGATATTTGTACGAGACCGGTGTTCTCCGAGTCTGCAATCGGTGCGAGTCTGGATCGCTGCGGTGTGTCTCGGCGAGTCGTGTTCATGTACGTGGATGCATGGTGAACTTCTTTCCCACGTATGTAGCCGACCATGCCAATCGGTGGTGCAGCGGAAGGACAGCAGACTAAACACATTTGTCAATTTAACACGTAGGCTTTCGCGACCAATATTCATAATATAGGTTTTTGGGTCGGATCGCGTTATCTATAAATGTGTCGTAACCCTCCACCACCCGACACGGCCAAACAGTAAAATATGTGTCACGTTTTTCAAAGGACAAAATAATTCACTTCTTTAGCCCACCGGTGTGTTGAAGAGAGAATCAACAGCATTTTTAAATTTGAGTACGATGTTTCGCTGATAATGCCCGATGAAGCTGATTGTAATTATCAGCGAAACGTCGTACTACTGAAATTTAAAAAATGCTATTGATTTTTCTCTTCAGCACACCGGTGGGCTAAAGAAGTGAATTATTTTGTCCTTTGAAAAACGTGACACATTTTCTACTGTTTGGCCGTGTCGGGTGGTGGAGGGTTACGACACATTTATAAATAACGCGATGTGACCCAAAACCTCTATTATGTAAACACATTTGTGTAAGCAAGCTAAGTGTGAGCTCGCATCTCAAGACGCTTCGCGGACACGGCGAACATTTATTTGTTTTGTTGAACGAAAGAGGTCGGTCCCGTTGGTCGCAGGCAAATGGGAAGAGGAGGCACTTGAGCTTGGAAATGATGAGCAGGGCTTCCAAGAAGGTCCACGACATTCGGGACTGCGGCGGAGTCGACATCGGGACCTTAACGGATGCTCACAAATAGCGCAAACTAAATTTGGTTTCGTTTGCTGCAGCGTGCACAAGCGCTTGCCCGCTTCCATTTGTCGCCAAATGCGTACAGCTCTGAAACCAACATTCTCAGCTGTTATCCATAACAATGGCCATGCTTTATTTGGCAGCCGAGCCCTCATTGAATTCCAAGTTTTCCACGATCAAGACCCAGCGTCGTGTATTTGCGGTCTGGAAAAGCGTTGCTCGCGTGTGTGTGTGAGCGCGTTCGTGCACTCGAAGGCAAAAGTTGAGCGATACGGCGCATATTTATTCGCACTGTATCCCTAATGGGATTTCGTGCCGCTTGAGTAATGGGTTTTTTTTGCGTGTGCGTGTGCATATTCTCTAATTGCTTAATTGGAACGCAATGAGAATTCATGTTGTGCCTATCTGGCTGCAATAGCTTGCTGCGAATTGATTTCTTTCCTCAAGCATCGCAGGAGCTGGGTGTGTATGCTGTACCCTGTTGCGAGGGGAATGCGTCTTTGTTTTTGAACATTTATTAAAATGAGATCGCGAATATTGCAGATGCTTGCCCCACTGTATGTCTACTATGGCTTGAGGGCCATTTTTTAAAATATAACTTGCGTTTTAAGCCTTTAATGCAGTCCTTTTTTTATTAGAGCTGCTATATTTATACCCACTGGCAGGGGCAGTACTTGGATGGGCGAACACCAATGAAATAAAAAATGTTATAGGCTGCTTGCGGCATTACGTTGGTCAGCGGAGAGCAGTGCAGTGAAATCCATCCTTGCGCTTGTAAGTTGCTCCAACATTTCTGCTCGCCGCATTCCGCAACTCGCACTGCCCCCGCTGATCCTTGCACAACCTGGCCCCGTAAACCGTATAGCACCTGCTATGAGTACGTGGCCGATTGTTCGATCGAAAGCAACTGCTTGGCTTCCGAGGTCTAACGACGGGATCGGGCGATATTCAGAATCGTCAACTTTGTTTAAGCTAAAGCTATCAAACCAATTATTTTTTTATTACCAGGTAAGGTCCACTGAGCTGTATATTTTTCAGAAGCGACCTGACTCCCGCAAATGATAGCTCAACGAAGTGGCTTATCAGGTGGAAATTTATCGCAGCCAAATACTCCAAATGCATGTTGATTCTAAACGTGGAGAGAGAAACCAGAGGACCCGGAGAAAAATCCACATGACCCAGGTGGAGAGAGACACGCAAACTCCAATTATACAACAGGCGTCGGGGAACCTACGACCTCCCGTATACCAGGCAAGGTAGTTAACACTGTGGCGCGCGCCCCCTTACATTGGAGGAATGCGACGGGCTATCAAGCTCTATTTCTCGTGCAGATTTAAGAGTGGGGTACGATCGAACGCAAACGTACGGCCGGTCGGCGAGCAACCAAAGCAACTGGTGTTTACGGAAAGAGGTTCCCGGGCCGAACCGGGAGCGAGGTCACATTGGCGCAAAGGAGACATTTATGGATTCCCCCCCCCCTCTCTCTCCCCCCCCCCGAGGGGGGGAGAGAGAGGGGGGGCTCAGAAATAGCGTCAAGCAGAGCAGATGCGGAAAATTGGGTCAAGAAGGAGGCGGCGAACCGTGTATGGGTCCATCTCCTTCCTGTGTTGGAAGCTGCAACGGAGCATCAAGTCGGTCACCACCCCCCACCCCCACCCCCCCCAATGACTACGGTTGTTGCAAAACACTTAGACCATTGTGCCCGCTTGTGCTCTTCGGATTGTTATCGAGTTCCTGTAATAAAAAAAATTAATAAAAAATTACACAGCCATCGTGTAACGATATTAGTCACTGATCACAATCGAGATAATGAAACCAGCGGTCCGATACATCTGCCTCGTGGGCATTTTACGAATTCAAACAATATTTATTTGTGGCAAGAGATATATATGCAACTAGCGCGAAGTAACCGGCATTGCCCGGGCAAAAAATATATTTCAAAACCTTTCTTAAAAACCTTACATATACAATCACAGATACTAAGCTATTGTGAAAGGCCGGTGGGCTGTTTGTCCATTTCTCCACCAACAAAATTCTAAGAGGCTTGCAGAAGTCCAAAAAGTTATAGAAAGTGGAGGGTAAATGGTTGACATAAAAGGTTTCCAAAAATTGTCGACCCCCCCCCCTCTCAAAATATTTTTACCCCCGCGTAGGTATATATACCTACACACCCTACATGCAACAGAGTAAGTAGCATCTATCAAGGCTGGCAGCATCGGGGTTTTTTCCATCGGGTTTTTAATTGTTTTAATAAAACAATTGGCATGATGAATCCACTGCTGGATGAAGGCTTCGCCAAGCCCCCGTCATCTCTCGCATACCCTAAATGTAATTTTTGTACAATAAAACATTAAACTGTATGTGTTTACACACGTGCATGTGTGCGTATATGCATGTTAAACTTCTTTTGTACCATACGTAGCCAACCATGCTCATCAGAGGTGCGGACACAATACAATATAATGGGGAGAGGTAGTGTTGTGGTTGGCGTGCTGCGCTATGAACCCGGCAACCCGAGTTTGATTTCTACTCAAGGGCCAAAATCAGTGACAATTATCTGAACTGGTCCTGGGCCTCCCCGAGGTCGACTCAGCCTCAAATGAGTATCTGGTGCAATGTGTAAACATCACCACTGGGAAGACAAAGGCGGCCAAGTGTGGTGCTCGCCACATACTCCCTTGTGTCCTCCTGTACCAGCCTTCATAGGTGCTCGTTCACATCACTTGCCCGAACAGTTGTTGAAGGGTCTATGGGGACTCTTTGTATTTGTATACGTACAGGGGTCAGGCATGCATGTATAATTTGCACTATCATTTGTGGCCAGGTCGCTTCTGAAAAAGATCTCTGTAGCTCCGTGGGGCTTGCCTCGTAAAATAAAAAAGTGAATTAATCGGTAAGCGATTTCTGCACGCGTAATTCGTCGCGTGCGCGTAAGAAACTCCTTCTTGACGATCGACGGGATCCGTTGGATATTTTTTGCATGAACACGAGTTGCCACGTAAAATCCTATCGATGACACTTGTCCACGCTGCGTGTTCCCCTCTGGCCCCCGTCTGCCCCGCAGGTATTCCATCAAGGACCTCCTCAGCCACGCATTCTTCGCCGAAGACCCCGGCGTGCGGGTGGAGCTGGCAGAGGAAGACGACGGCATCAAGACGGTAACGGGCTGCGCTTCAACGGAAAACGCTGTTCGGAAATCGCCACTCGGGTCATTTGCTCCCGTAGCTTCCCCGTCTTGTTTGGCGTTGTGGCCGTCCGGAACGTTCTGCCTTTCCGATATTATTCTGGAGCCACTCGAGATGTGTGCGCTTTTAAATCTAGATTGAAAACTCATTTCTTTAGAACTGCTTTTCGTGTTCCGTTTGTCCTTTCCCCATACACCTCCGCCGCTGAGCACAGTTGGCATCGTATGGTGCGAAAGAAGTTCAACATACATGCAAGCGACATCCAAGGGACAAGGCTAGGCTACTTTCACCGCCACTGCCGCCAATGAATGCCTGATATAAAACTTGATTGGTAATAGTAATTTGAATTAATAACGTGTTCTTTGTATGAATGTAAGTGTTTTCAGTTCTGTCGGAAGACCCGCGTGTCGAGCAATTGACTCTGGGCGGCGCACCCTCCACATTTTAGAGATGGCAATTAATAATTTTCAATTTACAAACTGTTCTTTATAGCGGCATAACAATGCTTTGAATCGTGGATTAATATCGATTCTTAAGGTAATAATGCATGAATCTGAACGCACGTGTAAGAATACATGTACCACAAAATACGTCGTCACTTTATTATAAATAGCACTTCCTGATTTTGCGTCGCATCAACCTCCATGTCCGCCACATCGCTGACCGCATCGTCCATCTTTCTCGTATCCACCGCTTCTCAGCCTTTGCCACCTAACCCCGCAAATCGCTTCGATTGACGTCGCTTCGACATCCGGCGTCGCACCTCTTTCAGGAACGCACCCCCGGGTGTTGGTTGTAGGGGCGACCCACCCCCCCACCCCCCCACCACCTCGCACCTACGACCGAATTGGTTCCTGGATGACGGTCAGCGAGTGGAGCCGTTGTAAATCAAATCCTTGTCTCCCATAGGGCACAATGTTATACATAGGGGTTCCGTTCCTGGAAAGCCGTTACGTACCATAAAAGTACCAAAAATTGACCACGAAAATAAATGAAAATAACCCTAACAAACATGTATTGTAACTAAATATAACTTTTGACATTTGAAAATACTTAAGTACTTTTCTGCATGTGCATCACATTTCCTCTTCGCATACTGATGATAATGAAGGTGGTCAAAGCGGGGGTGGGGGGGGGTCATAAGTCGAGCCGTCGTAAGTCGGGTGTCGCCTAATAATAATAATAATGATCGCTCCCAATGTGCGAGTGACAATTTATTAACACCGCTTGACCCGAATGACAATTGGGAATGATTCTTCCCGATCGTGAGCAGGTGATGAATCTGTGGCTGCGAGTGGAGGACCCCAAGAAGCTGAAGGGGAAGCACATGGTGAACGAAGCCATCGAGTTCAGCTTCAACCTGGAGACGGACCTCCCGGAGCAAGTGGCGCAGGAGATGGTGAGGGCGGAGAGCGGTCGGGAGAGAGAGAGCGGGGTAGAGAGAGAGAGGGGGGGGGGGAGAGCGAGAGAGTGGGGGAGAGCGAGAGAGTGGGGGACAGAGAGAGAGAGACTACAGGAGAGAGAGAGAGGGCGAGAGAGAGAGAGAGAGCGGGGGAGAGAAATAGAGAGAGCGGGCGGGAGAGATAGAGAGAGCGGGCGAGAGAGATAGAGAGAGTGCGCGAGAGTATGGGAGAGAGTGTGCGGGAGAGAGAGAGTACAGGAGAGAGAGAGAGGGCGAGAGAGAGCGAGAGAGAGAGCGGGAGAGAGAGAGGGCGAGAGAGATAGAGAGAGCGAGAGTACGGGAGAGAGTGTGCGGGAGAGAGAGAGAGAGAGCGGTGGGGGGGGGAAGAGGCCCTTTGTTCAACACCTGGCCGGTCGCTCACTGCATCGCGGCACATTGCCTATGTACCGTGGGGGGGGACGGGACATAGTAAAGTGGTTATGAAGACAGCGGGAGGTCTGTCCCACTGTATTGGATGCCATGAGCGATTGACTTTACAGCTCAATCATACAGGAGGGAAAAAATAATGAAAAATAATTCCCGTCATTTATTTTTTGTCTCTCTCGGGCTATAATTTGGCACAAATTTGCAAGAAGATATTTTGTGGGTGTTTTAGCCCTTGCTGAGTTCCTTTTTTTAGCAGTCGGTGCTGGTTTTCTTTCTTGTTGTTGTAGCGACGAGTAACATTTCTTTTCTCTGGAATATGAGCAAGAAATAACAAGGCCATTTGACCCAATGCAAATTATAGTCGATTTGATGAATAGCGAACAATATTTTGCAGCCCTTTGTCAAAGCCACTGCTGCATGAAGGCCTCCCCAATGTCACGTCACTCGTGGGGGTCGTTGGACCGTACTCCGGCGGCAGTGCCGGTTTGTCCGGAATTGGTTCAAGTATCACTCGCCACGGTCGGGAGTTGAACACAGGTCGTTCATGTTCATGGTGTAGCCTGCCAACCGGTCATTCCACCGCTGTGCCGTTTAACCGCCGGTTTTTCCCCGTATCAGTTACATTATTAGTAAATTTACGATAAAAAGGTTTACTGACATAAAACAAAATTAATTACCACCACCAACAACATCTGAGAGGCAGGCTGTTGTAGATATTAGATATCAGGAAATTGAAGTTGTAATTAGGTTTGAAAGCAGAGGTTTAGCAGTACAGTGTATGAAGCGTGCTATTTGAACTCGAGCGCCAAAAATAACAAAGCGCACAATATGCACGTACATATGTTGAACTTCCTTCACATCGCATCGCCATCCCAGAGGGATTCCGAAATGGATCGCGGCATTCCATCACCAGAGCAAGGTTGTCACGAATAATAATTTAATAAATACAAAAGTCAAACTCAATTTTTTTTTATGTTATTCCAAATCTGCTCTTGGCGTTGTCAACTGGCATTGTCCTTTTTGGCTTTTTTACCCCCCCTCCCCCCCCCCAAACTTTATTGCAGTCGTGCTGCTGTTGTGACACCGTTGGTCATTACACTGCAGTGTCAGTTTGGAGCTCTGGCAGAGACGTGCAACATCGTGTTGGAGAACGGCCCGCAGAAGTGGCTTTCAAAGAGTTTGTTCTGAGACCATGTCACGTGACCTCTTTTATCCACCTTAGCGGTGGGGGAGCGGGGGAGGGGGGGTCGGCAGAGTCGACACTTTTTCCACTCACCCTGCCTAACATGAAATTCAAACTTAATCATTATTTTCATTCTCTCGCAGTCGGATTTCGCTAAATTGAAGAGAATGCGTACATTTTAAAGTGGCAATATTTCTTCCGCTGCACGTGTTGGTGTGTGCTCGGGACCCATCAACTCGCCAAGCTTGAAGCCCGGCTTTTAATCACAAGGTGGCTCAGACCTGGATTCGTACCCAGGGTCTGAGCGGTGTTGCTGGCTCTGTCCTCTGACACACAAGCCACCCAGTCGCTCCCTCGTGCCCCCCAGGTTCTCGCTTTAATTTCCCACCAGATTTACCAGCGCCCTGGGGGAAGGCAGATGAAGGATTTGGCCGCACTGACGTTTCCTCGTGTGTCCGTGTCATCCAGCAATCGCTCATACTTTGTTTGCATAGAATAATGATGTTAAGTAACAAATAAATTATATTTAGTTATTTATGAGCAAAACTACAACTATCAACTCGGTCGTGAGACAGCTTGTTTGGTCATTTGAGTTCAATGCAAATCAATAAGTTACTTAACCATTAATTTATTGATTTATGAACATACATGTGGCTTAAAAAAAAACTTACAGACGACTGTGCATGCATTCATCATAATCAGCCATGGCCCATCGACTGCTGGATGAAGGCAAGTGGTCGTCATACCTGTCACGTACCAACAATACATCCAACTCGTGTGCGTGAGCTGATTTCATCGTCCGCTCCAACGCTCCGGGGTGGACGGTGTTCTAGAGCTCGATTCCCTCCTTTGGCTAGTGCTCCGTCGTTGCTCTCAACCACCGGCCCCGTCGTCTCTCCTGGCGACAGCGTCCTGAACGGGGGTGGGCAGGGCCCCACGCAGAGGTCGCAAACGGGTTTTGATTCCATACCCGTACCCGTACCCGGCCGCACCAGGGTCGCAAACGGGTACCCGTACCCGGCCAGGTACGGGTAGCCGGGTATCGGGTAGGGTACGGGTATCGGGTACCCGGTTGCGACCTCTGGCCCCACGTCACTGTGCTCCGCGGTCAAAGTGAAGCGACGTCTCCAACCCACTCAAACACTCCGCCCCCGCCCCTCCCCCCTCCTCTCTCTGTCTCTCGATGTGAATTCCTCGCGTGCACCTTTCCAACTCTTCCTTGTGCACCCGTCATGCACTTTTCCTTCCCGTTTTCTTCATTGACAACTGCTTTTTGTGTTTACAGTCGAAGCCCTCCTCTTGACGACAGTAATTGGTTTACACGAATCCGGTCATTAATTGATTTGGTCTTTAAGCGAATATAGGCAATACATGTTAAAGGATTAATGTTTTCCGATACCATCGGAAGTTACTTTTTTTCACCCACAAAACGTACTTTATCATATTTAAACAATGGATATAAATACATACATATACTACCAATATTATAAACACATGTTAAAGGAAACATGGTTAATCAATGCATTGATTCATATTTACTGTCCATTGCCAGGGGAATGGTCGCTATGTGAGCACATTGGGCTCTATGGAGGCCCGTCGTTAAGCGATTAGTCGTGAACAGGGGTGGTCGTCAAGAGGGGTTCTACTGTACTTGTCCTTCCCCCGCACCTCCGATTCGTACGCTCGGTCTACGTACGGTGTGAAAGAAGTTCAACACACATGCATACATCAGCCTCTCTCCTTTGTCTCTCGCTCACACACACGCAGGTAAACCTGAGCTTCGTCCACGAGAGTGACGTGAAGATCGTCGCCAAGTCGATCCGCGATCGCGTCGTGCTCATCACTCGCCGGCGCGAGCAGCTGGGCGGCCGTGCCGACGAGACGATCCCGCAAACGTCCGAGGACGCCCAGCGCTTGGCAGCGATGGCGGCCGCCGCTGCATCCTTCGCCACCGGACAGCAAGTGCAGTCCACCTCCCAGCAGCAGCAACAACAGCAGCAGCAACAGCAGCAGCAGCAACAGCAGCAGCCAACGCAGTCGTTCGGCCAGCCCAGCTCCGCGGCCCAGCCGCAGATGCAGTCGGCGGGCCAACCTCAAATGCAGATCCAGCCGAGCTCTCAGATGCAGCAGCCGCAGCCGCAGCTTCAACCCCACCTCCAGCAAGCGCAGAACCAAGGTCAGGCGGCGCAGAGCCACGCGCAGGCTCTGCCGGCCGGCGTGACGGCGTCCCAGGCGCCGGCCGGCACGATGCAGGGCGAGTTGGGCGCGCACGCACAGGCGCAGCCTCCCGGGTCGCAGGTTGCCTCCGCGATGATGATGGCTCAGCAGCAGCAGCAGCTGGAGGGGGAGCAGCAGCAGAAGGAGGCAGGCACGATGGCAGCCGGTAAGGTTTTGCGAGTTTTGTCGCTCGTTAGCGGTGCAGGTGTAATGGCCCGTTGGTTAGGCGTGTCACCGATCTGTCGATTGAAATCGATTGTTTTGCATTCACGATGCACACATCGAATTGTGTGCACGCGCCAAGCGAATGTGCTTTCTAGGCAAACGGCGCCGACGAAACGGCGAGAAACAATACAAACGAGAGGGGTCAAATGAGACGAAAAGATAACATTCTTGATTCCCATAGTGACCGACCCCGCCCCCCCCCCCGCCCAAAATCGCGATAATTGCTCGCGTTGCTGGGCAGTATAAAACGTCGCTCGCCCGGTCGGAGCGCTCGTGAGTGGCGTTTGCCGGAAACGAGCAAAGGCATAGAGCGCATCGAGCGGCTAAAGAAACGGGACATGCGGCGAAAGCGCACGCAGCTTGGCAATCCGTCGGACGTTTGCGCCGGCAGGCGGTGCGCGACACTGCGAGCTCGCCGTCGTCGCTACGCGCTTGCCCGTGCCTGTCCCGACCCTGACGCCTGCTGTGTATTTGAAGTTTGTGGTGTCTCTCTCCCTGTGGTCGCAGGGATTTTTCTCCGGGTCCCTCCGGTTTTTCTCTCCACATTTAGAATCGACATCACGCGTTTGGAGTATTTGGCTGCTGTACATTTCCATGTGATAAGCCTGATGGTTGAATTGTCATTTGTGATAGCCAGGGCGCTTCTGAAAAAGAGCTGGTAAAATAAAATAAAAGGTTTCTAGTTTAATTTGTGATCGTCGGGACTGACCGTGTGTTTGTGTGCGTTTATTAGCAGATGCGGAGGGGGTGGCGGCGGCGGCGGCTGCGGCGGCGGCAGCTGCGGCAGGAGCGGCGTTGGCGACGATGCCCATTCCGACATACGCAGAGGTGGTGAGCGGAGGTGTTCCCTTGCCCACGACAAATGCACAAACGCAGCAGCAGCAGCAGGGGCATCCAGCAGAGGTACAGACAGCTCCCCCCTTCTTACCGCTATGCCTACAGCTAAAGTGAATTTGCATCGCGTTGAAACGTATAAATATCTACGCACTAAAAGACAATCAATTGAACAGAATGAACGGAAATGTTGACCTAAAGCTTTCGTGACTGCAGGAATTCATATTCTTTGGGTCTTACGCTAAAATCACGTAGATAGGTTCAAAGCAATTAACAAAAAACTACGACGTTTCGATCGCAACACAAGCGGTCGTCTTCAGGAAAAGGGGGGGGGAAAGAAGACGACCGCTTGTTTTGCGATCGAAATGTCGTAGTTTTTTGTTATTTGAACCGATCTACCGAAAGACCCAAAGAATATGAACGGAAACGTGATAAGATTATCGTCCCATCTCGTCCTATTGTCTGGCTGTGTGTGCCTCTGTCATCTGCTTCCTTTTAACACTCACACAGTTTACATATATTTCTTAATGTTTCCCCACTCTCTCTAAATCACTCTTCAAAATCTAGAGGCAACACTGGCCTGTTCTTTTTGTGTTTGGATTTCCACCCCTCTCTCCACACCAACCCTCCCCACCACCCACCATTCCGCAGAATGTCATGGTGGTGTCTGGTAAACATTTTACATAACGTCTAAAGCAGCCGTCTAAAGCAGCCTGGCTGGAAAATACTTTACTCCTGCCGCCATCATTATCATCATCAACAAACACGACTGCTGTTTTGTAAAATTGAAAAATCTGCAATCACGTAACGTTTTAGAGCACCGAAATTGGCTCTCTCTTCGGAGTAGGGACATCGGTGAAGAGGTTTCAACACTGCTGTCAGTGCAACATCTGAAATTTTATCTCAAGTTATCTCCGTTACACACGCGAAACATTCTTTATACCAGACACAAGCATCGTTGTATATATTTTTAAAGCGTGAGCTTTATTTAATTACAAATTTCCACAAAATCAACCTACAAGTTTGACCATTTGAAAAAGTTTTAGACGGTTGGAATGTTTCACATATGCAACGCATTACACACGCAGAGTAGTAGTAGTTGTAAAAATGATAATAAAAAATAATAATACAATGATACGCGACGTTAATGTCAGAATTATGATATCCGTGTCCTGCGGAATGCCTGCGTGGGAATTGAGTACGGTGTTTTGGACACTGTTGTTCCAATCGCTCTAGCAACGCCCCCGGCTGTACCGTGGGCAATGCCATGGATAACGACCAACTGCGCGCCACGTTCCTAACAAGTTCCTTGCTGAAATGCGAGGGAGAGCATAGCCAAGGGCAGCCTTTGGAAGCGTTTAGCCACTTCATACGAGAACAGGGTCCGACACTGCCGATGAGACGCTGTCATGTCGAAAACCGGTCCAGAGTTTGCTTGCACTGCTGAAATGATTCGCTCCCAGAAGGCTGTGGAGGGTTCGATGGATTGTGTAGTAGAAAAAAAAATCATGACATTTTCACTTGGAAAGATACATGGATGAAAAAGTACATTGGCTACTCATCTGCTTTGTTACTTAAATTCTCCACAACAACGCGATTTAATTATTGAGGTTTTTTTTTATCACGTAAATAAAAATAGAATGGGGATTTGTACAAAACACTTAATTCGGACGGGCGTACGTAAATGAATCAGCTGCACCCCCCCCCCTTCCCCCGGGATGAAACGGGCATAGAACAATGTGTGTTTGGAGGAGGCCGCCGCCCGCATGCCATGGGCGCTGATCAATCGGAATTTTGTTCAGCCGAGTCAGCAGTTTTGCTGCAAGGCAGGCAGGCAGGCAGGCAGGCAGGCAGGCAGGCAGGCAGGCAGGCAGGCAGGCAGGCAGGCAGGCAGGCAGGCAGGCAGGCAGGCAGGCAGGCAGGCAGGCAGGCAGGCAGGCAGGCAGGCAGGCAGGCGGATGAGTGCTGCGAGGGTTCGGCGAGTTGAAGACCTCCCGCAGCGGCGCGTGCGGAGAGCGAGAGAGAGAAGTCGAGAGAAGGAGAAACGCTTTGGCGCAAACCCGGAAAACCGCACTCGGCCGTGAAAAGCTGGCGCGTTCGATCCATCCCAGCAGCGCTCCCATTGTGCTTTTTGTTGTTGTTGTTGCTGCCGCAGTATGAGAAAGCAAGGCTGCGTTTTAGTTTCATCGTTTCGAAGTCTCTGGATTACATTATAGCCCCGGCGTCTGGCCACCGCCGATCCATCCCAGCAGCGCTCCCATTGTGCTTTTTGTTGTTGTTGTTGCTGCCGCAGTATGAGAAAGCAAGGCTGCGTTTTAGTTTCATCGTTTCGAAGTCTCTGGATTACATTATAGCCCCGGCGTCTGGCCACCGCCACCGGCCCTTTTTCTGGAAAGAGATTTGAGGACCGCCGTTTGTTGGGCAATCGCGTTCGCTCCGTATGGTGCGAAATAAGTTCAACGTACATAATAACAACACTGTTGCACAATGTCCAGCTCAGTAATGCTCTCTAGTTTCATGCGACGACGATAACGGTAAAAAAATATAGATGTTGGTATTACGCTTATTAATTGTATATTTTTAAAATAGATTTAGCATTGCCCCATTCTTTTGTAAATAGTATAGCAGATGAGCATGGGAACTGCTCAGCTGTTTTATTGGTCGGGTGGCAATTTCTTTTTTAAACATCGACCTTGCCCGCAAAAGCTCCATTCATTCATCGAAACTATTTGGAGCTGTTTGGACTTCCCTGGACAAAACATACATACGTGCAGATAAGCTGCTTGTATAACGCACGTGTTGAAAAAGCTGTTACAGCGGGCTCAAATCGCGTGGTGCTAGAAGTGCGAGTGGTGCCAAGAATATTCATTCAAGAATTTGGTTCGACACGTCCCGTCAGCTTGCCCCCTATGTCACGGCACACGGTGAACTGTCAAAGCCCAACAAAAAAACCATCATCACACCAGCACTGCCAGTCCACTGGCTCTCAGTACAATACCACATGGACTCCAAAATAGATGGGGGAGGGGGGGGGTTTCTTTTGGGTTAGATCGCGTAAATATCAATCTGCCGTTAAACCCGCCACCACCCGACGCAGCCAATTCGTATGTTTGTCACGTAGGCAAAAATGTGCGAAATGAGTTACTAGTTCGGCACACCGGTGCGTTGGGGAATAAACCCACAGCATTTATAAATCGAGTGCTGTGACATTTCGCCAGTAATTACAGCCTGCCTCATCAGGAGACAGCCAGAATTGTGGAGACCTCCTCCTGTTTCGGTCGTAAATAGACGGGGGATAAATGTGATGTCGTCACTGTAACCCCAAAAAAACACCTTATGGATATAATATTGGTCGTGAAAGCCTACGTGTGAAATGGATCACATCGACCGTAACATCTGCCTCTTAAAGATCTGCCATGGATTCAGCCTTGCCTACTTTCCTTCTCATCTCACTCTGCTTTCTCCGTACACTCGCCACCTCCTTCCCAACCCATCTCGCTCTGCTGCCCATCATGCAGCCCTGCTGCCTTTCCCCCCTCGTCTCCCTCTACTCCCCACTGCTCTCCACTCCAGCAACCAAGGTATTGTGTAAGAATTCTCAGTTAATTTTAATGGAAGGGTCACCCTCTCTCTGTCGCTGGTCCCACGGAATTCCTGCTTCCGGTAATCCACGTTGCTTAAGGCTCTTCTGCATCTGAGTGTGTGTGTGTCTTTCTCTATTAAGTATTTTTATAGACACACCACCACACCACCGTATATATTTTTTCCGAACTCAATTTAGTTTACTTGGGAAGCTCACAGCTGATGGAGCGAAATGAGGATGTTCGTCTTTGTGTGCGTTTATACGCCTCCGCACGCCCGTGCGTCAGACCTTGACGCTCGACCTGGCGGCACGGGGTGGGGGGGGGGGTCAAACGCGGCAGCGTTAATGGAAATGTTTGCGTGGTGCAAACAGCAGAAAAGCCGTTCAAGTTTAATTTAGTGGAAAATAGTAATGGACGGATGGTTAGTTAAGGTGGTCGGGGTGGCTGCGTGGGGTTTAAAACGATAAAGCTTTCTTGACAGATGTCCGAGTCTCCGAACGCCCCTTCCCACTGCTCGAGCAGATGAGGTTTTTGATAAGTGCGGTAATTACATTCCGTGGGCGGTGCCAATTTTGGGTGTCTTTACCCGCACACTCGAAACGGGGGTCTCGCTTCTTCACGGTTCGCCAACTCTCTCTGAAACATCCGACCGAACGTTTGAAACATTTCGCTTTAAAATGTAAGAGGCCTGAAATAATGGAATGACGTGGAGAGGGGGACCTATGAATGTCGGGTCTGGCAGGGGAATTCTAACCCGTCCGAGTATTGATGACCTTTTCCACGAGGTGCCTCTCAGAGTTCGGAGCGCACAGCTGGCACACGAATCCAGATTTCGGCCACCCGTGATTTAAAACCAAATTCTCAGGTGTGGTGAAAAGATGGTCTCGGTCCGTTTACCGATGACTGCTTGCACCAATCGCATTACGGGGGGGGGGGGGGGGGGGGATTCTGCACTTTTTTTGGCTAAATTCCAGCTCTGGGAATTAAAAACACCGGTCGGACTGTCATGAAATCGGCGAGCGTCACTTTGTGGAGGCGCTGCCCCGACCCCCCCCCCGCCCCCTACTGTGCAGAACGGAGGTCACTTGAAAGCGTCTCGAATATATCCTCTTCCATTGGCCACACTCTATTGTTGTGTATGTACGTTCAACTTCTTTCGCACCGTGCGTAGCCGAACGTGCTCATTGGAGGTGTGCTTGCTCTTCTTGTGAGACGTCTGAATGGACGGACGCTCGATCACGCGATGTGACGGTGACGGCGAGATCGGCATAACAATTTGGGGGGGGAGCGGGGGGAGCGCATCTGTTTGTTTAAGTACAAATAAATATATCGTAGTGTCTGGCTGTCTAGTTATCGCGAAAACAGAACAGTCTCCTACAACGCGTGTTTTCATAACGCGATTTGGATACGAGGTTATGAATGCATTAGGGAAAACAATTTTGTTTTTAAACGCTGGATGCAATTGGGATATGACGCGATTGAGTGAACGGAGCTCCGTCGCGCGAGGTAGGAATCAGCAGTCTACGGCTGCCTCGGTATAGTATCACACAAGGCGGGATGCTGCTGGATGCTTCTAGATGCTACCTCAGTCTTTGTTCGGCCTGTGTACGCATCTCGCCTGTTATCGCGACCTGTGCTTTACCCTACATTATATATTATTTATCATAACGCGGTGTTCAGGAACGCAACTGCCATCGCGTTATAGGAGAACAGACAGTGCTTGTTTTGTTAAGCCGAGGCGTGCCGTGGAAATACAAGGTCCCTCTTGTTGTGCAGGAGCGATTAGAGTACCTGTCGCAGGAAGCCGCTGTTGAGATTAAAGTTGAAACAATTGCAAGCAAACGCTCTCTCTCCATTTGACATGTGGGCACTGGGAATCGGCAGAGGGTGAGGACATCTGAACGGCATTAATAACCAGTTGCTCGTGGAGGTGACTGTAGCACATTTAAAAATAAATACGGCTATTAGATATTTATTTACTTTCTTTTATAGCTGCTTGACACCGGTTTTCTTGGCAGCACGCCTTGTGTTATCTTGACATGTTGCGACGGTGTATACTGAAATTCTACACTGGCGCCTCTCAAGCCTGTACAAAGTATCATCATGCCAATATTTTATTGCATCATGCGTGTTTTATTTTTATGAAGAAATAATCCCCCCCTTCCCCCTCCACGGAGATTGTACAGCGCATGTAAACGTGTAGGCAAACCTATTTTAGCCATTGCTGTTGTTATTATTAAGATGTGTCATGTTTTGTTTTAATCTATCAGATTGCTGGAGTGCTGCCACCCACCTCCACTTCCCAGCAGCCTTTGCAGCAACAACCGCAGCATTATCAAATGCCGCCTGCTGGCCCGACGGCTCAGTCAAGCCAGCTACCCCCTGGCTCATCCCAACAGGTGAGCGGTTGGCATTCGAACCAAACGCAACGTTTTTTGTGCATTGCCGTGGCTTGTAAAACAATGCGTGCACGCGCGGTTATATTGTGAAAACGCCTTCCGGGTACGTTGTGTGTGGTGTGCCACCGCTTGGCTCGACACTTGAACGGGGGTCGACTCGGGCTGTAAAATAAAACGTGTCCACGAGTCGAAAGGAAAAGCCTCGGTTGACGGGCGCAATCGCATTGGCTCAAGGAATTCTGCCCATCACCCTAACCGTGTATCCCGGAGGAATAATCATAACCTACAGTCTTTTGTCAATCTACTGCCAAATGAAGACCTCCCCCCCCCACCTCCCACATACACTGTGGCGGTCATCGGGGTTGGTTGACCGTGCTTGGTACCACGCTGGTCGATGCACATTGGTGAACGGAGCCACCACCCTACCACTGATCTCCAGTTGTGGCCAGGGAATTGAGCTTGGGTCACGGGGTTCACGGCACGGTGCGCAAACCGCTGTACCACCGCGGCACCCGCCTCCCAGAAGTGCCCAAGTCTGTGTCGAGTCTCCAATTAATCCACACGTGCAAATTACAAATTGCCCACCGCTCTGCAGAACGGTACACATTTTGTCCGTGCCCTACCCAACCGGCACAGATAACAAATAAATAGAGCTACCCTCTCATCCAATCCCGTTGGCTCGAATTGAGCGACGTTTTTTTTTTTATTATTCACGGCATATTGTCGGCCTGAGATTGGTGTGTCGAGCTATTAGCGGTGACGAGAGAGAGAGAGAGAGAGGTTTCTATTGTTTCTGTCTTCTGTCCATGGGCTGCTGCTGGTTTTGGCTGCTGATTTTCTGGCCGCTGGCTTTGGCCGCTGGTTCTCCTGTTAATTTGCCGGCGCCGGCTGTCTCGTCTGATGGGTTGGTTTGATTCTCGTTTGTTCCTCGTAGTTTGGCGGTTATTACTACACTCCTCCGTACCCTGTGCAGGTACACCATTTTTATTCCTCTTCGCATTTTTTGTTTCCTTACGCTCGCGATTTGAGTTTGCCTTTTTCGGTTTGGTTTGCGTTGCTTTTCTTTATTTGTTATAATCGCGGAATTGCTTTTTGCTTTTCGATAGCGTTGACTTGAACAACAAAATAATAATTGGCTTCGCCCGGTTTTGTTTATTCTTCAGTTCTCCTGCGGCACGTACCACGCCACAAAAACGTTTACGAAAGAAGCCACAGTTTTATCGCTTTCTATTCTGGAATCGATTAGCTTCCACTTAATTTTTGTAAGCATCGGTAAATATTTGAATTGAGATGCACTGTAATTACAAATATCCGTGACCACCCTGGATTTTTTCGTTTTTAATCTTAACACGTATTGTTAATAATTTATCATCGTGAAAACCTCGCATTCTAGATTACCCAAGTCGCGCGTGCATATTTGCGCACTCGTAATTGGTTTCTGAATTCGTTTGGCATTCAGACCCGTCTCGTGTTGTGTTTTACGATTAGGGTTAAAAATAGGAAATGCAAAAAAATCAAGGATGCGGGTAAGTGCCTGTTTGTGAATAATCATGATAAGATAAAACATACGCAACAACAATGCACAATGTCGTTATGTTCCCTTAACGCAGCTGAGAGATTTGAAAGAATCGCCCTCACACACACACACGTACCTATTAGCTACACACACACACGTATCCCTTGGCATCATTCGAAAGCACGGTGGTGTTAGGTGAATACATTTTACAACCACAACCATTCATAATATATATTTTTTTGGGTTAGATCGCGCAAATATAAATGTGTCGTTAAACCCGCCATCACCCGACGCAGCCAATTTTAGTAAGGTTTGTCAGCTAAACAGAACATGCCAATTCGTTACGGGTGCAGCACTCCGTTCCTTGAAACGCTCGTTTATTTTACGCGAGTAGCAAACTAAGACGAAGGAGCGGGCTCGCTGAGAAGCGTCCGCGCGCGTTGGGCTTGCCCACCGCGAGTCTCGGTCTCTGACTGCGCCGCGCCGGTGCTCTCCCGCAGGCCGCTGTCCCCGGCACGAGCAGCCACGCGCCCACCGCTCCCACGTCCGCGCAAGCGCCGCTGCCGCCGCCATCGTCCAGCCAGGCCCCCGCACAGCCGGCTCCGTCCCAGCAGGTGCAGGCCCGTGTCTGTGTGTCTGTGTGTGTCTTTGTAACTCGCGCGCCTGTGCGTGCTGGCCCTGCTGCGAGCGGAGGTTCGCGCATTCGGCACCTGCTCTGTCTGCTTGTCTGTGTCGCTTGCCACGTCTGCACCTTCAGCGTGACTGTCTTCTGAACATCCACCCTCAGCTAAACATCCATCCCTCATCAGAGACATCCATCCCTCATCAGAAACGGCCATCCCTCATCAGAGACATCCATCCCTCATCAGAGACATCTATCCCTCATCAGCTGAACATCCATCCCTCATCAGAAACATCCATCCCTCATCAGCTGAACATCCATCCCTCACCATCAGAAACATCCATCCCTCATCAGCTGAACATCCATCCCTCATCAGAAACATCCATCCCTCATCATCAGAACATCCATCCCTCATCAGCTGAACATCCATCCCTCATCAGAAACATCCATCCCTCATCATCAGAAACATCCATCCCTCATCATCAGAAACATCCATCCCTCATCAGCTGAACATCCATCCCTCATCAGCTGAACATCCATCCCTCATCAGAGACATCCATCCCTCATCAGAGACATCCATCCCTCATCATCAGAGACATCCATCCCTCATCAGAGACATCCATCCCTCATCAGCTGAAAATCCATCCCTCAATCCTCATTTGTAACTCCCCCATTCCTCCCACCGTATGTCTGACTCTCCATCTCTCCCCCACATCTGAATCTCCATCTCTGGTGCCGTGTCTGCACGTCCGCCCCCCCCCCCCCCCCCCCCCCCGTCCCTCCACAGCCTCCTTGCTTCAATGCCCCCTCTAAACGGCCGACGAGCACTTGCCTGTCGAGTTGCGTTAACCGCCGATTGTCACCGGCATTTTTTATTTATGAGCGCCGCCACGCCTGCATGACGGCACCGGATGTCGCTGCCTTTTACTTCTTCTTCTCTCTCATGGCTTATGTAGGGAAACTGTCAGAGATGTAGCCACGAAATTGTTGGATGTCGCCCGTTTACTGCCCCGTCACATCTCCCAATCGCTCCCGCTGCTATTAAAGCAATACTCACTTCATTGTATTGACGCATTTTTGAAATATATACCGCCGGGGGTGATGATCGTTAAAATAGTGTCTTACAAAAGCCTGTTGTTTCCGTGACCGCCTGCCCTGCCGCTGTGTAAGCATCGCGGATCAACGCGAGCGATTGTCGGTGGGACGGTGGGAAGACGCGTTTAGGCCCCCCTCCCCCTCCCGAAGACATTTTTTTTTTGCGAGATTTACCGAGAATGCCCGGCGACTTGAATTTCACCGTTGTCAGCTTAGCCGCGGCGAACCCGCTTGGCCTGTGCCAACACGCTCACGCGACAGCTGCCGCCGCGACGGGGTGTGTGACACCGCATGCCAGCGCCGACTGCAGAAAGGGCCGCAACCAATCTCGTGCGCGCGGACACCACTGCGATGCTTTACCGTGTCGGCACAGACGCAGCGGTAGCAGTCGTAACATAAAGAGGCGACGATGCAGCCGTGCAATCTCTTGCTCACGCCGCTGCTGGCAGGAGGGGGAGCCCTCCACTGGAGCGAACTGTTGGAAGTTGTTCGGTCTTCCCTTCCACTGTTCATGGGATTGTGTGTGGGAAGAGGCGGGCGTACGCCCGGTGTGCCCATCTATACTGCCGGGTGTTGTAACGATCACCGCGCCGGTTGGATTTCACCTTCCAGGAGCGGCAGTTGAAACGATGAGCGGTAGCCGGAGTAGTCGCCTGTTAATGATGACTGGGCCCAAGTGCTCATTGAGATGTCGTCATCATCAACAGCCGCGGTCGGTTCCGCCACCGCTGGATGAATGCTTCCCACTGCTCGTGTTCCTGTGCTGTAGCAAGCGGTCAATCTGTTGTCGCTCCATCTCTGCCGGTAGAAGCCTCACCATGGGGCATGTTTCATCCTTTGGGCAGCCACTCCATCGTTCGTCTCGACCAGCGGTCATCATCCCTTCGAACGACGGGCATGGCCCCCAATCAATCCCCTTTTAAATATATGAAATTGGACTTGAGATGGCGAGGATTTTTTTGTGAGAGAGACCTGGAGCAAAAGGACACGTGCAGATTCAGTGCAAGAGCCTTTGTCCTCCTTCGAATGATACTCGACTACAGTTATTGCACTGAAAATTATTACTAGCAAGGTTCACGTTCAACGTGAATTGTCATCGATCTCGGTCGGGACTTAATTCGACAATTGATTAGTTATTTGTTGTGCGTTACCTTACGTCATATTAGTTCTGTTTCGCTTGTTCCATGAGTGTGTCAGAATACACTTGATACAGTAAATTTAGCTATGACGCTCCCACCTGATGACGGAGACTTGTGTTGCCTCCGAAACGTCGTGATTTATTATTTTATTTCTATTATTATTTCTATTATTTTATAACTTTTTTTACCTACGTGACTTTACCGAAAAAACCTAAGATGTTGTCAGAATACAGTTTAATAGAGGAGTCGTTCAGTGCTCCGTGCCTAGCAAGAATGTCCTTTGCAATAAATGCGCACACGGTTGAACATTTTATCTCATAATTATTTTAACTTGAGAAGAATAATGAGATAAAATATAAACACATGGGCCGTCAGCTGCTGATACTGTGCAGTGTGTTTCTCCTACCTTTTGCTGACTTTCCTCTTCATATATTTTCATCGGAGCAACCTCGAGTCCATCTTGGTCTCCTGCTCAGAACATAAAGCCCTTCCCCCCACAATGCATTTGTCGAACCCGATCACAGTTCTCAAGTGTAGAGGGTTTCATGTTGTTTAGGAAAGGAGGGAGGGAGGGAGGGGGGGTCATGTTTGCAGACTCCCCAGAGTGTGAATCCTCTCGGCCCAGACAGAAAAAACTGGTCTATCCAGCGCACAGGAAAATGACCCCTCATTCGTGGCCCAGTTACCTTTTTGTTTTAATTCCAGGAACAGTTAGCGTTGTCGATCGACCGATCGATCGATCTTCATTTTACTGGCCAATGTCGCCCTCAATAAAGTAGTGCATCGGTGCACATTTACAGCGGAACGGTACCGGGGGACATTGAGCAAAAGGAACAAAAAGGAACCCGTCACGACTCCAGTGGCTTGCACTGACCTAAGCAGAGTAGATTGCAAACCGCGCGCGAAATGAAGTGCCGCCACCGGGCGCAACGAATGTCATAAGAAATGTGAGTATTAAATAACGTTAATAATATATAACGAGCAAAGAAAAAAACTAAAATTTCCCCCTTAATTTTTTTATATTTTACGGAAAGGCGAGTCTGTAGAGATGTGTCTTGGACAGACCACGGAATTGAATTGTGTCCCGAATGACAGCGTCATGGGGCGAGGGCACTGTGTCTACATGGAACTTGAAACGGCCCTCAAAGAAACCTTAATTGTAACAGCTCTATTGCTATATTCTTAGGTTTTTTCGGTAAAGTCACGTAGGTAAAAAATTAAAATTAATAAAAGTTAACTAAAAATAAAATAAAAGTCACGACGTTTCGGAGGCAACACAAGCTTCCGAAATGTTGTGATTCTTATTTTATTTTTATTTTACTTTTATTAATTTAAAATTTTTACCTACGTGACTTTACCGAAAAAACCTAAGAATATGAATCCTTGCAGTCACGAAAGCTTCAAATCTAGAATTAAGCTCTATTACTTTCGCAACCGGCATTATGAATCGCAAATTATTCGATTTTTGGGTGAAATCGTCGCATCGGTAACATGCCGATGTGTGGGGCCCGCATTATTGGGACTGTTGATGACATCACCAGAGGACATATTCACAATACTGGCAACCGCCTGATGAATCCGGCTGTAATCAGCGGTTAAACGTCCGCACCCAGTCGTTTAAATCTGCGTGGAGTACTCTAACACCAGTGTGCCGAAACTATAGTAACTTGGCGCGTTTGTTAATTCCGTGACAACTTCATTTATTTGGCTGCCGGTCGGTCGGGTGGAGGAGGGTGTACGACACGACGATGAAATTTTACTCGTACGGCGATCGGACCCAACAATCGTAATCCTTCACTCATCGTCGTTTTCGCAGGAGCTTTTATACATCGCATCTTACAGCGCGTGTGCAAATAAGAGCCCCGCGTTGAAGTATTTGTTGAATCTGTTTGGCAAGGGCTATCGGTTGTAGGAGGAAAGAAAACAAATAAAATACGTTCCACAAACAAGTGACGTGCACCACGAAGATGGAGTGATGAAATCGGCTCGTGCGCAGAAGCCGGATCGATTTGTTGCCATACTATGGCCCCCCGAGAGATGTCGAAGGCTTTGAGAGAAGCCTTTAGCCAGCAGTGGATAGAGAATGGTTGATGGTGAAAGTGATGTATGGTAACTACCGGCAAGAGCGTCGCAATGCTCCACAAATTGAATCGCAAAATATGAAATCGCTAATTGTTGAGTACAAATGTTTGCGGAACAGTTATCATCACGTTCAATATCCTGCTCAGGGCGAACACAACACCAAAAACGAAAAGCTCTTACCTTGAAGATGCTGAACTTGTAACGGTGCATCGATTGATCAAATTCAATCAATTGTTACTCTGTCCGTATGCGCGATGAGTTGTGCGCGTGAGAAATTGATTCTTATTGCGATGTTTGCCCGTTGCATGCGACGGGTTTCGCGTGACCCCTTGCTCGCGCTCGCGGCCGCTACATTTGACGCGATGGGGAGAAAATTGTGCAACCTGACCCCCACCCCCAAATCGCGGAAATTTATCGGGGCATCCTGGAAAAAAACCCAAACATGTATGACCCATCTGATGGCTTTAAAAGAGGTAACTGGACCATGAGTAAGTGCAGGAACCTTTTTCTGCACACCGGCTAAACCAGTTTTTCTGTCTCGGCTTAGGAGAGGGGCAGTATTCAAACATTGGCTCCTCCTAAACATTAAAAAAACCACCCTTGACACTCAAAAATTGTGATCGTTTTCTAAAACGCCTTGAGGGGGTGGGAGGGTGGGAGTGTGCGGCTTGTGAGTTCCGCGACACTGGCCGCTTGTGCCCAGGTTTCTCGGCTGCGATGAAGCTACCCGGCAATCACAGCCGTCTCTCCGGCGAGGAAAGCCGTCGCCGTCCCTACCGCCCGCCCCCCCGGTGTTTGCTCGCTGTCACGCTTTATTTAGCTCTCGCGTCAACTCGCGCGAGTAATGGAATCGGAAGCGTTTCAGCAAAGCCGCTGCCCCCCCCCCCCCCCCCCCCCGTAATGAATGCTCTTTAAAATGTAAAAAAAAATATAACTTGCCCACTTGCCGTCACGGCTTGCGGAATCGTCCACAAACCTGTGCGTTTGTGGACGACTGGGTGGACAATTTGGGCGGGTGCCTTGCTTCCATCGGTTGTTGGTTCCGCCGTGAATGAGTTATCCTGGTTTCTAAATGTTGCCGTTGCTTTGCTAAACGCATCAAGGCAGTTTACCGAGCCCATCGACACACGCCATGTGTTTGTTTTAAGCACTGTATTTCCCGCTTGCCAGCCAGTTACGTACTTAGTTGGCGAGCATTCAAAGGTACGTATGACGCGTGCAATGCCTGCGCATGCAAAGAAAGTTAGAGATACCGTTTTGACCCTTGGGAAAAGTTAGTGGTCTTTGGGGGGCGGGGGGGTGTTACGGCATGTCTAGAGAAGGGATGATGGCCGGCTAAAATGCACCCAAGAGGATGTCCTCCGTGGAGATGTAGAGGTGAAATCAGCTCGATGTTTATTGCTCCAACACAGAACTCTGAGAGGTTGTGACAGCTTGGGGGGGGGGAGGCCTTTACCCATCGGTGGATTGATCACGGCTCGCAATGATTGCCGAAGAGAGAGTTCCGAGGGTGCCTTGCCGTGAAGGGCGCTCTATCATATATAAATAATGATGATGGTGATAAACGATGCACGCCCCGGTGAGCGAACCAATACACATGAGACGGTAACAAGCACGGCAAAAAAAAATACGTATTCTGTAATTTTATCACGACCACAAGATCGGTATAATTTATAGACTCACTGGTGGCGGAGAATCATTGCTTACGTTAAGTCTTCTTAATGAGCCTACGACCAAATGGCCTAGAATGTGAATGGTCTCGTCAGTTCTCGGAAGCTAAGCAGAGTTGAGCCTTGATGTCGCTTGGGTGTGCGACTGCCACGCACAGGATGATCGGCAACCAAAATAACAAGAAGTGCCATTTTTCTTGAACGCGATAACAAAAAAAAATTCTTTCAAGAGCCGCCAATGCACGTGAATACGAGACGGCCGTCCTTCATACATAACGTCACGAAGCGGTCTACTTGACAGACCTGTTCTCCACCTGCAGACAGCTGCCTGCGTTCTGGCCGAAACGTCGTGAGAATTATTTTATTATGTTTTATTTTTATTATTTCATTATTTTCCTTCTACGTGACTTTACCGAAAGAACCAAGAAGACGGTCCTGAAAGAGCCGCATGCGGCTCCGGCAGACGCAGGTTGCCCGACCCCTGTGACCGTGCACAAGCAGGATGTCCTAGGCGCCAGCGGGCTTGTGGCAGGCTGTCGCCGGCAAAATGGGCGGTGCAGCAAAATCTACTGCTGCTGTGCCGCAAATCTATGCCCCCCCCCTCCTCCTCCCCCCCCCCCCCACCACGTCCTTACCAACGCGCGTCGACCAGCGTGGCATCGACGTATCGTCAGGGTAACGCCCGCGACTCCCGCGTGGCGTAAGGAAGGGCCCTCTTCCAGCAGTGGGTGAACAAAAAGGGCCGTACGTGTGCACGCTTGCAGTGGACGGCGGCTACTGCATCCCCAGCGTCTGCGGGCGAATGGGTGGTTCTCGCTCGCGGCGTTGTGCGTCTTAAGCCCAGAGCGTCAGCCGTTTCTGATGATGCAGCCGTTTCTGATGATGCAGTGGAGTAAAAAAAGCTCCCTCGATTTATTTTACACCCACAGGACGCGTCCCCTTCCGCATGGATTCCGTGCGGGAGAATTGTTTTTAATGCCTGCGTAGGGGACGTTGTTACCACGTTACCGATGACAAAACACGCAAATTTCACGCAAATTTCCAGCAGGAAACGATTGGCTTACAGACACTGCATTGACGTACGCTCGTGGACATGCGTTCTCCCTGTTTTGTGGCCTCGGTAACCTTTCTCGTGATTTTGGGGGGCAGGCAAAGGCAGCGGTGGGTGGAACCAGCGGTCTTGATTATAACTCCTTTACACCTTCATGCTTGAACAACTTACTAACAAATTTAACTCAAATAAATAATGCATTGCTTTTCTTCGCACGAATTTGCCGTTCGCTCTCCACTTGCTCACTTGAGCTCCATTCTCTGCGCCCCCCGCCCACTCTCTTCCGCTACCGAATCTTCCCTTTGTGGCTCCCCCCAACCCCCAGCTCCCCGCGCCGATTGCCCCCTGCGCTGGCGATGCTCTGCCCGCGACGCCCGCAACCGCCGGCGTCTTGCAAGGCGCCGTCGATGCGCTCGGCGTGCCGTACCTTCTTGTCGGCGTGCCGATGGCTCAGGGTGCCGTGCCGCCAGCAGGAGCCGTCGGCCAGCCCTACGCCGCCGCTGCCGTCGCCGCCGCTTTGCCTTCGCTGCCCTGTCCGCCGATGCAGACCTTCCCGCGCCTGGTTGCAGAACCCGGCCTAAACACCTCTGTGCCACCGCTTGCCTTGCAGGCGGAATACGCAGCAGCGACGCAAGCTCCGCTGCAGCCAAACACGATGACCTTGCCCGGCGCCACGTTTTACCAGGCTGGTGTGCAGCAACAGCAGCCGCAGCCGCAGCAGCAGCCGCAGCAGCCGCAGCAGCAGCACACAGCACCGGCAGCACCGCCAGGAGGACAGCTGTATTCCGTCGCGCCGGGCCAGCTGTCGTATACCACCACAGTGCAGCAAGCACCAGCGCAATATTCGTCGCAACAACAGCAGCAGCAGCCGCTAGGACCCGCCGTGCAGATGCAGATGCCTGTGCCGCAGATCCCGTCTGGGTTTAACGCGATGTCCCCCATGTCGGCGCAATCACAGCAGCCTCAGCCACCCTCGACCGCCGTCCAGCAGGCGATGACGCAGCAGCAGCAGCAGCAGCAACCACTAACGCAGCCAGGTGTGTATGTGCAGCAGCAACTGCAGCCGCAGCAGCAGCAGCAGCAGCAACTCCAGCCGCAGCAGCAGCCGCAGCAGCAGCAGCAGCAGCAACTCCAGCCGCAGCAGCAGCAGCTGCAGCAGCAACTGCAGCCACAGCAGCTGCAGCAACAGCAACTGCAGCAGCAACCGCAGCAGCCGCAGCAGCCGCAGCAGCCACAGCAACAGCAACTGCAGCAGCAACTGCAGCCGCAGCAGCCACAGCAGCAGCAACAGCATCCACAGCAGCAGCAACCACAGCAGCAGCATCCACAGCAGCAGCAACTGCACGCAACGCAGAATGGCATCGGCCACATCCCGGAGGCCGTGCCCCTGCCGCGGCAGGAGCTGCTGCAGAACTTCGGCACACAAGCGCCCTTCTCGCAGCAGCAGCCGCAGCCGCCGCCACCGGCGTCAACACCGCAGCAACCGGTGGCTCAGCAGCCGGCTCAGCAGCAGCCGGCGCAAGCGAACGGCGCCGTTCACGCGGCCAACGCCGCCGCCACCAACACGGCCGCCGTCGTCGCCACCTCCACCGTGCCGCCTCCCGGCACCGAGCGGATGGCGGTGCCGGCTCAGCCGCAGGCCTCGTTCACCACGACGGTGATGGCCCAGGCTCAATCGCAGTTGGTCAATCAGGGGTCGCTGGAGGTACGTGGAAGCTGGGTTTGTCTCTGTGGTCGTCGTCATTCTTGTGGTGCTGATGATGATGACTCGATTGTAAAGCTGACGTTTTTTTATCTGTACTTTTCAAATGGCGCGCGGATGGCCGTGTTAAACGCCTCGGATTTGTTGCTTGCGTTGGGCGACAACGGGAGTTCTCCGTGAATGATCGATAATGCACAGCTCAATCTACTCTTGAGGCCGTGATGGTCGTGGGGGGTAGATTGGCCTTACACTTTCACCGTGTCGGTGAACGGAGGGAACGGGAAGAGTTTGGATATCAATCGCCACTGATATAAATCGTGGCCAGAAACTAAACTCGGCTCGTTGGTTTCATCGCACAATGGCCTAATCACTGTGCCACCACTCCCCCCTTCCTATTGCACATTGCAGAGCAATGAAACCCAATCGTGGTCCATGCTTCGATAACAACATTGGGAGGCTTAACCCCCACCCTCCACATAAGGGGAGTTTCTGCCGATCGCGTTTTCCCGTCAAAAACAACGTCCATCGGATGGGGGCGCCTTTGATGTCACGCGGTGGTTTGAACCGTGCGTGCGTTTACGTCTGCTACATGCGCGCCTAGTCGGCGCAGCTCGCCCCGATGTGTTTAACGCTTGAATGGACGCTTTCTTCGCAGTACGTTGGCGCGAGCACACACGCCGACTACGTCGCCCATCAGACTCCGTACATGTTCTCGTCGGTGGAGGGGTAAGACGCCTTCGTGAAAAGTGACGGGTTTTTTCTTATTTTTTTACCCGAGCGGAATGAAATGAAAGCAAGCCCTTATTTTCAGGGTGTCACACAGCGGCCACCGCTCAGAACCCAGGAATGCATTGCTGCCCTCTCCCTGCACTGTCCCCTGTCTGCCAGACAGCCTTGAAATTCCTTTTTGAAAAAGAATTCGAGTTTGGCTCCCCTTTTGCAGCGCGACCGCTGCCAGGCTGCTGTGCGAAAAGGAGGATGGCATGGGGGAAGGGGGGGGGGGGCTGCAGGCATTCGGCGGTACGCACGTGCGTGCGCATGGTGCCGCCCGTCCACCGCGTGCTTTGTTGCGCTCTCGCCGACACCGGCGGCCTTGCCAAGCTCGGTTAATTTGTCGCGAAAAATAATATTAAAGCGGTGTTACTGCCGCCCATTAGCGAAAGTGGTTTCGGGTAATTGAGCAACCCGCAGAGATGTTGCCAGCAGTGCGAACCGCTCGAAAGGCTGCGCTCGTTTTACTTTGCATCACGGTTGCCAAGCGTAGGCCCATGGTCCCAGTTGGCCACCGACAAACAAGAGCGCTGTTAAAGTTGTAATGTATCTGAGAAGGTTATAAGAACTTGGAGGAAAAATGGACGATTGGAAAGGAGTTACAAAGGCGAGCAGTTTGTGGGAAGAAGCGGAGAGAGAGAGAGAGAGAGAGGTGTTGTGAACGAGTGGGTGAGTGTTTGTGTGGTTGCGACGTGCAAGTGCGCTGGTCAACGAGTGGGTGAGTGAATGTGTAGTTGCGATGTGCAAGTGTGGAGGTGAACGAGTGGGTGAGTGAATGTGTAGTTGCGATGTGCAAGTGTGGAGGTGAACAAGTGGGTGAGTGAATGTGTAGTTGCGATGTGCAAGTGCGGAGGTGAACGAGTGGGTGAGTGAATGTGTAGTTGCGATGTGCAAGTGTGGAGGTGAACAAGTGGGTGAGTGAATGTGTAGTTGCGATGTGCAAGTGCGGAGGTGAACGAGTGGGTGAGTGTGTGTGTAGTTGCGACGTGCAATTGCGGTGGTGGTTGAACACAGCGTGGATGAGACAAAAGCGGTAAGCCTGGTAGACCAAGTCATCATGGGTGGATGAATCGGTGAGTGAGCTTCATAGGAACAGTCACCATGGCAGTAACAATAGGAGAGTGATGAGGAGGAGGAGGAGGCGACTGACTGACCTTAAGTGAGCGAGTGACTTGACTGGTGACATTGGGGGGGGGGGGGGGTGCCAATTGCCCGCATCGCTCGTAATCCTGGCAAGATTTTTATCCCTGGATGTGGGAGCACGTGGGTCATTTCAGGACTGCTGCCACATGCCGCTGCCATGCGGTGTCGTTTTCAGACACAGCGGGAACATTTGATCTTCGAATGAAAATTAAGCCTGTGCGTGTGTGTTTGCGCGTGTGCGTGTGTGTGAAGAGTGGTAGTGTAGCGGTTAGCTACGAACCTGGTGACCCAAGTAAAATTCTCGCTCAAGGCTAACACCAGTGACGATTATCTGAACCGGTCCTGGGCCTCCCCTAGGTCGACTCAGCCTCACATGTTTACCGGTGTGTAAAACATGAGTACTGGGGAGACAAAGACGGCCGGGCGTGGTGCTGGCCACCCACCTCCTCGTGTGCCGTACCGGCCTTTCATAAGGTGCTCGCTAACAGCACTTGCCCCAAGATTATGTTAAGGCTATACGGGAGATCTTTGTCTTTGTGTGCACGTGGGGGGGGGATGGGGAGCGGCAGCACGGTGGCTCAAGCGCCCTAGCCGTGAATTTGGCAACCCGAGCTTCGCTTTCGATCCGTGCGACTGTGAGTGACATCTGATCCCATCCTGCCCCTCTCCATCCCCCGCTTCAATGGGTCGACTCGGCCAATTAGCAAATTAATTTGTCCAAAAATATTACGTTCGAGGTCAGTTTGATGACATTAACTATTTGGTGTTGGGCATTCTGGCAATGTGGGTTGCCTTCTCCTCAAGGCATTGATGAAAGTAAGGGCAGTTTTACCGTATTCATCATTGCTTGTGCGCTTGTCACCAGCAATGCATTTACTTTGTGAAACTATGACGGCTTTGTTTGGCAATGGCATTTTGGCAGTTCTGTCTGGCCGATGAAGACATAATTTGTCTCGGACGTGTCTCAACTCCATTCCTCGTAACCTCCCCGCTCACCACGTCTTTGTGACCATCAGTTTATTCCTGTCATTTTTTGTATGCGTAAGCAAATTAAGCCACAGCACACCGCATGCATGCGATGGTTGGTAATCCCCCCATAAAGCTGTGCCGTGTGGAGCCCCGAGGACTAGAAATTGAGAAACACTGGTCAACAGAACACACAACTTGGTCATGTGATCTCTCTCTCTCTGGGTGATCTGATTGGAAGTTGACATCCAAGTTGCATATTAAAAGTGTGCACCGGTCAGATTTTTCCAGATAGGGGGCAACTAAATTTGCATTAGTTAGGGCGCCATGGTGGTGAGATGTTAACTACCTCACTTGGTACGCAGGAGGGCGTGGGTTCTATCCCGACCCTGACGCCTGCTGTATATTTGGAGTTTGCGTGTTTCTGTCCCCGTGGTTAACTGTGTAATTTCTTCGGGTCCTCCGCTTTTTTCCCTCCACATTTAGAATCAACATCACGCGTTTAGAGTGTTTGGCTGCTATATATTTGTACACGACAAGCCGACTTCGTTGAGCTATCATTTGTGGCCAGGTCGCTTCTGAAAAAGAGCTGTATAGCTCAGTGGGCCTTGCCTGGGTAAAATAAAAAAAGTTTTCTTTCTAATGCCAGAAACGATTTGCTTAAATTCACGTGAACGCACGCCCTCCTGCCTTGCGTTCCTTCCCTCTCCATCCCTCTCAATCTCTCCCCATCCCTTTCAATCCCTCCCCATTCCTCCGACGCTGCGCCGGTGACATCGGCAGCACTCTGTCGGACCCGCAGTCGGGCAAGGAGATGAGCGACGGCAACGAGGGCCCGGCCACCACGACGGCGACGGCGCGGGGCCACAAGGGGCGGCCCACGCAGCGGCAGTCGCGCAAGAACGTGCGCAGCAACTCGCGCCACGAGAAGGGCAGGCCCAAGCTGCAGATCCTCAACGTACGTACGACACGCGTCGATGAGTGCGACGACAAGATAGGAATTGCGACTCTATTGGCCTCTCCCCGGGCAATAGTAACGGGAGGTGGTTTTTAAATCCTTTATATTAAGTTCGCTTGCTTGCTTGCTTGCGCGCTTACGACCGTGCAAATCTTTCGGTCGTTTTTTAACCCTCTTCCCGTGATCCAATCGAGCTGACATTTTGCGCACAGACTCGTTGTGCGTGACAATTTATTTTCGTGAAATTTTTTTTCCAAAATGTTACACTTTTTAGGAAAAAATAAATTATATTTAATTACCAATTGCTTAATAGTGGCAGGCAATCATCTGACCCATAGGTGACAGCCATCTCAAGCCAGAGGACGAGAGGACTCTAGCCGCCACGCATATAATGGATTTATAGTGAAAAACTTTGTTTTTACGGGTTAATTTTTAAGGTGTGTTCCAACGCCTGTTGTTGCAAGGGCGCAAGTCTGCGTGAATCGCGCACATCATGCTTGTGGTTCAACGTACAAACGCGACCATGCTTTGGTCGCAATTTTCGCATCGTCTTTGAAACTGATTGGCCTACACCAGACGGGGCCTCCTTTGATGGCCTTATCTCTGCCACCGGTGTTAGACCGGAGGACAACGCCAAATGGCGAACGACACAAAGGCAAGGTATTAATAGCTCGTGTCAAGCAGTTTTATCTACAGGATGCATCTCAACACCTCCTGAATTTTTGCCGGAAAGGGTAAAGCCTATACATTTTTTCACAATTTTGATACCGGCAAAAAGGGGTCCCATAGGTACGTCACCACCGCGTGTTGTTCGACATCATCATCCAACTCTCCTCCTCTATCCGATAGCCCGCCCTCTCCACATCATAAATCAAAGTAAAGGTTTTTACACAACCCATTGTCCCCACGGACTGCTGGGAAGTGCCCCAAGGCCTTCAGTACACGCAAACCCTGGCCCTGGTCCGGTTTCGACATACATTGTCTTTTCAGAAGAGTCAGATTTACCATCTGTTCTCCTATAACGCGTCTTGTTTTCATCACGCAAATTGGATATAACGCGATCGAGTGAACGGAACAACGTCGCGCGAGTAGCAATAAGCGGTTGTACGGCTGCGTCGGCGTAGCATCACACAAGGCACTGGGATGCTGCTGGATGCGTCTAGATGCTACCCACGCGCCTCAGTCTTTGTTCAGTCTGCGTACGCACCTCACGTGTTATCACAGATTGTGCTTTACCCTCCATTGTGTATTATTTATGATAACGCGATATATTCATAACATGGTGCTCTTCAGGAACGCAACTGCCGCGTTATGGAACAAACTGTACCTATCAACGATAATACATCGGCCAAGCCCCCTTTCATTAAAACAGTGTCTCTGTCCTGCGTATCAGCGACTTTGGTGCAGGAAAATTACAGTGTTGAATTTAAGATTTTTATCTTGTTTTTTCGCAGCTTCCTCGGGGCAAAATGTAAGAGAGAGAGAGAGATATAGCCGTGGTGGCCATTGGTAGAGCGGAATCCATTTGTAGGATTCTTGTTATTGCGTGTTAAGGTGGTGCTGGTGCTTTTTCCTTGGCTCGCTCTTAGACTGTTGGAATTTCTTTCCGTAGTAATGTCTGCCACCTTCTGGCAAAAAAATATAACATGCCTCTCGTGCAATGGAGTCCCTCGCAAAGCAAGTCTGAGTAACATCTATGGCACAAATTGATCGTTACCGCCGTTGTTGAAGAATGTAACAAAGCAGACGAGAAGACCTTGCATCTCCTTCATATGTCTGTCTCTGCACGTAAAAAAGTCAAATGAAATGAAGTCTATTTGATATAAGCTAGCGATTGAGGGAGACATCGCCCGTCTTGATGCGCAAACTCCAGCGAATTGCGCACTTCGGTTCGCGGCCGACGTTCGAAGTGGGCTGCAACCCTCAAAGGAATGGCGCTGGTTGCCCCCCCCCCCCCCCCCCCCCGTAATAATCATCGCAACGAACAAATGACTCGATACACCGGTGTATGGCAGCCAAGAGCAGTTTGTGCGAATGCTGTTGCAAGAGGTCACATGTTTGGCGCAACGTTCTTTCGCTGACTACGCGCGATGAATGTATGAATCTGCCCCCCATGTCTGAAGACGTATTACGTCTTAGACAAATGTGTGATTGCAACGTGAATCGAAATTGGTTTGGACATTGGTATAAGGTCGCGGTGCGTGACGACGAATTACACTTCACAGTGTGGTGGTTGTTTGTTGCTGTTTTTTTTGGTGGGCGCCGTGTGTGACTGGCAGGTGTCCAGGCGAGGCGACAAGGAGGTGGAGTGTCAGCTGGAGACGCACAACAAGAAGAAGGTCACCTTCAAGTTCTGCCTGGACGCAGACAACCCCGAGGACATCGCCAAGTACATGGTGAGTCTCGTGCATGTGTGCGCGCGCGGATGCGTGCGTGCGTGGCAAGCGGCGGGAGTGGAACGTTGGGGAAAAAATTTCCGCCGTTGGCGATCACGTGGGAACGGAGTCGCGCTGAGCCCTCGACGAGTGAGGAGCAGCAGCTGAGTAATTAATTTGACCTGAGCTATCACCAATGATAGCTTCACGATCGTGTGGAAATTTACAGCAGCCAATTAAATCAAAATGCGTGATGTTGATTCTAAATGTGGAGGGAAAGAACAGGAGGACCCGGAGAAAAATCCACGTGACCACGCGGAAAGAGAACATGCAAACGCCAACTATACAGGCGTCAGGGTCGGGATCGAGCCTACGACCTCCTGTATACCATGCGAGGTAGTTAACATCTCGCCACCGCGGCTCTCTTCCGTGTTGCGCCGCGTGCAGAGCGTTTCTCCTTTCAGGCTTTCGCCAGCCGCTACAGCGGGCAACTTCTTCGGGGAGCTGTGAGCAAACATTACAAGCGGCCGCTGAATGAAAGACAAAAGACGAAAAAAAGGGAAACCAAAGCGGCGGGCAAAAACGTGGGTGACGAATCGTGAACGCATTTAAATTCAATGTCCTCTGTCATCAGGTGGAGAACGACTTCATCCTGGTGTCGGAGCAGCGCACGTTCGTGGAGCAGATGCGCGACGTGTGCGACAAGGCGGAGGAGCTGCTGAGCGAGGAGGGAGAGGAAATGGGCCCCGAAGACGCCGGGGTAACGGCCCGAGACGACGCATTGCGAGCCGCTGGCGCCATCGCCGCCGCTTCTGATGGCGCCGCTGGCTCCGTGCAGGTGTCGCAACGCCTTTCTCACTCGCTCCCCCCACTCCGCCGCCCTGAGCCCCGCGCGCGACCCCCCTTCTCCTGCCGCGAGCAGCGTGCCCTAAGATCGTTGGATGGCTGCAGACGGGCATTGAATGGTGCGCAAATGAATCGATTTCGAATCGATTTGTGCGTGCGTTTTGTAGGGGGGCACGACGATTGTAGACCGATGCAAATTTGCAAGTAAATGATGAGCTGAAAGAAGGTCGTACGTATGTTACGTATGTTGAACTTCTTTTGCACCGTACGTAGCCCACCGTGATAATCGGAGGTGAATTGCAAAGCTGGACTGTGTCAGAAATGAAGAGATGGGCAAGAAGGCAGGAGTGGTTGGGGTGCTCGTTTCAGACAAAATGAAAGAAAAGTTACATTTTGATTTAAAGCTTTCATGACTGCAGGGATTCATATTCTTTGTTCTTTCGGTAAAGTCACGTAGAAGGGAAATGATAAAATATAAAACAATAAAAATTCTCACGACGTTTCGACTGCAACACAAGCAATCACACACCTGATGATGATTGCTTCGACTGCAACACAAGCAATCACACACCTGATGATGATTGCTTGTGTTGCAGTCGAAACGTCGTGAGAATTTGTATTGTTTTATATTTTTATTATTGTATTATTTCCCTTCTACGTGACTTTACCGAAAGAACCAAGAATATGAAAGAAAAGTAAACTCGCATGGCTAGGATGTGTCGTGAAAAGAGAGACACTCCACATCGGAAGGAGGACGATGGAAGGCACCAGGCGAGGTAGTCATGGGCAGGCCTAGACAGAGGTGTGGTTCAAAGGGTGTCAACTTGGGTGTGAAGGACTACGGAGTGGATGTGGAGGTGACACAGGACAGGGATGTGGTGGAGAAAGGGGGGGGGACCGGCAAGGCGGCACCACCCCTCGCCCCCCACACGAGTGGGGAACTGTGCCACAAAGAAGAAGCTGTGAAAAACGCTACGCTCGTACATTCGAGATATAATGGAGCGAACAAACGTGCAGCTGGTAGAGGGGGAAAAAAGCAACAGTACAAATTAGATCATTGGCGTCATCTGGTCCAACACCATGTGAGACTAGGCTCTTAGAAAAGCTGTCTCGGGTATGGACCAATCAATTTCAAGGACAGTGCGTACATTATCAGAGTTGTGTTTTTTGTTTGCATTCCGACCGCAGGTATTGTGGTCAATGCAAACATGACTCCTTGTAAAAAAAAAGGTGTCAGTTTTGTTGCCAGATAAAAGGGTAAAAAAACTATTATCATATTTTTCTCCTGGCAAAGGAGGTTCCAATGGTACAAATTAGATGGTAAAATCATAAGAACAAAATAAGTTTTTTTTATTTTTAAGCATATCTCATGGAATCGCCAGTGGGAACATGGGGCGGAGGAGGGTAATTTGTCACACCCCTTGTGACGTGAAAATTAAAGAATGAATTTGGTGAAGAAAAGAGCGAATACGTGAATGAGTGGGTGGATTAACGCGTGCCGTTGCTTTGTGTCCCGCAGGGTCCGACGGTGCAGTCTAACGAGCAGCAGGATACGAACTCCTCTGCCACCCCGACGAGCAGTGAGTGCCGCTTGGACACGGCCGCGTGTTGGCGCTCATCACAGTTCCGGAGTTCGCACTCCAGAGTTAGCACTCGCCATCAATAGTTCCAGCATTTATCCGAACACAGAGAGCTCCAGGCTACTAACGTACACAACAATGATTTTTTTTTCTCTCTCTCTCTCTGTCTCTCCGTCCCAGGTCCGGAGTCGGACGGTGCTCCACCGGCCGTCACGATGGTGCAGTCCGGCCGGATGCGCTTCTTCGTGAGCCCCGTGGTGGACACGGAGCCCCTGGACAAGGGGGCGTCACCGCCATCGCAAGGTAGAGAGGAGGCCGAGCTGCCCCCTCGCCATAAATTGACGCCATAAATCGTCACAACCCAAAGAGAAAAATGTGTTCGCTCCTTTCTTGTGGACGTGCGCCGAGGGTGAATGCCCAGGGGCTGTCCGGCATGTTTGTACGTCTGTGGAACTTGCGCACCGTACGTAGCCAAGCGTGTTAATCGGAGGTGCGGGGTAAGGGCAGCAAACTACAAACACAAAAAGCAGTTCTAAAGGAGTGTTCAATCGTGATCATTTAAAAGTGCATCATAGCTCCCAGTGGCTTCCTAATATCGAAAGGAAGAGCGTTCCAGACGGCCACAGAAGCGCATCTAAACAGGCGCGGTGCAGTGACCACCGTCTTTGTTCGATGGTTAGCCACGAAATAGTTTTCTCAATTTATAGATTTAAAAGTTTGAAGGTTTCTAAATTACGCTGCAGAAGGACTTGAAATTGACATTCTTGCGAGTTCTGGTAATGTCACTGCCAGCATGTCCTACTGGACATAAAAGAGCTCCATAACTCATGGTATTCCTGCAGTCTGAATAAAGATTACACGATTCACCCCGTTAAATGCAGGACACACGTTTTATCCGCTCGCGATCTTTTGGCTACTCACTGGAGTTGTGGTTCTGAACCGGGGGTGCGTGGACCCCTGGGAGGTACGTGGCAATGGTCCCAGGGGGTATGTGTAGGTGATTTGTAAATATGTTAAATTATATCATATGAGAGTCATTGGTGAATAATCATGTATGAATCTGCCAATATAAAATAACTACGATAAATTAGAATCCACCTGGTAACCTAGAACGATATAGAATTACTTTCTAAACTCATTGATTGTAAACAACGCGGTTTCCAAGAGTAACCAGCGAGCCCGAACACATTACGTCACGCGTACAGAGCGTGCAGTTACTCTCTAGTAAGGACACCTTACAAAATTAACAATTGGTTAAAATATTGATGTTCATTATTCATACGTTTATTTCTCAGAACCATTTTGGGTCAAAATTTAACAAGGGGGGAGGTACAGCAGAGGTCGCAATCGGGTACCCGATACCCGTACCCTACCCGATACCCGGCTACCCGTACCCAGCCGGGTACGGGTACGGGTACCCGTTTGCGACCCTGGTGCGGCCGGGTACGGGTAGGCCGTGAGTCACTGGTGAGTCACTGTTTGTCACTCATTTCCCAACGTCTTGTCTCTTCTCACAATTCAAGTTCCTAGAATCAACCCACCCGTGCCTGCAACATGGCTTCATCCCAGAGGTCGTAATCGGGTACCCTTACCCTACCCGCTACCCGGCCGGGTACGGGTAGCCGGGTACGGGTACGGGTACCCGTTTGCGACCCTGGTGCGGCCGGGTACGGGTACGGGAAAAGGAATCAAAACCCGTTTGCGACCTCTGAGGTACAGTCGTAGCCTAAAAAGGTTGAGAACCACTGCTGTAGAAGAAAGTTGCCACTTGCGTCTCCATTTGAGATGAGAGATGGCAACGGCTTTCGAGAGAGTCTCCCTGATGTTGACGACCTTCTTTTGGCGTGCGTTTGACCGCGCCGCGACAGACGTGGACTCGGAGCAGTGCAGCGGCCTCTCCTACTCCACCTCGGCCATCGACCTCAAGCTGGCGTTCGACAACATGCGCCAGATGTCGCAGAGCCTGTCCGAGATCCGCGACGGCATCAGCACGGCGCCGCCCTCCTACGTGCAGCCCGGGCCGCCCCTCCCCTCCGCGCCACCGGACGTGCCGGGCAGTGCCGCCGCCACCGCCGGCGGCGGCTTGGGCGTGCCGGAGACCATGCCCGTCACTACCCCCGTTCCCGCTGCCCCGGAACCTTGGCCGGATCTGTCGCGTTCGCCGATTGTCGTCTCGTCGTCGGAGCCGTCGGTCGTTCCGCCGGTGCCGCTTGTGCCGATTCTCGCCCCGGCTCCTGGCGTGCCTCTGCCGACGGCTGCGCTCACGGCCGCCCTTGCGCCGCCGGGTGTCCTCGACGTTCCGACGCCGTTGTCCACGGCCCCGCTGCCGACGTCCACCGTGATGTTCCACGCTATCGCCGGCCCCATTACGGTCGCCCCGTTGACCGTTCCGGGCGTTTCCTTCCCGCCGGCCGCAGCTGCGATCGCTCCCCCCGCTGCTGTCGTCGTCGTCCCCGCGTCCACGGAATCCACGGCTCTCCCGGTCCCTCTGCCCGCACCGACGACCGTCGCTGCCCCGCCGATCACGGTGCCGCCCGCGGAAGCCGCTTACCTCCCTGACCCGGTCGCCGTTCTTGCCGAGGCGACGCCGCCTCCGCTCGTGCCAGATTTTCCGGTCGCGCCGCTCGACCCGTCGGCGGCGGCTGCGGCGGCTGCCGTCGCCCAGGTCGTTGTTTCGCAGCCGGCGGTCATTCCGGACGCGCAGCTGGGCAACTTCGGCACCACCACGCCTCCTACAGTGATGCCGCACCCTGAACCGACGGTCAACAACGAAGCCCTTCAGGCGCAGGCCGCACCCGTAACAGTTTCCGCTCCCGCGCCCGTGCCCGCACAAGCACCCGTAACCGGCACGGCCATCCCATACGAGCAGTTGCCCCAGGCTTATGCCGGTGCCCAGCCAGAGGTGGTGCAGCAACAGCAGCCTCTTCCCGCAGTGCAGCCCACCCTGCCGATGCCCACCGCCCCAGCCGTGTCTCTGCAGCAGCCCGCCAGCACGCAACCAACGGCGGGCCTTCCTTCCATGCAGCCCTTTCAACCGCAACAGCAGCAGCAACAGCAGCCCTTACCGCCAACTTCCATCGCCGCTAATGTACAGGTGTCGCTCGGTCAGCAGCAGCAGCAACAACAGCTGCCACAGCAGCAGCAGCAACAACAGTTACCACAGCAGCAGCAGCAACAACAGCTACCACAGCAGCAGCAGCAACAGCTACCACAGCAGCAGCAGCAACAGCTACCACAGCAGCAGCAGCAACAGCTACCACAGCAGCAGCAGCAACAGCTACCACAGCAGCAGCAGCAACAGCTACCACAGCAGCAGCAGCTGCCTCAGCAGCAGCAGCAACAACAGCTGCCTCAGCAGCAGCAGCAACAGCTACCACAGCAGCAGCAACAGCTACCACAGCAGCAGCAACAACAGCAACAGCTACCACAGCAGCAGCAGCAACAGCTACCACAGCAGCAGCAACAGCTGCCTCAGCAGCAGCAACAGCTACCACAGCAGCAGCAGCAGCAACAGCTACCACAGCAGCAGCAGCAACAGTTGCCTCAGCAGCAGCAACAACAGCTACCACAGCAGCAGCAGCTGCCACAGCAGCAGCAGCAGACGGTTGCCCCGGTCGGCACACAGGCCCAAGCGCCCGTCCCCATGCCAGCGGGACAATCTCCCCAGGTCGCCCCCACAGGCGCCGCCGTCCCGACTCCAACGGCCGTGGCGCCAACGCAGCCAGCGCCGCCCACGGCCGGCTCCACGGTCGGGCTGCCAACTCCGCAGGGCACGCTCCCTCACTCGCACGAGTCCGACACGGAGGTGACGCACCGGCTAACCGGCGCCGAGGACCTCAAGGCGCTGTCGGAGAAGCTGCGCAGCCTTTTCCACGACGCCAGCTCCACTTCGCCGGCGGCAGGAGACGCCACCGCGGCGCCGGCGGCGGCGCAGGCGGGGACGCTGTTGAAAGAGCAGGCGCCAGCGGCGGGTGTGACGGGCGTCGGCGCGGCCGCGGACCCAGCGCACGTGCTGTCCCCGAGCAAGTCGGTGCAGGGCTACGCGCCCACGCAAGCCGGTCCCGCTGTCTCCCACCCGACGAGCCTGGCGCTGTACCCGGCTGCGGCGGCGGCAGGAGTGGCGAGCCAGAGCGTCGCGCTGCCCACGACCACACCCGGGGCGGTGGTGCCGGCTCTGCCCTCGCAGGGCGTGGCGGCGGGGGGGGCGGCGCCAGCGCAGATGGCCAGCGCGTTCGTGGGCGGTGGCGGCACCGCCACCAGCACCAGCAGCAGCAGCAGCAGCGGCACCACCCCGCCGAAACCCTTGCCTCCAACCTGGCTGCCCGTAAGTGCGCGCCGCACCCCTTCGCTGAGGCTACGTGTGCGTTCGTAGTTTAACGATTCGGCGCGGGCTAATTACGTTTACGGTTGCGCTTCGAAACCTGCACGCCGTTGTGACATTTGCGGGCAAATAACAAAAGCCCGTTTGTTCATCCCGTGATCGGTCTGCTTAGCGTTTCATTCTTCGCTCGCTTTGCACGTTCGCGCAGCCCGCTCTCGTCCACAGCACGCTCGTGTTGGGGTGTCGCGGCAGTTCGCGGCTCGCCCGCCGAGTTGCGGCCGGGGCGACCGTAAACGCCGCGGCTTTCTCGGCGTGCGTGTAATTGGTTGAACTCGCCGAGGAGCTCACGTCGCACCGCGCCAGGGGATTTTCACCGCACAGAACCCCGTGGAGCTCGGTCTCACCGACTGCATGGGGCTCGCCCGAAGCCAGCCGGCAGCACGGGCGGCGTGCGTCCCCTGCACCGTCACTTGCGCCGTTGCGGGGCCTGCCGTCATGGGTGGCGCCGCTAAAACGAAACCGCCGCTGTGTGTGCGCGCGTTCATGGCTGCTGGCTTTCCCCCCCCCCTCCCCCCCTCCCCCCGCTTGTAGGTACAGACGCATGCTACTGATCCACTTCAGCAGCGGTTAATTAAGACTGTCACTCCCACTGGCGAGCATGTTCCACCGTTCCCAGGCCCGCCCCAGAACCAGGTGCTTACGTGGAATGCGTCGATCCACCGGCGCTGTCTCTCTCGCGCTCCCCTCCTGTTGCCGTGTTGTTGTTTTGCCCCGCTTCTGAGCTTCGTTTGCATCGAGGTTTCAGAGGTGGAGACGCAGCGAGCTGTTGCGATCCACCATCCACCCCCTCCACCTTGCCTCTCTTCCACTTCTGTCTGTGTTGTCACACTTGGGCCCACACGTGCTTTTCCTTTCCGCTGACGAGACGTTCAGCACCCCCCCCCCTCACCCGTTAGGATTCCTAAGGATGTTTAGACGGCGTTTGTGCTCGTTGAACGACTGAGCTCGGCGGTCATGCTTGTCCTCACTGGCAATCTTGCTCGGAGTATTATAGGTCATTAGGTCTATGTTTTTGGCATGGTAGGGTGCACCGATTTATCGATTAAAATGCTCGTACACCGCAGGATGCGTGCATCGAATCACGGTTGTGAAAATCATTGATAATCAGAAATGTTGGAATGTGATTGGTTCCTACTGCCACTAGAGACGCTAAATTGACCGCAATGTTAAAAAAGCATATTATTGACGGTTCATTAAATCGACAATGGGAGATTCGTGAAATTATTGCTCTTTTAATTGGTAAGGTTACATCCCTAGCCGTGGCGTTTTTTTGCTGTCATTTCCTGACGTACAGTGAATTCAATGCAATGTGGATCTATATTGCATCCGAATGCAACCACTTCCCAAGACACTGAGCAATGAGACATGGGCATCCTGTGCCTACCCATGCATGTATGTTGATCTTCTTTCACACCTTACGTAGCTAACCGTGCTAATCGGAGGTGCGGGGGAAGGACAACAAACTAAACACAAAATGCTTTTTTAAGAAATTAGTTTTCGAACTTTATTTAAAAGTGCGTAACTCCAGTCGCCTCCTCAAGACAAAGAGACGGTAATAGGAATAGGAGAAGAGGAATTTCTTGAGCCTGGCCTTGAACCGGACCAGCCGACAGCACAGATGGCCGGAATAAGGAGAACGGAGTCTGTAATCCTGGCGGCAGAAGAGGAGATAGGGCGACCACCTTCAAATTAGTGAAGGTTGCAAGCGAGGCTTCGACGATTTCAGCTGTATATATACTATTTGGCCTTGTACTGATTCACATCTAGACTGGAACGATCGATATGAGACGTGGTGCCGGGCACTTTGAGATGCTGGGCCATATAAGTGCCTCGTAAATTTAAAAAAATCCTGATCCTGGTTATTAGGGTGACATTAAAACGTTGACCGTGACCTCGCCAAATTTGTGGAACTGTCCAGCAACGTCGACGCTCCTGCTTCCGCTTTTAACCGTTGCCTCCCCTGCCGCTGCCGCTGCTGCTGCTGCTGCTGTTGCCGCTGCTGCTGTTGCCGCTGCCGCTGCTGCTGCTGCTGCTGTTGCCGCTGCTGCTGCTGCGCAGGCCCCGTTGGAGAGCCTCGAGGCGAGCCTGAAGCGGACACTGAGTCCGGAAACGGTGCAACACGGGTCGCCCCTGACGGCCGTCACCCAGGTGAGGAGCCGGCGGAAAGCCCTGACCGCAGACACTGGAGGCGTAATGCCCCCAACACGTTCACCGAAACAATTTCTCGCAACCGACTTAAAACAAAAATAAAAACCGGTTCTTCCTATGACTTACCCTGGTGTCTGTCCCCTACGGTTAACGAGACGAGAGCGTGAATTTGACGTGAGCCCATTGAAATGTGCGGCACGGTTTGTTCCGCTTCGAATGTCCTCGTGGATCGAGTCTCTTTGAGGGCTGCTTTGTTGATGGGTGGGGTTGGTTGTTTGCCCGCGCGCGCGTAACCAAGGTACCCGTCGTGTCTCCACAGCCTGGCGGCGCCGAGCCGTTTCCCCTGGCAACCCAGGAGGGTGGTGCCACCTCGTGGGAGACGCTCACCACCCCCATGCACCCGGCTGAAGGTCGGTTTCCTGTGAATGCATTTGATCCGCGACGGCTATTTTTAGAATCCAAATGGAAGCTTTTTGGGAACATTAAGTGGAAGGGCGGGTCAAGCCACCCATTTTCATGTCTTTCTTTAGGACGTAATTAACACTAAAATGCCACCATCACTTTAGCCACCACCTATGTCAGGCCAATTTTATGCTTAACGATATTTTACAGGGTTGTTTTTTATTGAAACCTCGTCGCACATTAAAAAAATATATATTTTGGGAGAGCGTGATGCAGCAGTTATCGCTGTGCAGTACGAACATCGCTTTTCAATTCGCAGTTAAGGGAAAAAAAGATCCAATATACTTCCAAAGGTGGCTTTTATGTGACCTTTGAAAGATAATTCATGATTTTTTTTCTTAGGGAGAATGTAAAATTAAAGCCATGTTCCATCCAAAATCACAATCGGAATATTTATTTTTCACACATGTCCACCACCAGACACGGCCAAATAAATGAAAGTCGAATAATATGGATGTCAGCAGGCCGGCCCGTTGAAAAAAGCAATCAAAATGTGACAACCGTACGATTTTCTTACGCTTTGTAAGAGCGCAGATCTGTGCGGAATTGGACATTGGTGCGTGAACCCACATCGATCAATCTTCACACTCCACAATGCCACCTTACCGCCCTCCTCCAGTGTGTCCCCGCCCCCCGCCGCCGCTCGTGACGACGACGTTGTCTTGCGTTGTACGTATGCTGAACTTCTTTCGCACCGTACGTAGCCAACTGCGCTAATCGGTCTCGTGTTGCCGCAGGCGTTCTGCCCGCCGAGCCGGGTCAGGGGGCCGGCCCATGCGCCACCGCAGCCGCCGGCGTCCAACAGCGAGCCGAGTTCGACACCCAGGTGAGTGCCGCCATCAATGGCGGGGTGGGCGGGAAGTGTCCCCGATACCCCGTGTCTTATAGAGCGGTCATTGACGCGTGGAGTTGGAGAGGAGGGGGGGTATAGGGACTTCCCGTCCAGCTGGTAGAGTTGGCCACTTAATGTTGTCTCTCTTGCACAGGAGATGTGAAATATCAGTGGGCTCTCATAAATGGTTGCTGGCCTGCCTACCCACCTACCGATCGACCCACCTACCTATCTACCCACCTAACTACCCACCTACCTATCGACCCACCTACCGATCGACCCACCTACCTATCTACCCACCTAACGACCCACCTACTTATCTACCCACCTAACTACCCACCTACCTATCGACCCACCTACCGATCGACCCACCTACCTATCTACCCACCTAACTACCCACCTACCTATCTACCCACCTAACTACCCACCTACCTATCGACCCACCTACCTATCGACCCACCTACCTATCTACCCACCTACCTATCTACCCACCTAACTACCCACCTACCTATCGACCCACCTACCGATCGACCCACCTACCTATCTACCCACCTAACTACCCACCTACCTATCTACCCACCTAACTACCCACCTACCTATCGACCCACCTACTGATCGACCCACCTACCTATCTACCCACCTACCTATCTACCCACCTAACTACCCACCTACCTATCGACCCACCTACCGATCGACCCACCTACCTATCTACCCACCTAACTACCCACCTACCTATCTACCCCCACCTACTTACCCACCTACCTGCCTACCTACTTGGCTATCTACTTGCCAACCCACCCACCTATGTACTTAACTCTCTTCCTTCCTCCCTACTATTTTCTCGTTCAGCAGATCTCTCTTGCTGACAGTAACACCGCAGCCCGTTTTACTTTTAACCGCGGCCAATGTTTTGTCAAAACGTGTCTTCTGCAGATGGGCTCTCCGCTCCCTGGTCCTCCAGTCCCGTCCGCCTCGGAGTCGCCCAGACCCCCGGCCGCGGGCACCAACGCCGGAGCGACCACTGCGACCCAGCCCTCGCTGGCGCCACCACAGCTGCCTACCCCTGCCCCCGTCCCAGCGGCGACTACCGTGCGGGGCCGGTTCCAGGTCACCACGACGCGCGACGTAGTCAGCACCGACCCGGCCACAACCACCTCCTCTCCCTCCTCGCTGTCCTCATCGTCATCCGATCGCCACGCGGATACCGTCACCACCACCACCACCACCGCGGCTGCTTTTGCTTCCGCTGAGCAAAGAACGCAGGGCCCGGCCGTCGTCGCAGAAGCTACGAACGCTGCCGCGGCTCACCCGGGGGGCCGTGACGATGGGAAATGCTTCCGGTCCGACACGTTGAACGGCACAGACAAGAGCTGTTCGGACACCGGCGAGAAAATGCGCGGCTCAACTATGCCGTTGCCGGGCATTCCCACTGGAAGCACCGGTCCGGCTGCAGAGATTCTGCAAGCGCAGCCGCTACCGGCAACGGGGACGGCAGGGCGCGAGGGCGAGCTGCGGGCAGACTGGGAGGTGCCCTTCAGTGAGGGCTACGCGCAGACGCCCGGCGCGAGAACGGCCGACGTCTTCCCCGACGGCAGCGAGGCGACGGAGCAGTACTACAGCGCGACGGAGAACGGGCGCGACATCACGTCGGACGATTTCGCGGGGCCCTTTTCCGCTCGCGGCGGCGGCGGTGGCAGCTACGCCGGCGGCGGCAGCGTCATGCGCAAGCAGCCAAGCACGGACAGCGAGCTGTCCGCGTTCGGCAGCCTGGCGGCGCGGGAGCGGATGGGCACCTTGGAGAGGACGGAGTCGGTGGGGCGCTTCGAGCTGAAGGACGGCCTCGTGCCCAACGTGCGCTCGGCGTCGTCGTTTGTGAGCAGCGACAACGACTCGGAGGACGTGGAGGAGGACGACCTGAAGAAGCAGCTGCACAAGCTGCGGGAGAAGTGAGTGCCACCGTTGCTCGCTTCGTCTGGGGTGTCATGGTGGCGAGATGTTATCTACCTCGCCTGGCATACAAGAGGGCCTGGGTTCGATCCCGACCCCTGACGCCTGTACATTTAGGGTTTGCATGTTCTCGCCGTGGTCATGTGGATTTTTCTCCTCCGGCCCTCCGGTTTTTCCCTCCACATTTTTGGCCGGCTGGCTTCTGAAAAAGAGTTGTATCGCTCAGTGGGCCTTCCCTGGTAAAATAAAAATGATTTAAGGGTTTTAGTCTGTCGCGTGGCACCGCGCTGCCGCTCGCTGCGCAGAGGCAACACGAGCGGCGCCAATGAGTGCCCAATTCGTGCTTTGGTTGAAATGGTGACTTTTGTTCCTGACTTGTTCGAAACCTGTTGTGAAGATATCCGTACGTGACTGGCTTTCTTGCCAACGCTTTGCAGCGCTGGGGGCCAACTCGCTCGCACACTCGCGCGTAACCTCCCGTGGCCGCGTTCTTCGCTCGCGTCTCCCAGGCACATGGAGGAGCTCACCAACCTGCAGGTACGCCAGCGGAAGGAGATGGAGGAGCTGTACCGCCGCATGGGCAAGGAGCCACCCGCCTGCCTGCAGCAGTCGGCGCCCCCCTCGATACGCCGACGACGCATCAGCAAGAGCCGCAAGACGAGCACCGGCGGCAAGCCCAGCAGCATGCAGCCGCTGAAACCCACGGCGCTCTTCCTCCCCTGTGAGTGTCCGGGGGGGACGGTGGAGGGGGGGGGGAGGCGACGGTGTGAGAGCGTTCCCCCCCCCCCCCCCGCCCATAAACCAAGCGTGCGACGGGAGCACAGTTCAGGTGTTGAACGCCACAGTGGCGAGATGTTAGCTACCTCGCCTGGTGTGCTGGAGGTCGTGGTTTTTGATCCCAGCTGTGTAAGTCTGTTGAACTTCTTTTAAACCATACGTAGCCAACTGTGCTAATCATCGGAGGTGGGGAGGAAGGACAAACAAACTCAATACAAAGAGCAAAACCCAACGTCTGTACATTTGCAGTTTGTGTGTTCTCTCTCCCCGTGGTGGCGTGGATTTTTATCTGGGTCCTCCGGTTTGTCCCTCCACATTTAGAAAGAACACGCGTTTTAGAGTATTATTTGGCTGCTATAAATTTCCACGTGATAAGCCACTTTGTTGTCGAGCTATCATTTATGGGCAGGTCGCTTTTGTAAAAGCGCTATATAGCCCTGTGGGCCTCAGCTGATTTTATTTAAGAAAATTTGTGTAAATAGTAAAAAGAATAGTTTTGCGGAAACAGCTTCCCGTGGAGTTTTTGGTGAGAATGTGCCGCAGAGGGTCTGCGTTTTTACCGATGCGTGAATTAGGCCCTCGATACTCTGGTTCTTGAGTAAATTGATTGAATGAAACTGATTTGTCTCCCAAAATCCAAGGAGAGATCTTGGGGCGCATTTGGCCGGTGTGAGTAAAAAAAAAAAGTGAACCAAATCAGCTTGAGAAACCAACCGAAACGGCTCGAGTTGACTTGGAACGGAACTGTCGCCACAGCCTCACAGCAAGCACCGGTGGCGCGGGCCGCCAGCGATCCGGCCCCAACGGAACAACAACAACAACAGCAGCAGCAGCAGCCAGCGCCGCCACCGCCGCCGCCACAACTCGCCACTGCACCGCAACCCAGATTCCCTCAGCCGGCGCCCATCCCCAAGTCCCACATGCTCAAACCCTCCTTCTCCACAGAGAGCTTCTACTCGGGCTTCATCAGCGACGGAGCCATTAACCAGTTTGGCAACGGTGAGTGGCCGCAGCCGAGGTCGCTCGCTCGCTCGCTAATTTCTTGTGTTTTGTCCGTGGACGGTTTGTTACCTCCAAGCGAGCAGATTGACCGAAGGAGATTTTGAAATTGTTTTACTTTTCTTCTTGGTTCTTTCGGTAAAGTCACGTATAAGGGAAATAATAAAATAATAAAAATAATAAATTTTCACGATATTTCGGCCACAACGCAAGCAGCCGTCCTCAGGTGAAGAACAGGTCTGTCGGAAAGACAGCGTCTGAATGCTGAATAATTTTATTATGTAATATTTTTATTATTTTATTATTTCCCTTCTACGTGACTTTACCGAAAGAACCAAGAAGATGAATCCCTGCAGTCACGAAAGCTTTACATCGAAATTGTTTTATTTGTTTAGTTCCATCCAGATCGCCGCAGGCTTTTTTGGAAGCTTGGCAAAGATCAACGGGGACGACATCGTGGATGTGTCAAATTCTAAATAATTACCGTCAACATTGTCTTCATTGTCTTCATTATCACGATCATCTCCATCATTGTCATTGTTCTCTTATCATCATAGGCATTGTCATTAATTATAATGCGCAACTCGCAACACTCTTATGTGGTAACGTCTATTTCATTATTTTGCTTCTCTAAGTGATTGAACCTCTTGTATAGAGTTAATGGACAAACCAACAACTTCCTGGCCCATCTCTTTTGATGTCATCTATTTTGTTCTCATTTGTAATCCGATTTCGCTTCGCGTTTATAATGAGGTGCAACTTGAATTGCATCAGTCTGTGATCGCATCCTGTGTTGAATTTGTTGAGGTCAGAGATAATCTGGGATTTGTCTGTTAGAATCAAGTAAATTACATCTCTAATTTCACCATTCGGACCCCTTCATCTAAACCTGCACGAGACGGTGAAGACACTGGCAAACCTTCATCCAGCAGTGGGTAGACCATAGCTCTGGTGATGAATGATAATGTCACAACACCAGTCTGAACAATGCAAGCTCCATAAACACGCTCGCAGGCATGTCAGGAGTCGGTAACAACATGTTTTCATAATTGGTTCTTTACCCTTCTATCTGGCAACAAAACTGACACCTTTTTGCAAGGAGTCATGTTTGCATAGACCGGTCTATGCAAACATGACTCCTTGCAAAAAAGGTGTCAGTCATGTTTGCATAGACCGGTCTATGCAAACATGACTCCTTGCAAAAAGGTGTCAGTTTTGTTGCCAGATAGAAGGGTAAAGAACCAATTATCATATTTTTACTGGCAAATGAGGTCCCCATAGTGTAGATGCTTGCCCCGAGCTCTCATACTCTGATGGTGCATTGTCCTTGAGTTGTGCGCCTTTTGGCGTCATCTGGTCCAACCCATATGAGACTAGGCTCGAAGGAAAGCTGTCTCGGGTGTGGACCAATCAACTTCAAGGACAGTGCACATTATCAGAGTTATGTTCTTTTGTTTGTATTATGACTGCAGGTATTGCGGTCTATGCAAACATGACTCCTTGCAAAAGGTGTCAGTTTTGTTGCCAGATAGAAGGGTAAAGAACCAATTATCATATTTTTACTGGCAAATGAGGTCCCCATAGAACATGTTTTCAATATGAAAAAAATATATATATATATTCATGTGAAATTGCATTGAATTTGAATAATATTTCACGGTCAAAATATTTCATAAATAAATTAACATTTAGAAGTCTCCTCGACAGACCTGTTCTCCACCTGAGGGACGGCTGCTTGCGTTGTGGCCGAAACATCGTGAGAATTATTTTATTATGTTTTATTTTTATTATTTTATTATTTTCATTCTACGTGACTTTACCGAAAGAACCAAGAAGATGAATCCCTGCAGTCACGAAAGCTTTAAATAGAAATTTAGAAGACCTGTGAATAAATAATTTTTACGGCTTGCAGAAATAATCCAAAACACGTTCATACCCAAGTAATTTGCCTGTAAAATCTTCATAAATACAAATGCTCAATGTACAGCAAAGCACTCGTCAAAATCACTGGACTCTATAAAGCTCGGAGTCATGGGTTTATGCCCCGTGAAATTTTATCAACGAGCTTTTATATGAAAATATAAATATATAGTTGACGTTGTTTGGTCAGCGGTCCCCCAATACCTCCTCACTGCAATTCTGTGCCGCTTTTAAGTGCAGTGTGATTGCCGGGGCCTGACCAGCGGTCGTGTTGCCAAAGGCACGACACGTACGGTCCAAGGGAACTCTCGCAGTGTGTTGTCAATGTCCACCATTCGTGGCCCTTTGAACGACCCACACATGTGCCTGTTGTAGTGGCAATTAATCCCCAAAGTGCAGCCCGCATCCCTCGTTATGCCCATGGAAGCCCTAGTCTAAGCAACACGACGTCGGCGTGGATAATATTTACAGACGGGATTTGATTGCATCGCCAACATGTAATTCGTGATAACCGAGGTTGTGCGTGTATACATAAGTATTTATGTACCTTTTTGGCTTCTGAAACGCTGCAAAGATTTGACCGTGTGGTCTCTTTCACTTGTTATGCGGTCACTTTGTTTCTGTTACTTTTTAACGCGCAGTCATGTAACAAAAGTGTGCCTGTGCATTTTGAATACTAACCACTTTCGCGCACATGTACACACACACAAAGGACACGAACGCTTCCGAATCGGAACATTTATTTATACTGGAGGAATCCGATGAGCTATAATGCTCTTTTTCACGGATGGTCCAGTAAGCACTTCCTGCCGCCTCTGACTCTCTCACCACTTTGTTTCATATTTGTCTTTCCGGTTTCCTTTTCTGTGACTCTCTCCTCTAGGCTGGACGGTTTTTCACCAAACTGCCGACCGAGTGACGTACAAAACTAACAGCAAACCGCGCTCCCGATTCCTCAGTGGGCCAGCCGCTTTGTCTGTCTGTTCGTACCCAGTTTGTCATTTTTTGTACTCCACAAGGCATCCCTGTATGGCGTTGCCCCTGGCCTTAGGGAGGAGGAAAGGGAAAAAAATTAACCCGTAAAAACAAAGTTTTTCACTATAAATCCTTTATATGTGTGGCATCGGTTTTTATTTTATTATTCATTTCTGTTTTTCTTGAGTAAGAGTTTCATTTTTATCACATTGGTATTTTAAATTAAATATGAAAATTTTTTTTTACTAAAAAGTGGAAAATTTTGGAAAAGATTTTTCACGAAAATAAATTGTCACACACAACGAGTCTGTGCAAAATGTCAGCTCGATTGGATCACGGGGAGTGGGTTAAAAAACGACCGAAAGATTTGCATGGTCGTAAGCGTGCAAGCAAGCAAGCAAGTGAACTTAATATAAAGGATTTAAAAACGTTTTCAGCCAGGGAGAAACGACCGCTCCGGGGAGCCAACGGATATTGCAACACGGCTTTCCTTTTAAAATAAAATACAATTCGTACGCAAGTCTCGCGTGTCACATAAAACGTGCGCGCGTGGCTTTTTCCGCTGCACGTGCTGTTAAAGCCTCGCGGCTGGAATCCAGACGTCTTGGCCACGAACAGTCTTTGCAGCCGGGTCTTTAATCCTTCCTGCAAGCAATTGTGTGCCGCCATCCATGGAACACTTCAGTCGCATGCCTCTTGTTTCCGGGTGCTAGTCTCATGTTTATTTCTCCCTCCTCCTCAGTCTCACGCTCACGAGGTGCCTTGGCTTGTCTGTGTTGGGGCGTGACACTAGCCCCAATACCTGCACTGCTTTGTGACCTTTATTTTGTCTTTATATTTATTTTCAACCCTTAGTCGTCTTCTTCACTTCCGTTGTGCTCGATTCAGATGCACATCCTGCATGATTTTTTAGCGTTTCGCTGCATACCCGCCAAAGTAGGGTTGGAACGACACAATTTAATATCGATTTTCAAGCTCCGCTTCTTGACGCGTGCGATCGAATCGCGAGCATCAGAAACAATATTACTTGTTGATTCGTCCAGACCGTACGTAATTGGTTCAGGTACTGCTAATCCAGCGCTTTGCTGTAAGAATAGTCGATCCTTAAGTTAACTTGCTTACCCCTGAGTTGTGACAATTCATCAAATGGTTGCGGAGGTGAATCGTTCCAGCCCTTCGGCGAATGAACACACATTTAAGTTGCGTGTGTTCGAGGAGAGTCATCCACCGCGATGAATTTCTCAAGACGGTTTGCAGCACTGGGAGACTGCATTGAGCCCCCACCCCCGCCGTGCGCGTCACCCGTCGTTGAGACAGAGAAGTAAAAGAATGCCGCTCTTCCTTCCCGTTCACATCCACTTCCTCCGAGCCGTGCAGTAACTTTGTCGTTGTTCTTTGTTTTGTTTCCATTTCTGTTTTCCCCAGCAGGTGGTGCGATGAGACGAAAGAGCAGCGGTAAATAACAAAATAACAAATCGTTTGCTCCATGCCACCTGCCCGATCGGATTTTTTTTTTTCCCGTTTGCAGCTGGAATTTTGCTTTTTTTTTGGTTTGCAGTCGGTGGGATGCTGAGCACTGGCTTTTTATTTTATTTTGTATTTTTGTTTGTTTTTTGCACTTTGAACTCTCCCGAGTTCCCCTCTGCGCAACAGCTCGGCTCTGGCAATGTTTGGCAAGCTGCGTTTTTTCTCTCTCCCCTTTTAAATATTTTTTTACGTTATTTGTGAGCACTCCATATTGACGGATCCTGACTGACGTCACCCACTGACGTTACCGTTTGCTCCCGGGTGACGTGCTCAAGGGGATTTCGATTGATTTGTTTTAGTTGGACATCTGCCTCAAGTAATATTTCATCGGCAAATACAATAATGGACGGTTCTACGGTAATGGAATCACAAGACCAGTGACGGGCTTGCAATGCCGCTAAATGCGGCGTATGACGCGTATGACTGCGATAAAAGTCTCGTATTTCGCATTCATTCTTAAGCCACCAACACATGCATCAAATTGCATGTACAAGAATAACATTTTAAATATATATACACACTGTGTTTTTAATCATGGTTGCTGAGCAAAGGCCCTGAGGCCCTAACTGCCAATCATCCAACAACAGACATCGCTAATGAAATTGCAGTAGATGAGAGTGGGTGTGTGTCTATAATTCCCTTGCCGTGGAATTGACCGTATGGATTTTAGACAATCGGATTTTGAATGTGGCCTGTCAAATGTCCGGGCGCGCGCTCGGTGGGAGGTGGGGGGGGGAGAAGAGCGCGTGTATCCTTGTGATTTGCTTGCTGGCCAGCGCCGAGGAAAAACGCACAACTGCTGGAATCGCGATTATCATTTTTTGTTTTATTGAATGGGAAAAAAAACATTCCCAAGCACGGATGTGATATGTTTTACTCTTGCTTTTTTCTCTTCTGCGAAATAACATGTTCCCCGGGTGAGCGTCTGCTAACATTACGCGCTTACGCAAAGCTGAATCGCGCACTTAATCTGCACTGCAGCTGGCTACTGAGCAAATAGCGAAATTTGTTTTTGCCTCTTTAGTATTTATACAGGTACTCTTTAATTTGTCTTTTTTGTTGTTGTTACATAACTGTTTATAATTAGTTATTCTCAATGTTCTGCCCTAAAATTATTTACTTGTTACTGCCTTTTTTTACGTGCCTATGAAATACGATGTCTATAATTAAAACGGTGAGCATCTATCGTACTTTTAAAAGTAAATCACCCGAATGATACAATCGGGCCTCTGTTTACAGTTATTTTCTTCTTAATTTGAGGCAGCCAAATACTCCGATCTCCGACCCACATGCAAATATACCTACAAGCAAATTGAACATCATGATGCAGAGTCTCTTAAAAGTGTCTTAAAGATACCAGCACATTTAGACGCTACATAAACACAAATTGGATGGTATTGATCAATGGCCATCATGGATAAATGCGATCATTATTGTCGTCGTAATTTGTTTAAATAATTTTTGCTTACTCGAGTGGCATTTGTTCAACAACTTGCCAAACATGTTTTTTGTACCTTGCCGAACTCTGCATCCAGCACTCATCACGGTTCCGACGCAGTCAAAAGACGCCAATTTTTTTTCTTCTTCTTTTCTTTCTTCTTTTCTCGCCTCCCTCTCCATCGCACAAACAGTCCCAACGACCGGCGGCATGGGCGCCTTCATTGGCAATGATGGCAGAGTTGGCGGAGGCGGCGGAGAGACGCCGTGCTCCGGCGCGGTAACGATAGGCACCGGGGGGCCTGCGGCATCCCAGGGCGGCAGCACCAAGAAGGGCACCTTCACCGACGACCTGCACAAGCTCGTGGACAACTGGGCGCGCGATGCCACCTGCCTGCTGCCGCAGAAGCCGAGTCTCAATCAGATCCGGCAGTTCATGCAGCGGCAGGACCTGGAGGGGCAGAGGCCGTGCGACGTGAGTGGACGCCTCCACCACAACCACCACCACCACCACAATGCATCGCACGCCGTAATGCTCTCGCTGCGTATCCAAGCGTGAACACGGGGTGGTCGCCTATTAATGGTCAAATCTTTCATCACGTTCGCATCAGATTGGCTTTTGTGGGTTAACGTCGGAACCGTCTGATCTCGCGTGTCTCCCCGGGGTGCAGCCCGGGCTCAGGATGTACGCGCCAGCTCAGCCGCCACCCCCGGCCACCGCGTGCTTGGGCAGCTGCGCCGGCGGCGGCGCCTCCATCGCCAACGCCGTGCCGACCGCCGCTGTGGTGCCGCCATACATCCTGCCGGGGGCGATGTGTGCGGGCCAGTTCCCCTGCGGCGTAGCCGTCCCGCCGGGCTTCCAGTGCCCGCCCCGCGTGCCCGTCAACCCCAGCCCGCCGGGGCCACCGCTGCCCTCCTCCGCCACCACCCCGGTAGTGGCCGCCGCCGTCGCCTCCGCGAGCCTCCCTCCCACGGCTCTGACCACTCCGTACCCAGGCATCGTTGCCTTTCCCGTAACGGGTTTGGTGGCCAAGCCCGGGTGCGGCATAGTCAGCGGTATTGGCGGTGTCGGCGGTGGCGTCGGCACCGGCGGTGGTGGTGGCGGCAACGGTGGTGGAGTTGGCACGGGTCAACCGCCCGGGCCGAACCTCAGAACCACCTAAGAGGGAGAGGCAGAGGCCGCCGCGCGTTTACCGCTGCTGTTGACTGCACGGTTGACTCCGCGGGTGGGAAAGCGTGCCGTTGATTTTGTGTTGGGAGTTGTGGGGGTCGTCGGGGAAGGTCGTTCGCGGAAGGAAATAAGGTGAAATGTATAAAACGTGGGTGGCCTGCTTTGGAAGCGAGTTGCTGGGGCTGCAGAAAGCGTAACCTGGCTCACTGTTCCGTTTAGTTTAACAAAAAAATTAGATTACGCAAGGCCTCGAAATGAAAAAAAACGTGACTACCTTACCAAGTGTCCAAAAATTCTATTTTTTGAGAATTTGGCAACCACTCCGTGGGGGAAAGTGAAATGCGATGGAAAGAAAAGAAGGGGGAATGAAATAACAGAAAAGGGTCAGTTTGTGTTGGCAAATTGTTGAATGTAGTTGGTTGGGTCGAACAGAGAGGTGTGGATTTGAAAAGTTAATGTCCTTGCACCGAAGGCACTTCTTAGCATCGCGATTGTTTTTCTTTTTTCTTCTGCTAAAGTCGAACGTCTGCGGGATGTTAGAGATGGTCTTCGTTTTTGTTTTGTGGGTGCTGGTTTGGTATAACACTAGGGGCGTGGATTTGGGGGGGGGGGAGTAGAGTTGACAATGCATGTGGGGGGGGGGGGGTGTAAGGGTTAATTCGAGACAGCATTTGTGAGCACAATGTAAAATAATCACGGACTTCGTCACAAGCGATCGGCCGAGTTTGCGCGCGTAGCCTTTTTTTTTTGTTGCTGTAAATGTCTGTTGGTTATCGAGGGCCACGCGATGAAACCTACAAAACAAAAATATCTAACGGATGGAGAGCGTTAATTGAGATCGCACAGACGAATACAAAATGGCGTGTGTGGGGTGAAAGAAATGGCAACACCTGCTTGCATAAGCAACTAGACACATTGAAAAATGCAAACTTTAAAACAATTTATAGCCAATTTTGGGTATAGATCAGTGAAAAACAGCTGCTATGTAAAAAGTCTTTGGCTTTGTAACTTGTCACTTTAAAGAATTTGATGTGCTTGTCTGTGTTTATTGAGCTTTGGGTTTATTTGTAAATGTGAATATTAATACTGGTCCTTAAGGTTACTTGAAATGTGTTGGGTTTTTTTATGATACGAGAAAAGCTTGCATAGAAAGAGTGCCTTGTAAAAAACGGAGAGAAAACCACGTTAAAAAAAAATAGCTTTCTTGCTCGGGTTAGTTGTGCTCAAAAACTGACAGCTCTCGCGCAGCAAGGCGCGACGGCGTACAGTAGGTGATAAAAGAAGCTCCTCTTCAACAGCCAAGCGTGCAACGTCTCTGTGCTGTAGACCAGCAAGTTTAAGCCATTTGTTACATTCTAAGTTAAACAAAAACAACAAAAAATAGCAAGCCGTGGCTCCGAGCTTACATTGTACAGATTTTCTGCTTTTAACTTTCAGTGACGCCGCGTGACGGTGCAGGGTTAATACCGACAAATAGGAACAGGTGTCGGCGACGGATGCCGTGCATCATCGGTGAATCCGCGTAGAGATGATGCAAGGCAATCCGCTGGACTGCAGGGTATGCATGCTCCGCGAAAGGCTGGGTATTGGCGTCCAACTCCTTGCTGGCTTGGGTCGCGTGTGAACGGCTGCGGGGTCCGGGTGTCGAGTCAAAATGCCCCCCTCTTGAGAGTCCAGTAGTGGCGCCACAGTTTAGATCGTGGGTCCGAAACAAGCAGATCTTCGAGCATAAGAGGAAGTCCTGAACAACACGTGGGCATTATGGGATTGGCCTGATGGATATCGGCAGCGTTGTAAGCCACTGGGACGATTAACAAAATGGGCGCGAGTCGGCATTTCACGAACGAGCAATTGGTTGTAAAAAACACCAACCCAAAATAAAATTACGACTATAGAGGAGAAGGGGGGAGGGGCGGTCAAGTTTACAGATTTGTATCAAAATACAGACGGCAGTTGAACACCCTGGAAGAAATGCTCAACGTTGGTATGTCTAAGAAAGGCATGCGTGTCTCGCGTGCGGCAGAATATCCCCCCTCTCACCCCCCCGCTCGCCGAAATCCAAGCTACTCGCAAGACGGCGATTGGTTCATCCGTCCCTGTCATTTCCGCTTCGCACCGAGGTCCAGCCAAACTTGTGCGGTGGCTAAGGCAGACGGGTTGGGTGAAACGGCTGCTTGCATAGGCTTGCTTCAAGCATTCATCGCCAATAGGCCACAGTTACATTGAAATCAACGCTCCGCACAAAGCTTCTCGCAGGTTGCGTTACACCATGGATAACCACCCTGGTTCTTATATTCCATCGTAATCTTTTTATATTTGGTAGATTTTGCACGAAGGGGGAACGTGCGACTCGACAACATTGCCTAACTCGGGCAAACGTGGTCGTGGCGATGGTAACTCTCAAATACCGCCGTTTCACCCAAACCAAACCACCCGGTGATGCTCGCTCTCTCGACGCACGCCACCTCCCCCGTCACAAGTGAGAGGTTCTGCTCATTTGTGGCAATGATGGGGCACCTGGATAAAATGAATTGTCACAAACCGCTGTCATTGAACGAAGCGCACAAGACTGCCTTGTGGTTTGTGTGTTGGTGTGCCGCCACCTGTGATTGGTGGGGGGGGGGGTACGTCACTGGGCGCGTACGAGGTGCGCGCGTGCGTGTGCGTGTGTGTTACTGCCGCTTGGCTTGCGTTCATATTCTGCAAGCCCTGTTGGCCTTGGCGGCTACCGCGGGACACCCAAACACGGACGACCGTGCACCTGCTATCCTCTTTTGGCATCGTGACCCCGATCTCCCACCCTCCCTTCCCGTGCGTAGGTTTTTACAGTTGTCTGCGCTGTGACGAGGGGAAATCTTTCAAAAACCGTCCTCTTTGACCGATGGAAGTTCGCGTTAGTAAAGTTCTTTTAAAGTGGCCCCAGCATTCACGTTTTTCGAGGTTTGTTTCGAGCGACCTCTATTGGCATCTGTTGCTTTTTTTTACTGCAATAACACTAAAACCTTGACTCTAAACTTAACATCGATTTAGGGTTGCGGCGATATTCACATCTTGCCTGAATTACGTTGGCAAACCCCCGCCCCCTGTTATTGACAGTGGAGATTTTTTTTCCTCCGGTTTTGCCAACACCCGGACAAGGAAGTAACATTCACCCACACGTGAATCGTGGACCCGTCGTGTTATTATTACAGAAAATAAAAATGCAATCGATTGCCATCTGGGACAACTTTAAACGATCCGAGAGAGTGAATGCAGTTGAGCCGACGCAGACTTTGGTTGTGCAGATTTTCGCCTGCATATAGTGCCACTGATGAATAAAAACAATGCTTTGTCCGTCCCCGCATTTTGTATAGCAAATTATATCAGTATTATTATATCACTAACGCTTCAAGCTGTGAAAAGTGTACTTTACTGATTGCCGCATTGATTTATCGCAACTGTATTATCCTTATGTATGTACGTTCTGTATTAAGACCTGTATTATCATTTTTTTCTGTTTGGGTTTGGATCAGTACCCATGCAGACTTTGCTCGAGGGCTGTCAGGCAGTGGTTGGTGGGGTTGGCTTAGGCCGGGTGTCAATCCAGCTCTGTGAACCCTGCGTTTCGTCTGATATTAAAGGTTAAGAGATGGAGGTAAGGTGAGCAGAGGCGGTTGTGGGTGGTAGGTGTTAGGCATGCGAGGATCGCAGTTAATTTTGCGGATTGCGCGTAGATACCGGAACTCGCGTTGACGCGTGTCGAATTGTGAGCCTATGAATTGATTATTTTTCGATTTGTACGAATGCATGCTATTGTTATGTTTACGATAAGTGCGAAAATTGCTTATAAACCTGGCAAAGAAATCATAATTAACAATACAAAAGAAGGGTTTTATGATAGAACAAAAAACATCTAATTTTTAATAGCGCCATCCTGAATCTTTACAATCATAGGTTTGCTGTGGGCAGGGTGAGTTGTTACTCGCCACGTATTGCAAGGTGGTGGCTACTCGCAGTGGGTCAAGATGACGGATTCACGTAAGAACGGGTACCGTGAGGTTACTTGTGTGTGCAAAGTTGTCCGTTTCCAGCTGCAAAGAGAATTTGTCATCGATTTTACAGCTATAAAAGTGGGTGTATTAATCAAGTTCAGTCGAAGCCACCTACGAACATGCCTCAACTCCTCCCCACTCGCATGTCTGACAACTAATGCCCTCTGCAGCTGGAGAAAAAGACACAGGGACAGAGCTCTAGGAATGGATACAGAAGTCTAACTTGGTTTGGTTGAACCCTGCCTGACCTCCCATTCCCACACCCATGCTCTGCACGGCTCATGAGGAGTAATGTACAACGTATACCTTTGTGCCATTTTTTTTTGCATGCTGGTTAATGTTTTCGTTCCGATGTTTTTGTTTACTCTATAAAGGTATGGTATTGAAATGCATTCAACTTTGCAATGTAAAGCAACCGTGGCATCCGCGTACACACAACGGTACAAAACAATTAATTAGTTTTCTTACTCTGCATGTATGTATTAAGATGCGGGGGGGGGGAACCTGTCCGTGCACAAAATGGTCACAATTCTGAAACGGTATATCTGCATTCATTATCCCTGTTTTTTTTGTTGTTCACTATCGTTTTATTTTATTTCCTTATAATGAATCTGTCCGTTCGCTATAAGTGGTTGTAAAAGTGGTTAATGTTTGTGGCACAGCTGTTGGTCGCGTGCAGAGGAGCTGGGTAACGTGGCATATTGGCGCGGGAGCTTTAATCGTGGAGAACTTGGGAGAAGTACGTATGCTACCGCATCGGCTGGCGTTCTTTCATTCATTGTCCACTAAACTCGACTGCGCTTGTGCTCGAGTGTATAAATAAACGGCGGCTTCCCTGTCAGTTCGGAGCTGTTGTCAAAATCTGTGATGATGCATCAGCTGGAAAACCGCCTTTTTGGTGGCAGTGAAGCACGCTTAATGTAACCTTCCTATGTATAACTGTTGGCCGCACATCGTTGATGAGCGGAGAGGGCTTGCAACTCGTGGCTACATTGATTCGCTGCCTCCTTGGCAAATAAGCAATTGCCCGATTTTTTTGCTATTTTTTTATTGTAAAGGAATGAGAGTCCCCTTAATTAATGCTGCCACGGTGTAGTGATTAGCAGCACTCGACTGGACTCGCAATCCAGAGGTCATCAGTTCAATTCGATCTCTCGGTCGAGCAGTTGAAACGATCGGCGAGTTTTTTTTTTATTCCCCCCATCTCTCTGTACCACATTCGATGAGCAGCAGCAGCAGGTCGTGTGTGCGATGGGCGAAAGCGTGGATAACTCCCACCCCTTACAAGGACGCCTGGTCAGTGGGGAAGAGTAGGCAAACGCCTCTCTTGGGACCCTTCTGCCAGCAGCAGCGTGAGCGAGGAATTTCGGCGCTTTCCCATCACGTGACGGAGCTTGTCAGCGAAATATGCCACCGTTCAACCGTTCATTGCCGTGCAGCAGCGTGTGCAAGGCTACACATCGCCATGTAGTCTTAATAGCAAACCCTGTGGACGTTCAGAATGGCAGAGCTGAATATATTACATGTCACACATGTGTAAATGTTTGGGGGCGAGGGTCGCGGGTGCATTTGCTTTCCCAGCAAGCTTGTGTTTGCTTCGAAAGCAAAAAAAAAATATTATATCGATGAGAAAAAAAATGTATTTTCATGTCCATTAGCGATTCGTCATGTGACGCCAAAATTGTCCAACTGATTGCAGTCGGTGTTGATGATAAAATCTAGATTATTCCACCACACGGTGATCGGGTTCGCCCGCACAGCTGTCAAAGACCGACCGACGTGGAATTTCTCAATGCGCCAACTTTCGTCCCTGCGGGGTGAGGGCGAATCGATGCAATTCTGTCGGACTATTTTGGTGGCATTGAATCATTGCTGGTGTGTGTTCACTGTATTGCAGACTACGTATATAGTTTCACCATCACTTACCACTGGGTAGGCTGGGATTGGTCGTCTCGTAGTGTGTAGTAATTCACTGTTCTCAACAGCAGTGCGTGCAGTGTCAAGATTTGTAGAAACAGTGGTTTAGATGTAAACTATTGCTCTATTTATTCATGTTGGATGGGGAAGTCACGACATGAGGCTAAACATCCACTGCATTAAGAGAAAATAAAAAGCCTGTGTTTGCACTAAGGAGTAATGGATGGGTGTTAGGTGTTTTCGTCTTTTATTTTTTAATTACATAATACTGCTTGTGTCTTCAATCTCATCATCGTTTTACGTGTTCCTTTGCTGGGGAAGAAACTTGCAAGCTGAAATAAATACAAATCTATCTTCTACTGCTCGTCCCTGTGTGGTTTGTCACTGTCGTGGAAATTTGTTTTGTGATTGCGAAGTACAACATGCAGTGGCGTCTGACAGGGGGTTGCTGGGCCTCAAGCATCTGGCAAGGGACCAAGTTCAAGTTCATGTATTAGGTATAGCCCTGTGAGCCATTCGGCTCTTGAATCGGGTGCAACCGCAACAAACAAAAAACAAAACATGAACAAAAAACATCTTAAAGTGAATATGTGCAAACAGAAAATCCAAGAAAAGGCAGCAAAATATTGCAGAAAAAAACACCGTACACCAACGCTGTGTGCAAAAATCCCAGTGGGATGCAAGTCAAACAACAGCAACAACAACAACCACTAGACAACTTAGATTAAGGCCATCAGTCTAACTCTGTACTACAACAAACAAACATGGATAAACCAATACACTTTTCGAAATCACCAAAATAAAGCCATGAAACCAAGGCAGACCAAGAACGGGTCTGAACACTTGTTCATTGCACGATGTCCGTTTGTCAGTGTGCTGATGACCAGCAAAACAACCCCCCTACCTCTTCGTTGGTGCCGGACGGTGACGCTGTGGTGAGCAGTGCCATGGGGGGAGGGCCAATTTTTATTGGCCATTCCCCTCATGGCATTTGTGGCCAACAGCGTGCAAAAGGGGCTCTGGATGGGTGTGATGGGCTGGTAACCCCTCTATCTTCAATTAATTACCACTATACCACGAACAAAAAATATCAATCTAAGCTTGTACCGGAGACCATGGGGGGGCGGTATAGGCATCGATGACGTCTCCTGGCCAAACCCGATTTAGTGGAGCCAGGAGATTGAATCCTTATCCTCGGGATTCCTCCAAAAACAGCAAAAAAGCCACTGCGGGTGGCCACGTGGAACGCTCACTGCGGAGGAGAGGCTGCTACTCTGTTGGGAGCTGGACCGGTACCGCCTGGATCTCTGGTATTCAGGAGGTCCAGTGGACCGGCTCTGGCTCCTGCCACAATGAGGGGTGGACAGTCCTCTACTCGGGACAGGGGACTGCCAAACAACAGGCAGTGGGCTCTTCTGAACAAAATGAAGAAGGGAGCCTGGTGGTGAGGTGTGGGTAGCTGTAAGCCCCAGGTTACTTTGTGCTCGCCTTCCCATCAACCAGAGGCGAGGAGTGGTGATCGTGGTTACTTATGCCCCTACTGAAGATTAACATCAGTGGAGGGACGCAGGCAAGACCAATGAGTCCGATGCCTTCTATGACCTGTCACAGGTGCTAGCTAAAGTGGCTAGAGAGGAGATTGAGTAATGTGGTACAAGATTATGTGGAGCTGGGTGGACTTGCCGATGACTGGTACCAGCGATGTCAAAATTGGCCTCTGTGGAGGAGGCTTGTTAAAGACGCTGCTACTGGGCAGTTGTAGGCAGTTGCCTTCCAACAACAACGGAGGGCGGAGGAGCGCCGGGCAGCTAAAACACAGCAAGTTGGCACAGGTGGTGCATTGGCCAGTCATCTCAGTCGACCCATGGCACCTGGGTCTGCCCTGTGACCTCCCTGCCTGCATGCGTTCGACACTTCACGTGGCCTGAACGTGCACATAGCCTGGCACAAGCGCTGTGGTGACGATCACCGCCACTTTTAGGTGAATGCCGGTTGTTATGACCAGCTCCAGTTTGGCAACCGAGGCCTCACTTGAATCAGTCTAGTGGTATGTTTTCATCAGCTGCGTAACGCTTTGTGGAAGCTACCTGGCCTGTCTCAGGTCTTTTTGGCCACAGTTGTTAACCACTCGCTTATGTATGCTTGCGAAACGTCGAGCCCTTTAAAGGAAAATCTGCGCCGTTTGAAACATTCAGCATAACCAGCCTACGATGATCTATCGTGAGATTAACCACTGGATTGTGTGAGCTCCAAAATCCTTGAAAGCTCTTGACGCTGTGCCATCAGTGTTGGCTGGGTCATGTCGCCCGCATGCCTCGCCACTGCATTCCCAAGCAAATTATCTTTGGCCGGACAAATGGTGCTAAAAGGTGTGGCACGGGCTAGAGATGTGGTACAGAAGGATGTGGAGCTGAGTGGACTTGCCCATGACTGGTACCAGCAGTCAAGATCTGACTCTGTGAAGGAGACTCGTTAAGAACGCTACTGGGGAATTGGAGGCAGTCGCCCTCTAGCAACAACGGAGGGCAGTAGAGCGACGTTCACTAACGAGCAGAGCGCCGGGAGGCTGAAATACAGAACGTTGGCACAGTGGGGAGCACAGTTGGTGCATTTGCCAGTAATCGGTCAACCCATGGCACCTGGTTCTGTCCCGTGACCACCAATCAGCAAGCCCTCAACACTTCACCTGGCCTTAAAGTGCAGCTAGCATGGCATAAACGCCGTGGTGACATCCACATCATTTAGTGAACGGTGGTTGTTGTATACATATATTTGTTATCATGTCACAGTGTATTAATAGTTCTTTTTCCATTCAAAACGATAGTCCCATATAAGTGTGAATATTTGTTTAAGCACCCTGTGTACATCTGACACCGGGACGTTAAAGCGTGGGGCCTAGGGCGGTCGCCCCCATTCGCCGTACCCTTGGGGCGGCTCTGTGTTTTGCAATGGAAAACACAACCAGCACCACCCGTACCGCCATGGCTTTGCGCAGGCACCGGCCGGCGCGATTATCGACAGACATGTTCTTCACCTGAGGACGGCTGCTTGCGTTGTGGCCGAAACGTTGTGAGAATTGTTTTATTATGTTTTATTTTTATTATTTTATTACTTCCCTTCTACGTGACTTTACCGAAAGAACCAAGAAGATGAATCCCTGCAGTCACGAAAGCTTTAAATCGAGACTTTTTAATGTTTTCTCCTTCCTACAACATCAGAGTGCAGCGCCACATTAAATACGCACTACAATGACAATAGTTTAAAGCGATTTGAAGCATGTTTTATTTGGGGGGGGGGGGGAGCAGACCTTTGTGACGTCATATTTGAGGGGGGGGGTCTGACTTTTTGTTACGCCGTGTGACGCGGGGGGGGGGGGCAAAAATCGTCCAAAATCGCGTGACGTCATTTGCAATAAAATCAACCTTTGCAGTTATGCCATGGCGGTACAAAGAACTGAAATGAGGGTACTCCGCCGCGTTGCTGTATAATTCAGCGTTACTGTATCGCACCGCGTTATAACGGACGCGTTCCGCGTTGTGTCAAAAGTGCCCCCCCGTGGCAGAACCGCGTTATAGCGAAACGGCCTTGCATGGACGTGCGTTAAGCGAGGAGTTACCGTAACTCTATAGTGGGTACGTCACGCGCGGGTCACGTGGTCTTTAGCGCCCCGCCCCGCCCTCACTCCCTCAGTTTTGGCGCCAAAGTCAGGCCACGTTCCTAACTCACTTGAGGTAAATTTACCTCACGAATCGATTAAAAAACGTTTAATCGGCGTGAAAATGGGCTACCTTCAACTTATAGAGGTGGAAAACTTCAAATCTTACCAAGGGAAGCAGATAATCGGCCCCTTCACGCGGTTCAGCGCAGTCATCGGCCCAAATGGCTCAGGTAATAATTCTTATAAACGGATTAAAGTTTTATATATATTTTTAAACGCACTAAATTCGTTTGTTATGTAAATTGTAGTTCTATTTTGGTACGATAGCTCGAACAGCCCATCGGTGTAATTGTGTATTTTTATAATAAAGGTTTTGAGTTTTGAATGGACTGGCCTCGGCCACGTTAATGTGGAGTTACCACTGGCTGCGGGGGGTGGTAAATAGATGAGCATTCAGTCAGAGAAACCTTTATTGCATTATTTATCGAGATGTGTTACGTTCATTATCGATCATATATGTTAATTGTAGACGGCTGCTTGCGTTGTAGCCGAAACTTCGTGAGAATAATTTTATTATGTTTTATTTTTATTATTTTATTACTTCCCTTCTACGTGACTTTACCGAAAAAAAACCAAGAAGATGAATCCCTACAGTCGCGAAAGCTTTAAATCGAAATGTATGCAAAGTGTTAAGCGATGTGAAACAATCGTTATTACTTTATACTTGTACAGCTCTTGTCAATCCACTGCTGGATGAGGTTCCTCCTCATATCTTTACGTTTCGTGGCGGGTGGTTACCAAACCAAACTTAACATCGACCATGCGGTTTACCTCGTATTCATACTCTTAGGGTTATTTCGGTAAAGTCACGTAGGTAAAAACAAATAATAAAAAATTCAAATAAAATAAATAATAAATAATGATATATACTGGAAATAGTGCAGGATTAATGTTTTACATTTCCTCACTCCTATTTTCACCACATAGTCAGTTTAACACGTAGGCTAATCGCGACCAATATCCATAATAGAGGTTTTTAATTTATATCGCGTAAATATATAAATGTGTCGTTAAAACCTCTGCATTCAGGAACGAAACAGTAAGACTTCTCCACAAATCTGTCTGTCGCCTGATGAAGCTAGTTGTAATTACTGACGAAATGTCGTACTCGGTTTGTAAATGTTGTGGCTTGGCTCTCCAACGCACCGGTTAGTGCTGTACTATACACTACACTATACACTACACTATACACTACATTATACACTACACTATACACTACTATACATTACACTATACACTACACTATACACGACACTATACACTACACTACTATACACTACACTATACACTACACACTAGTGCTGTGTACTATACACTACACTATACACTACACTATACACTACACTATACACTATACACTGCACTATACACTACACTATACACTACTATACACTACACTATACACTACACTACTATACACTACACTACTATACACTACACTACTATACACTAGTGCTGTACTAGTGACGAATTGGCATGTTCTGTTTACGTGACAACCCTTACTAGTTGGCTGTGTCGGATGGTGGCGGGTTTTAACGACAGATTTTACGCGATCTAACCCAAAAACCTCGATTATGAGCACATAAAGTGTCAAAATTCGCAAGTTCTACATTCGCGCAGATGTTCAAGAACGAAACCGTCGGTAATACCGAGGCCATTATCGTATTGCCGCTTCACCAATTGCTTTTAATTGTACAAATCGTAACATGTCCGTTCGTCTTTTTAAATCCTTTATATTAAGTTCGCTTGCTTGCGTGCTTGCTTGCTTGCTTACGACCGTACAAATCTTTCGGTCGTTTTTTAACCCACTTCCCGTGATCCAATCGAGCTGACATTTTGCACACAGACTCGTTGTGCGTGACAATTAATTTTCGTGAAAAAAAATTCCTAAATTTTACGCTGTTTAGGGAAAAATTTTTTTTTTAATTACCAATTGCTTAATGGTGGCAGACAATCATCTGACCCATAGGTGGCAGCCATCTCAAGCCAGAGGACGAGAGGACTCTAGCCGCCACGCATATAAAGAATTTATAGTGAAAAACTTTGTTTTTACGGGTTAATTTTTTTCTCGTGAAGGAAAGTCCAACCTGATGGACGCCATCAGTTTCGTGCTTGGCGAGCAGAAAAGGAACCTGCGCGTTCGATCTCTTCGCGACCTGGTCTACGGCGCGCCCGTCGGGCGACCCGTGGCGAACCGTGCACATGTCAGCATGATATACGCCGAGGAGGGTGGCTCCCACACCGTCTTCACTCGCACCATCATCGGTCCGTCTGGAATGTCTCTTCATCGTCTAACCTCCTTCGTCTGGAAGTTGTGTGTGGTGGTTTTCAGTCTCGGGGAGGGCACCAGTGTGTGACGGAAATTTAGCGCTAGCTTTTTTTTGCTTCGGACTTTGATACCTTTGCGTTTGTGTGCGATTGGTTGAAGTATTGTTGGGTCATTTTGGACAGTTTTTGTTTTTATAGTTCTCGCTCTTATTTTGTCATTGTATTGTTTTGAGCTCAGATTCTATAGCAGTTTTCATCTCTGTAGCTTGGTGGGGTTTTAAACAATATATAATTTAAAGTGGTATGTTCTTTTGTAAAGTAGGCATTTGATTGTTGCACCCACTCCTTATTTGATTAATTGTCATGACTCGCAATTACATTCGAGAATCAATATTTTGCCGTTGTAGTGAATATTTATAGTATTTCAGTCACAAAAAACGCTGCATGGAACATCGGTTATAACAATTTGATACAAATATCATGATAGCAAAAATACAATGAGATTCATTAATCCCAATGCCAAATGGGGAAACGTATTATTTCCTGTATCCGAGCAATTAATTGTTCATTATTTATATGTTTACTGAAATTGGCTTAAATAAAAAAAACATGGGATTATGGGTACAACACCAGATTGAGAGCTTTTTACTTTTTATTGTCCAAAATTGCAAACCAAGTACATTGTGTAAAGCTGATATTCCAATTTAATACTTATTACACAGCGTGTCCCTTATTCCTGTTCTGACGCATGATACATTTCATTTAGAAACGATACATTACAATTGTATGACATTGTACATGACAGGTGACTTTATATATATTTTATTACGCAGGTTCTACATCGGAATATCGTGTTGACAAACGGGTCTTGAATTTCAATGAATATAGTGCACAGCTTGCCAAACGTGGAATCCTAACGAAAGCGAGAAACTTCTTAGTGTTCCAGGTGAGAGCACGGCACCTATTTTATCTGCGCATCTCCTCTTGATCGCCGGCCATTACAGCCACATATACTTGTAGATATGGGCTATCCATTTCATTCAATGATCGATTACTCGCCCATTTATCAGTTCCAATGTGTAAGTAATCATATAACATGAAAATTGTTCAGGGGGGAAAAGTCACGTGTTTTCAAATATGCCACTGGATTGGAGGCCATATGCAGGGTTTGGATGACTTCATCGCGATCATAAGGTTCCATTGCGTGGGGTGTTGCTTGTGGGGAATTTTCGGCCCCCCAAAAATTAGTCGATTACAATTTTTTGTTGAATAATTGTACAACTCTACTGGTAAGTTTGCACTCTGTACGTTGGACATTGTGTGAAAATTAACGTGGAGGTGTTGCTGACCGCGCGTCCTAGGGCGCGGTGGAGTCTATCGCGATGAAGACCCCGAAGGAGCGCACCTGGCTATTTGAGCAGATCAGCCAGTCGGGGGAGTTGGCTAAGGAGTATGAGCAGTGCAAGACCGCTATGCTCAAGGCCAACGAGGACACGCAGTTCAACTACCACTGCAAGCGCAACATCACGGCCGAGCGCAAGGAGGCACGGCTAGAAAAAGAGGAGGTAACATACAATTTGGATTCAGAAAGTATTTGAAAGTAAATCTTTTTAGTGCTTGCTGTGCCATGAATCAGATACATGGCCATTCGCAGAGAAAATAGAACAGACACTGAAAAGTTGACAAAAGAGCGTGGATATACATGTGCTTAGGAGACAGAAAGAGGAATTAAAGTATGGATCAGAGAGAAAGTGACCTTTCGCAGGACACCTTGAAAACTAATTTCTTTATAACTGCTTTTTTTTTTCGTTTGTTGTCCTTCCCTGCACCTCCGATTAGCACGGTTGTCTACGTACGGCGTGAAAGCAGTTCAACATACATAGATACAAGGGATGATGGCTGCTGGTCGAGCCTAAGACAGTGGCAGCCCCAGTCAGGAACTCACCCGCAGAGGTGGAGCGATGACACCAACTCGTATGCAGGTGCTAGATGGAATTGTTTGATCGGAGGAAAAATAAAGGAAGTCGGCACGTTTGGGAGCCCTTCGTGATGTCCTGCACTGGCTACCTATTAAATACAGGATCACGTATATCCATCAATCTGCTCCATCCTATCTTGCCGATCAGTATGTACCAGCTTCAACAGACCCAAATCGACTCCGACTATGATCCGCGGCTCGCAGCGACCTGCTGTACCCACATGTAAACCTTGTGCGATACGGCCAGCGCAGTTTCGGGGTCTCTGGCCCAAAGTCCTAGAACATGGTACCGGCTCATGTTCGGGATCCATCCCTGAGTCTGAGCCAGTTCCGCAACAGACTCAAAACAGTGTTCCAGTGAGCCTACTTCAACGTGTGATCAATGTGCATTCGTGATGGACTGGACTTATAAGTGTGCAATATCAAAGTTTCTTACTTCATCTGGCAGTGGATAGGCCATGGCTGGTGATGGTTATGGTAAAAGCGTGTATATGCAACTATAATATTAATTTTACCTAATGTTCAGCACCCCTTTGTGTTCCGCGCAGGCAGAGAATTACCGTCATCTGCGCGATGAGCTGGCCTCGGCCCACACGCAACTGAACCTCTTCCTCCTCTACCAAAACGAGCAGCAAATGAATCTTCTGGAAAACGAACTCGCCGGTGTCGGTGACCAGCTTAACCAGCAGCGTGCGCTCATATCCACCACGGATGATGAGCTGCGCGTGCGCAAGCAGGAGATAGGCCGCCTGGGTCGTGAGCTACAGCAAGTGGAGAAGGCTATCAAGTGGGTGGCCGTCACCAATGACGCACACTGACTTTCCTTGCCCTTTGACGTCGTTGGTTTTGTGTTGTTTTACAGTTTTTCCCTCCGGTGGTTGAAAAGATATATTTGCTGACGCACAGTCATCGCTGTGGTAATGTTCACAGGCCTATATGAGTGCATGAGCTAATACAGAACTTACATGTGAATTGACTTATTTGGTGTATTATTGGCAAACTGATCTTGCCCACCTGTAATACTTTTCACAGTTTGGGAACCACTTTGAGGTTTTAATCCTCCAGTGGCTGTCAAGTAGAAAAAAAAATAGTTGACTGCATGTGTCAAAGTTAACACGTAGTTAAACATCACTATCTGATACCAAACGGTTCACATCACAACGAATTTCCACATCCCATGGCAGATCAGACAACTTGCTATATAAGTGCAAATTCAAAGACAGCCCAGCGTGCAATGGCGGAATTACCGACCACACCAACAACATAGCGAATCACTGTGAACTCAGAAAATTATACAGAAGCATTGAAGACGTCGACTGCATGTAAACTGAAGAAATTTCCTATCGACACACACTTCTAAGTTTCTAATCACCTACTTAATTTCTTGGCCATGCCTAACAACTGTGGCAAGTGCGATATCAGCTCTTAGTCAACCATTACCTTTTGAGACGTAATTGGGTTCACCCCCAAAACTAAAAAAGGTGGAGAAGCCTTTATTCAGATTGACATAAAGAACAAAAGTAAAAAAATATATACTTGCATTTTTAGTGCACCTGTAACTTAACAAAACAATTCATAGCGCAGCTGTTAAGCCGAGGGGGGACCCCACAATGGCAGCTTGTCCCTGTGTTTGCACGCTACGCGTTTATTTCACAGAGCAAAAGAGATGGTTCTCGGGCAGTCGAGGCCACAGTACATCAAGGTGAAGGAGAACATCAGTCACCGGTTGCGCAGGATGGAGTCGGCCCGTCAGTCGCTGCAGAATGCGCGCACTGAGTGGGTACGACGCAAAAAGGACATCGATGAGCTGGAGCGGGAGCTGGTGGCCGTGGAGAGAGCTCGGCAGGACTTTGAGCAGCTCGTGGGCACTCAGAGCCAGAGCGAGGACTTCGAAATAGACGAGAGCCAGGTAGGTGCCGTGGCCCAGCGCCAACAACAATGAGCCACTCATTGAGACAGGGTAGCCAGGGAGAGCACCAATGAGTCTCAAGGCATCTTTTGGGGGACCAGGGGAACTTGTCAACATGTTCCAAGGCAGTCTTTTTTGGTCTGGGTGGTGACAATTTTATTGGATTATAGAGGCAAGTTAATTATTCGTTAAATTGTGATTGAAGAGTATGTGACAATGTCTGCTGGAGTTGGTTATTGCCTATTGATGTCATAGCACGGATTTTGAAACTCACACAAACTGTTGACAGGAACAATATTTTCAATATTCACTTTCCAGTCATACATCGCTGTCTTTCTTTGAAAGGTTCCTGCTTGGCCAGACTGCCACGAGACCAAAGTTTGGGTAGTTGACAAACTAATTCCTGAACGCTCCCTCGTGTTAACGTCACGACAGGTGCAGGAGTACTACTGTCTGAAGGAGGAGGCTGGCAGGAGAGCGGGGGGAATGACACAAGAGCTGGAGACTTTCAAGAGGGCACAGAAGGCCGACCAAGAACATCTGGAGCTTGAAACTCGTAAGATGAAGGAAACACAGGTCAGTGAGGGCACGACTTTGTGAGGCATGATATCATAATTTAAATTCATGAAGTGCTCTTAAACAGTTGTTCTCAGGGCGCAAGAGGTACTGTACAGTGATGGAAAATGTACAGTATTGCCTTCTTAGAGCAGAACAGGATTTCCAAGGAGCTTAGGAGGAACCACACATTAACACACCTGTTTTTTCAATAGGCCTTTGCATTGACAAAAAGTGACCGGGCGCACTAAAATTATCAACGGTGTTGCCAGGTGGAAAATATTCCCCTCTAGTTCCAGAGTGCTCTGGCTAAGATTCGTGTTATACGGTAGGGCCTAACGTGGCCAAGAGCCGTATGAAATGAAGTCATGGGCTGTAGGTTCCTCACACCTGGTCTACTCTATAGAACACTTAATTGCTGTTGGCTGCAGATTTAATTCACTCATTACCTATGCACAACATAAACAACTGAAAGAGATGAATATGAAATGGACTAATTTTATTCATCTGAGCTATTAGTTGCACGTATTGCCGATTCCTTCGCAAGCAACGGTACTACCTTGTTGATTTGGATTCTTGTTAGCGTCATACAGACGTGAAACTTTTTCCTTGTCTGCTGAGCCATACATGAAATTATGGCTCTAACTTAACTTGCATATCTGATTAAGTTACAGGGCTGATCATATCTTGAACACATACTTTGGGTATACATTTGAATAAATATGGGACTATACATTTTAATTAGACTGTGGGAATGTGCATGCCAGTGTTGTGTGTGCTTGTGTTATTTTTAGAGCAAAGTGAAGCAAAAACAGCAAGAGTTTGAAGACCAACAGAACAGAATTGAAAAAATTAAACAATATATTGAAAAAACCAGGTGTGTGTATCTCGCGCTAAAGCCAAATGGCTGAAATATACATGGTATCTCAATAATATATGCATTCCTACATCACATGCAAGCTATAAGCTAATATTACATTTAGGCTAATGGTATGAATGAAACTGATGATGCCCGCAAAATTATTGGTGCTGCCCTGGTTTGCCTGACTATATGTGAGGCTTGTTAGTGTTTGACTCCAATTGCTTTATACCGAGCTGTTTTGTCGTGTTCCTCTTTCTCTTCTCTGCCATGTTTTACTGCCCTTGACCCACTCTCTAACCTTATGTAGTGTGTTGTTTTTTTGTCGTTTTGTAAAACTTATTAAGACGCGCTTGCATTTAGACGCGACGTACATTTAAGTTATCGAATCGCGACCCCCGAATTGTGAAATGTCCATTGAATCACCCGAGGGAAGATGTCGTTGACGTGCCTGCCACGTGTATGTAGATCGGCGATAGAGGAGTTGGACGTCGAGCAGGTGAGTCTGACGGAGCAGGTGGAGGGCGCGCGGCGTCGTGCCCTGGAGATTAACGACGAGGTGGTGTCGCTCACGGCCCAGCTGGGCGACGCACGCACCGAGCAACACGAGGACAAACGCTTCAAGCGCCGCGCTGAGGCCCTCGACAGCCTCTTGAGGCTTTTCCCCGGCGCCATCGTGAGTGCTCCATGATGCGATGTAACGGTGCTGAAACGAGCCTTTATACCAGGGGTCGGGAACCTTTTTGACTGGGAGAGCCATAAAAGCCAAATATTTCTAAATATATTTCATTGAGAGCCATATAGTATTTTTAACGTATAATAAATTAAATATGTCTTACTTTTAATGCGACTTCTGGTGCTGCATGGTTTTGCTGATGGCCTTGTAGTCAGGTTCATACGTGGTGAGGTTGAGCTTCGTGCAGGCATGACCCGTGAAATTTATCTTCAAAACGAATTTCTGTTTACTTCAAAATGACACAGTATTATTAAGCAATATCACAAGTATTTTAAAATCAGTTCCAAACCGATTTTTTTTCAACTCAGAATTGTCTGGAAGTCATATGCCGTCACTGGAAGAGCCATATATGGCTCGCGAGCCATAGGTTCCCGACCGCTGCTTTATACTGTTTGTATTATGGGTTTATACTCGAGTCAATTGTGTTATGAGGCATGTAACTAATTGATTGATTAGAATTTAAGGAAAGTTTGGTTTTTTCCCATACTCTTTGGTTCTTTCGGTAAAGTCACATAGGTAGAAGAACCAAAGAGTATGGATTCCTGCAGTCACGAAAGCTTCAAATCAATATTTTTCCCCCATAATTTACCAAGATTGTGCTGTCAGCGTCATGCCATTAGACGAAGTATGCATTCACATCTCTCACAGACCAATGCAACCCAACAGTGTTAGAGAACGGCCCACAGAAGCTAACATCACAACAAAATGGGAGATCCCATCTCTTAAAGTTTACTCTGGTTCACATAGTTGGAGATTGTACTTTCCCACCTACCTCAGAGCTTGAATTTAGCCGCTTTAACTACAGAACCAAATTCAATGTGATGATGTTTTGTTCAGTCATTGGTGACTGGGCTGTGGGCTGAAACTATTAACTTGCTACGCTTGACACCCCAGTTTTAATGTAGGTGGCTCCTTGGATTCAAGCACAGGTTATTAGTGGTGCCGGCTCAGCATTTCCTGACGTCACAATACATGCATACAATCCCACGTAATCCATTCGAACGTTTTTTTTACCACCAGTCGTTAAAATGAACAAGACAGGACAACTGAGGCGGTGCTGAAGAGAGCAGCTGATGGAGGAAAAAATTAACCCGTAAAAACAAAGTTTTTCACTATAAATCTTTTATATGCGTGGCGGCTAGAGTCCTCTCGTCCTCTGGCTTGAGATGGCTGCCACCTATGGGTCAGATGATTGCCTGCCACCATTAAGCAATTGGTAATTAAATATAATGTATTTTTTCATAAAAAGTGTAAAGTTATGGAAATGTTTTTTCACGTAAATAAATTGTCACGCACAACGAGTCTGTGTGCAAAATGTCAGCTCGATTGGATCACGGGAAGTGGGTTAAAAAACGACCGAAAGATTTGCACGGTCGTAAGCGCGCAAGCAAGTGAACTTAATATAAAGGATTTAAAAATGAGACGTAACAAAGGAGCCTACAAATTAAACAGTGCAAATGACATTGAAGTAACTTGTCAGCAGCATCCGTTTGGAATTGAGGGATATCCTGGAAAAACCTAGTAACCCAGATATATCCACTTTTTTAAGCTAACCTATGCTCCATTCATTTGAAAATTTGACACTTCGGAGTATAATTTCGTTGTATGTTGGCACGTGAACTTAATCACTATTTCATCCACTTGATCCACCTCAAAACAAAAGCCTGCTTCCAACTCTCAACATAATCCTGCTTTCTGTGCATTGACATTTCATGGCTTATCACGTTTTTTACAGGACACTGCAACCTGGCCCACAAAACGTGCGCAACTGACGACGGGGTTGCTCTCTCTCCCCATTTGTGCTCCTGTCGTCACGTGCAGTTTGGGCGACTGGTGAACCTGTGCCAACCCACGCACAGGAAGTACCAGCTGGCCGTCACCAAGGTGCTAGGCCGCAACATGGAGGCCATCATTGTGGACACGGACAGCACGGCGCGAGACTGCATCCGCTACCTCAAGGAGCAGCGCTGTGAGGCCGAGATGTTCCTCCCTCTCGACTACCTGCAGGTGACCCTTGACCCGCTTTTGTTATTTTTTTGAGCATACAATAGATTGTGTGCCTGCACACTTGAGGATGTAACAATTCTCTCCGTGATTAACTTCATTGTCGCAATGCAGAACCACTAGCCGATTCAGACCCTGTAACCAAATCGCCCATGGAATTGTCGGTGAATGGCTTTAATACTGCAGTTATTTTACAAAAGTATACTCTAAAAATTGCAGTGCCCGATCCTGTCGGATAATAAAAAGAAATCCATTTTAGTGCTTGGTTGGGCAACCACCATGCATTAAACAGGTGTTATTTGGCTGATGTGTGGCCACATTGTGTGTAACAAAGGGCAGTATAACAATAATCCATAGTTGCGATGTAGTTGTGTAGTGACTGACTGGGAGACGCAAGTTCTGTGAGGGCAGTTCTTTAATTAAATCGAGCACCCTTTGCACAATACACACCCTACGCTGGTACACACTCTTCTCCCGCTCGTTTATACACAACTCTACGTAAGTTGCGAGCCTATTCACAACACTAGGCGTCTGACACTGACGGCGCTGAACCGAGACGGCAGCAGCACAATATCAGGTAAAGACGAAGGCGACGAGACAACCGCGACGATGGTGACGATCTTCAACTGCAACTACGGGGATCCCACTCCAAACGATAGCCCCGACGTCCCCTCCCGAGGCCCCTCTTATACTGTCAGCATGGCCTGGCTCCGTCCTGGCCACACCCCCCTTCTGGAACCTACTAGCGGGTTCTCGACGTGTCCCTTCCGTAACCTTTACCCTACATCCCTCTCTGGTCTATCACGTGCCCTGCTGTCAGTCAGGGCTGCTGTAGCTGCAGACCCCCTTCCCTGCCAGCAGCCAGCGCTATGCTGCTACGTGACCAATTCTATGTCACTACACTCTTGTACGTGCAGGCCAATTCCCTTCAGCCATTCCTCTTCTCATTCTTAACTGCCAGGTTCATGCCTATTTGCAGGTCGGTGCTGTGTATACCTAGTGCCACTAGTGGTCCACTTTGCTAGGCTGCAGCAGGGCACTGGAATGACTGAGATGAGATGTGATGAGGCACTTTTGAGTTGCTGAGGAATTTTAATTACAGCTCTTCAATTGCTTGTTCACACCACTACTGGCAGAAATGCCTTCACAGTAGGGAGCTCTAGAGAGGCCCTCTTAAGAATATTACCCCACCCACACGTGGACCTGACTGGTGTACCTGTTAATACTGCTGGATGGACAGGCGGGTGAATTGAAGAAATCCTGCCCATTGTTTCAACTGCTGTGCCAGGAAATAATATCAAACTGGCGACCGCTGGAAGTCTAGTGTGCTAGCCATTACACGATCCTGACTCAATTCATCCACCATTTTTGGTCCTCTGCAGGTGAGGCCGATCAACGAGCGCCTGCGGGAGCTGAGGGGCGCCAAGCTCCTGATGGACGTCATCAAGTTCGACCCGCCGCAGGTGTCGCGCGCGCTGCAGTTTGCCTGCAGCAACGCTCTCGTGTGCGAGACGCTGGAGGACTGCACGCCACATCGCCTTCGGTGGCCACGTCCGCCAGAAGGTGCGATCCGTAGCACCCAACCTGCTTCGAGAGACCAAGCTTATTGGCAAATGGTGTGCTTTTTGTTAACTTGTTTGTGATTAAACTTGATTCGAGGCTATCGTGACTGCAGGAATTACTCTTTGGTTCTTTCGGTAAAGTCGTGTAGACAGTGTCTCTGTGTTGTCTCTCTCTGCTTGTGTGTCTGTCTGTGTGTCTCCGTGTCTGTGTTTTGTCTCTCTCAAATTTAACAATCTTTGGAAGAATGTAATCAACCAGGTAGGGTGTTGACTGTTGTGTTAGCCGACTCTGTGTTGTATTGCATTGTATTTCTAAGTTTACTAGGTTTGTTTTCTACCTGATGACGATTGCTTGTGTTGCAATGGAAACGTCGTATTCTATTATTTAATTGTTTGTGATTACGGTGCAGCCAAATCATCATCAAGTGCCATCCTCATAACTGCGGGTTGATGTGCATGACAGATGCTGACCACCATTGACCATCTTTATAGTATTTCAGGCATAGTCCAGTCCAATTGCTCAGCATTATCCAATCTACTGATACATTTTCTTCCTGTTTTCCCTTCAGTTTTTCTTGTAGGATCACCTCCTTTTGAAACGATAATTATGTGTCCGCATATTATGCCTCTGTTCTCATGAGATTCCTCAGTTGTTTATTATTTTCTATTAATACATCTGTCTTTTTGTTTCCATTCTTCTGTAACACCACATCCTAAATGCATTCAGTCTTTTCATCTCATCCTTGCCCATTGACCATGTTTCACTTGCATATCTCAATACACCACACGAGTATTTTCTCTATTTTCGTACTTTTCTGTTCATTGATTGACTCGTTATTACCAGTGTTGTCTTCTTAAATGCTGCTTTAACCATCCCCTAGGGCCCATGAATGAAACATGAATGGGCGTTTTGTCTTAACCTACTTAAGCATTGTGCATAGGTACTGAATAAATGTAATCTGCAACCAACAGCATTTAGTGTTCCATGGACTAAGTTAGCCTGTGACCATATTCGTGACGATAAATCATGTCCCAAATGTGTACATGTACAGCCCTTTTGTTAATCCACTGCTGGATGGGGGCCTCACCATGCTATGAGGGTCGTGAAGCTTACTTGACGATGTCGCCAATGGCCAGTGTGGATTGGTGAAGAGCTTAAATCTGGAAGCATAGAAGTCTGGTTAGAACAATGGATTATTCTGCAATGCCCTCTGCTGCTCACAATATAACCCTGCACCCTTCTGACAACTGGTTTGTTAATGGTGGTCACCCATAAAAGCATTATGTATTATCAACTCTGTTTAGCTTGCAAGATTCGATGATATGATGTGCATTCTGGGTGATTTGCCATGGTGTAATAGTTAGAACACTTGATTGTAGTCAAGAGTTCGCCAGTTCGATCTCCCGATGTAGTATTTGAAACGAGAGCATGTTTTTAAAATTATGCCACAGTATGAATATGTATGCCACGGTTAATCAATCGGGATTTTGGTATGTTGGAATAAAGAATAGCCGCTCCCACGTCGTTCAAGGCGTATTGGCAATAGGCCAATATCCTCTACAAGGACTTTATAGAGCTGCTTCTATTGGAAGCTTTTCCCCAAGCAGCAGCATGAGAAAGTAAGTGCAGGGATGCACCTTTACCTTTTGCTAGTCTTCCGCCTGGTTGTAAATAACGGCTTCTGTTGTCGCAATCCCATCTTGGGTGTGTCCCCGGCAGTGCGTGTCGCTGGACGGCACCCTCTTCTCCAAGTCTGGTGTGGTGTCAGGTGGCTCTAGCGACCTGAAAGCCAAGGCTCGGCGCTGGGATGACAAGCTGGTGGACAAGCTCAGGGAGAAGAAGGAGCAGCTTTTGGAGGAGCTTCGCGTGCGTTTTACTTGGCGATGTTTTATACGGGCAGAATGTGACACTGGAGAGCTGGCCTCGTTTTAAAATTTGTGAAAAACACTCATATTATACTGTCTTGACATTTCTTCTTGTGGCCGAATAAAACTCAACAGCACACGAACCGTTAAGTTGTTTCAAGAATTAGTTCAACCCTCAGTTTTTCCTTATTGTTTTGTTAGAAAAAACAATGAATGTTTTTGTAAATTATAACTCATCAAACATTTTTTTTTTAGTTATGTTTTAACAGGAAGGTTGTAAAAACTGTTCGCATTTAATTATGAAGGGTATTTTCCTGTCTCCCCACCAACATGTGCAGGTAAATTTAAGCATAAGACGCAAGGAAGCCGATCTGCGGCAGATACAGTCGCAGCTACACGGCATGCAGACCAGGCTCAAGTACTCTCAGAGCGACATGGAGCAAACACGCGTCAAGCTGCAAGCCAGTCTGCAGGTGCGCAGTTGTCCTGTGCTTGGTAAAGCGAGGGTGAGAGGTTAAATGACAAAGAGCAGCAGCCAGGCAAAAAAGATGTTCCTGGAGGTGGCCGGGTGGCTCAAACGCCTAATACAATGCAATTTGAATGAATGTTAAATGTTTTTTTCATCTTAATTCAACTTAATCTAGCTCTGATAATTAAAAATATGTTTTGGCATGTGATAAACATTCTTTGCAGAATATGTAAACATTTGCCCCAAGTGTGACAATGACGCTATTGCTCTCTGACATAGTCTGTTAAGGTTCTTCTCTGACAGTTGCAAGAGCTCCAAATTAGAAACCTTTGTACCTAGCACATTTTATAATTTTATTTAAATGAAAGGATTATATATCATATTTATGTCACTGCATCTTAAGTTACAAGCAGATGGAAATAGGATAAAATGTGGGTCTTTTGAGCCTTTGCGCCTGGACTTGAACAGGGGCATGGAGCTGATAGCATGGATGGCCGAGGGAAATTAGTTCCAAACTAGAGGAGTATCAGAGGAGAATGAGTGACTTCCCACTAAGGGATGGTCCACTGGGGCTTGTATAATGACTTGGTTGCTATATAGTGGAGACTTATGGGGTTTCTAGAGGAGATGAGAGTAAAATGCATTTAGGGGAGTAGAATGAGAGGGGATATGTAGACGGTGATGAGTCCTTAGAGATGTATCTTGACTTGGATTTTGCGCGTTACTCCATCCAGGAAAAGTCAAAACTGGAGTCTCACCTCGCAAACTTGGAGCCGCATATGGACGAGGTGCGAGAGGGCATGGCCGCACGAGACAATGAAGCTGAGGAAGTCACCGAAAAGATGAATAAGGTATTGTTATGGCTGTAGCTGTTGTTCACATTTATAGTTAAGACAGGTGATTGAGCCAAGAGTAATGTCTGTTACTGTAACACAGGTCAGATTGGTGAATTTTAACAAAGTAAATAGAAAAGTATCTTGGTTTGGAGAAGCAATGCATTAGAAGGATGATAGGGATTTAATGAAAGGAATAGGCTAAGAAACTTGACAGTTTATTAGAGAATGTAGAAATGAATTTATATGTATACAGGTAGTCCTCTACTTACGATGGAGATGCGTTACAACGACCCCATCGTTAGTCAAAAATATCTCGTCGTGATTTTTATTTTATTTTAATTTTACTTTTATTAATTAAAATTTTTTACCTACGTGACTTTACCGAAAAAACCTAAATATGTCAAAAAAATCGTAAGTCGAAGATGGCCTCGCCTACCCATGAGTCTTAAAGAATGGTGATAATTTAGCAATACAGAGCAATTTACAGTAGCGTATTGTATAAACTATATACTGTATGTATTTATTAATTACAATACTGTATTGTGCAGTAAAATGTAAAGTAAAAAAACAAGGTAAATTCTTAGCCTACCTATATGAACTGCAATTTAATAGAAAGTTTTTTTCAGGAAACAATCCTATCTGCTATAAAAACTTTTAACATGCATTTTGTCGTATCGCCATCGTAAGATCGAAATATCGTAAGTCGGACCATCGTAACTCGGGGACTACCTGTACAGAAACACGTTACAATAGGTGGAGACAATATGCAAGATGGGAGGAGGGAAGGTTACCAAGACAAGCATTTCGGTGGCATTCAGAGGTCGAAAACCAAGACAAATATTTCGAAGGTAGATGGTTGGATATTTTAAGAACATACCTTGGAGGTCAACCATGAGGAACCTCGGAATTTGCAATGTTTATTTATAAAGCAGAGATATTAGAAGGCTGTTAGCAGGACAGGCTGATTTTAGTACTGGAAATGGTGTTCTTTTGTTTATGTTACATTTCTCAGTGTAAGTTTAATGCCATGGACTTGCTTCCTGACGTTTAGTTGGAGGATGAGGTGTTTAAGGATTTCTGCGTTGAAGCTGGAGTCGCCAACATCAGAGAGTTTGAAGAGGTAAAGCTCAAGTGGCGTGAGGAAGTCACAAAGAAGGGGTGAGTTCCGACAACCTGTCCATCACAACAGTCTTCGGACCTATTCAATCCACTGCGAAAAATTATGTTGGCACTTGTTGACACCATCTCATGTTTTCCTTATTAGCTGTCCCGTTACAGATGCATCCACTGCTTCAGTTCTATATTTAAAACACAGGCACTGGCTTTACGATAGCCGTGGCCAGGAATCGCTCAGGTTGCCGGATTCATAGCACATTGTCCTAGTTACTGTTTTCACCATTCTACCCAAGCTTATGAATGTACGTACGTATGTTGAACTTAAACTTTATTCGTGCTGTATGTAGCCTACCGTGCTCATCGGAGGTGTGGGGGTAGCACAACAAACTAAGCTCAAAATCAATTTTAAAGAAATTAGTTTTGAATCTTGATTTAAAAGTCCATAGCTCCAGTGGCTTCCTAATATCAGAATGTAGAGCGTTCCAGACGGCCGCACATGCACCTCTGAAAGCGCGATGGCTAACCAAAAGCCGCTATAACTGAGATATATATATATTTTTCTGGATACCCATCTCAGTTCGGAGTTTGACAACCAGAAGACGCGACTGGGCATACAGCTGGATTACGAGAGAATGCAGCTGAAGCAGGAGCAGAGCAAAGTGAAGATGTGGGACGCGGCAATTGCCAAGGACGAGGCCGAGATAGATTGCGTGAAAAAGGTAACGCTGCGCTCACTGCTTCAGTCTCAAGTGGCCTGTGGGTCAGATGTTGCGTCATTTGCATGTCTTGGAATATGTTGGTAATTTTTGGTTTGTTCAATTTCAACACTTGTACAATCATCCAAACAGTTAATGTGCGAAGTCTTACATGCTGCCATGGTGGATTATGGGTTAAATATTAAAGAAGCGCATTGGCCCGTTTCGACCAACTTAGATTAAAATAAACTTTGGTCTATCAACCTATGGGCCTTTGAAATTAATGTTTAGCAGCATTTGTGTAAGGTGCATTAATTTGGTTTTCTTACTGAATTAAACTTTTACGTGGTAAAACAAACCCTTGTATGTTTATTATATTCGGTATTGAACTTATTAGTAGTTGTTCTTTTCTATTAAAACAACCCTTTTTACCTGTAAATTGTGGAACAATATCTCATACACCTACACAGGGGAGATTTATTTCAGAATTTTTTTCCAAATATCTCTCTCTGTATTATCAGTCGCTATGATTCCGTGGGTCAAAACATAAATTTGTACCGTCTGCTCACACCGTGGCATTTTTTACAGGATGAGCAGAGGAGTCGGGATGGGGTCGAGCATCTTGTGTCCGAGATGCACACCTTGAAGAATCAACTTTTGGCCAAACAAGGCGAGGTCACCAATAAAGCACAAGCGGCCGAGGAGGTTCGGAGGAAGCTGTTAGCCTTCAACAGGTCGGTGTCTTGTCGGCAGGGGGCTCCAAACCAGTTTGTTCCGTCTTTGTTCACCTTTTTTCCATGGAGGCAGCTTAGAGGCCAGTGCTGAGCTGGCACCACTGAGACCACTGAGACTCGGAACCCAACTGGCTGCCTTTGTTGAACTGTGTTCTCAAGTGTAGCGAGTTGGTGATCTCAGGCCGGTTACAAATGACAGCACACAAAAAAACTATCACAATAAATTGGATTTTGTGCTTAATATGGATAAATTCCACCTCTTAGAATGTAATATCTTTGTGATTTCCATGTATAGACATTCCTCAGTGGTAGTGGGTGGGGAAGTGCGACCCTCTACTGTGTGGAACAGAGGTCACTTTGAAAGGATCTGAGAAGTTCTTGGATAGCTGCTGCCAGAACAATTCAATAACATGTAGAATGCACTGCCCTGGGAGAGATCTGAATATATACTTTCCATGAGCCTAAGAATCACTTGAAACAATCTTTTTAAATCAATGACTCAGCACTGCCTTCACATTATCCTGGTCATCTTTCTTTTTCACCTGTGCCCTGTCCACCCCAGACAAGCAGTGCAGCTGCAGAACGAAGTGACAGCGCTGGAGACAAAGCTGGAGCAGCAGCGCAGCACACGGCACAACCTGCTGCTGACGTGCAAGTTGCAGGATATCAAGCTGCCTCTGCGCAACGGCAACATGGACTCCATCAGCCAGGAGGCCCGTACACACACACCATATGGCTGCAGATGACATTCATGAAAAATTGGAACTCGTGTTATCTTGGTTAAAGGAAGATGACACCCAAAGAGAGATTAGGTTGTATGTTTATATTACTATAAAAACATAATTGGCAATAACAATACTAATACGTTTGACCTTTGGTGGGTCATAGCGACCTCTAAAACAGCCTAGCAAGCGCAGCACCCTATGCGACCGAGTCGATCCTGAATGTCACAGCCAAGTGGTACCTCGGACAACCATGGGGCTTCTTGTTTGTGGTTTGTTTGGCCTCATTCCTTGGTACATTTGAATAGTAAACCAAAGGACCAGGTGTAGCTGTGCCAAATCATTCATCCATAGTACATGCCCCCACATCAACATTGCAGTATAAATCAGTGATATTTAAAATAAAAAATGCTCGTGAAATCGTGTCCTCTTGGCACTTGCATTGAGCGTTGCTATCACAGATATGACATTTTCCTAGTGCACAACCCGCATTCGTTGGCTTAATATAGCCAGTTCCCACCATGCGTTGCATGTCGTGACAAAGTTAAATAAATAAAAAATGAAGCAGTCATTCTGCCGTGACAATACTAGGGCATGCTATTGCGCCTCTCCCAAAAGTTACCTTGACTTTGTATTCTTTTTTCTTCTTGGTTCTTTCGGTAAAGTCACGTAGAAGGGAAATAATAAAATAATAAAAATAAACCACAATAAAATAATTCTCACCACGTTTCGGCCACAACGCAAGTGAAGACGCTGTCTCCCCGACAGACCTGAGAATTATTTTATTATGTTTTATTTTTATTATTTTATTATTTCCCTTCTACGTGACTTTACCGAAAGAACCAAGAAGATGAATCCCTGCAGTCACGAAAGCTTTAAATATAAATTTTGTATAATTTTTTTAACCATAAAGTCTTCAATCTCATGTCAGTCAGCCACACATCCTAGGCACATACCTATAAAATACGTGGTCTTGTCTTGGGTTGCTTTTCCTTAAACCTCAAGAACATACGACCCTTTATTTCATGCAGCCCCTAGCCACATGATGCCTACACTACAAAATGGCCTACATGATATTTAGATCTGGCAACACTTTCTAATTTTATCATTCACAGTAATATCTGTCACGAGGGGTCTTTTGCAGTGATATGTATATATGATATGGCAACACGTTTAGCATATTCAATCACTACGGTCTTTGCAAGGGCCTCTAGCAGTGTGTATTAAGGTGTGTGGCACTCCACCAAAAATATTTGATAATTCCTATTCCACCCTCAGGAAAGTTGCCTGACCACTGCTGTAGGTGAATGAATAGGATGTTGTGCATGTGGCTCTGTGTCCTGGCAGCTGGGGGCTACACAGCCAGAAAGTACAACAGAGACCGGGACGAGCTCGGAGCACACCAACTCCGTTTACGCGCGTGAAGCCGCCATTGAGGTGGACTACCGCAAGCTCAGCCGCCAGTATAAGGTATGTGCCCTGTGCTGGAAAAATTGCCGTTGGCTGCACCAACCATCGTCTGCTTTGTTTTTTCCCCAGTGCTATTTCCATACTTACAATTAATCCTTGAAAAATAGAGCTAAATCAGAAATACGCCATACAAAATGTTCAGGATTTGATTTGAGCTACGTACATCTAATTAGAGGAACTGTGGTTGTGTTCTCTCATAGTTCTGGCGTATACCCAGTCGAGCCTTCTGGTTGAGGCAAATATCCGTGATAGCCGATTCCATTAGCCGTTTACTAGCCTGAAGGGTTGCATTGCCCTGCTCGTTGATCTCATGTGATGGCACAATTTGAATGAAGTTGGGGGGGGGGGACAATAAAATTATAGGAATATTTAAGACCTCTTAATCCTTGCTTTCGCTTAAACTCAGGTGTACGTCTCCTTGTGTAGGACATTAACAGGGAGGATGATATCAATCATGCCACAGATGAGCTGAATAAGCAGGTGACAAACCTGCAAACTGGTATGCAGCGCATCGTTGCTCCCAACATGAAAGCTACAGAGAAGTTTGAAAATGTGCGTGGCAAGTTCCTGGAGACTGCCGAAGGTATTGTAATGATTTGGTCTGTGGCTTTGCTTTGCTGTACTATCGTGTTGTGTCACATGATCTCTTGAGATCTAGCTCCCCAATCGACTACAACAGTTGAAAATGTTGCTATGCTTTAAGTTATGCTGTAAAAATTGTCATCTTAAACATATATGGATGAAGGCCTGCCCAAGCAGTTTCTATCTCTCACAGTCCTGGGTTTTCACAATACAACTCGTACCTGCACACAAGCTGATTTCATAACTCTGGATATCCCGTAGGCTGTGTTCTCACCTTTGCTTCCCATTCCGTCATGAGCCTTGACCACCAGCTATTATTGTGACATGTCCCACATGATACCACTTGTATTTCTTAATATGAAGTCAATAACTTTGGTATATACTATGATCAATGTGTTCTTCTTTCCATATCTTATTATAATTCCAAGCACAAATCACTTCCTGCTTCTTTGCACACTTTTCCGTTTTTTATTTGTTAGCGTCCATTCCTGATCCATATTTCATAGCAGGTATTATACAATGATTAAAAGCTTTTTTTAGGCAGGCACATTAGTATTTTGCTTTTTATGATGATTAACTTCAGTTGTAGAAAATGCTTTCAATATGCTTCTCTATGCCTTTTATTGAATCAATGTGATATTGGTTTATCTTCAATGACTGTCCCAGGTATATGTACTTTGCTGTGTTCCTTCAATAGATCCAGTAATACCCTGATTTACGTCTCCCCCTTTTACCTCGTTTCGCAGAAACGTTTATTAATACAACTACCTGATTTGCGTCGCCTCAACCCACATGTCGCTTATAGCATCATTCGTCCTTTTTAAATCCGTTGCCTTCGCCTCTACCGTCGCTGTAATTTGCTTTGATTTACATCGTTTCGATATTGTTCACAACTTTCAGGAACACATCCCCGACGTAAACCGAAGTATTGCTGCATCTCCATTTGTTTATTGAACTCTCCGCTGAGTTCTTGTGTATTACCCTTTGTTCAGCGTCACGCCCCAATGTTTCGCTCTGCATGCTTGGGAGCTTCTTCAGGATTAAATTTAACTTGTTGGACATGCATGCAAAAGGAGTAAATGAAGATTGAAATCAGGCAATGATTTAAAAATCGATCATATTGTGTACAGCGCTTGAAGAGAGCAGGAAAAGATCAAAGCAAGCACAAATGGCATTCAACAAGGTGCAACGGCTGAGATTCGACCGTTTTAATGGGTGCCTGGAGCACCTGTCCATCGCAATCGATGACATCTATAAGAAGCTGGCGCAGAACAATAGTGCACAGGTAGGAACCTTTCAGATTTATATACATTCTATCACATACAATTGCAAAGGTATGGGGGATTAAATAATTGCATGCCTAGTAAATGCAGTATACATTAGTGTACATCTCTGTAGTAAAGAGTTCAAGACGACACACTTTTGAAATATATTGCATGTAAATGCATGTCAATATTCTGTACGTAAATAATTGGCATGCTTATTTTATAGAGGCAGTCAGTTATATGCTCCCCTGCCTTCACGAACCCGCACTGCCAGCACGATAACATGGTCAAATAAGCGGTGTATTGACAAAAGGGCTGTACATATACATCTTAGCATTGACATTAATCCCGTAAGCATAAACCATCTGGTAAGATATCATTCAAAATGACTGTTTTCAAAAGCATATACAATATAGGCATTAAGTCTCTTACTCCTCTTTCAAAAAGTATAGATTTATATTCATGCCCATCATCCCTTTGCATACAGTTTGTACATGTACAGCCCTAATGGTCAATCCCGTGCTGAACGAGGGCCTCCCCATGCCGTGCGGGTACATGGGGGTTATTCGACCATAAGTTTTATCATGCCTGATCGAGGTGTGTTGGTGAAGTCTGGCACTGTTGACACAGGAGCATGAGATAGTTCAACAGTGGATTTTGCTGCACTGCCATCTGCTGCCTGCAGTGTAGACAGCACAGCATAGGCATCTATAATAATAACCCTTGCTAACGTTTTATTGTAGGCATTTCTGGGACCGGAGAATGCGGAGGAGCCGTACTTGGACGGCATCAATTATAACTGCGTGGCACCTGGAAAGCGCTACCAACCCATGGACAACCTGTCCGGTGGGGAGAAAACCGTGGCTGCTCTCGCTCTGCTCTTCGCCATTCACAGGTTTGTCACGAGGAATTGATTGTGTCCTCGCTAAGCTTTAATTGAATGTGTCCACAGTCAGGCATGGGGCGGCCCTCATCCATTAGTGGATTGACAAAAGAGCTCTGCATTGCAAACCGTTTACAGTGTTTGGAGGGATGTTGTATAGAGCCATGTTGTATGCATGTCGGTCTACTCATTAATTCGTGTCCTCCCACAATATGTTTTAATTTCAGCTACAGACCTTCACCTTTTTTTGTCCTGGATGAAATTGACGCAGCCCTGGATAACACAAACATTGGAAAGGTAAGTGTTAGATGACTTTACGCTATTTCGTAAAAAATAAAGCAATAATTGAAAGACAATGCATGTTTTTTTTAAACCTTCTGAACTCTTGAACCAGCTTCTTTTTTTCCAGCAGAAATATTCAGTCAGTTTTACACCAAGGTCCAGTCTTTGCATTTCCAGCTGATTATGCTGATTATAAAAATGTAATACAACTCCTTGTGATTGATTTACAAGATTATGTTTCTGAACTTGACAAACCTTCAACACAGTATTGAGCTATGAATTTGACAACCCGAGTTTAAGTACCAGCCACAGCTGACATCGGTGCCGAGTGATATCTGAACAGGACCTGGGCTCTTCCTCCCACTTCACCAACCCCGCACTGACCAGCATGGTGAATTATCGTCAAATAATCTCCACGGTCGGCATGTCAAGGCCTTCATCTGGCATTTGCTCAACAGAGGGCTCTTGAGTTTTTTTTTTTCTTGATCACAGGACATGGGGCCTTGATGCCCATCCACCTTGTGCAGTTGACAGGCCGATTATCGCCAAACTTTTAGCGTGACCCAAGTCTCCTGTGTACTGCCCGGCGGGGCAACACTTACACAAGTGGGGTCAACGTTTAGTCTTGCAATCAAGCTGCATTAACCCCACGGGAGAACGTGGGGAGACCATGTTCCTCCCAGTTTACCAAACAAAGGGTTTGTGTCGTGTGCAAGAGCCTTACAAAGCATTGTTGCTGACTTGTCTGATCTCCTGAAAGACGGGGACACAAACATGTATGTATATGGAGCCCCCCTTTTGTATCAGAAGCCTCCGTTTTATGCGTAAGTGGTCGTCCCAGGCCACCAGAGTTTACCTTCACTGTCGAACACATGCGAATTCAATTATGCGTTGATTGTGTGTGACGTCTGCAACTGGTTCACTTTCCAATGCACGCTGGCGCTCGAGGAGAGACTGGAGTGAAATTGGCAAGTCACTGCGTTTAATCATTTCCAGTGACGTCAGCTTGGACTGTGTATTGAGCTGTACTGGCGCTGGCTTTGAATCTCGTGCCACTGCGCTGGCTTGCAAACGTATCAGCCCCGAGCTCACATGATGAGGTTTTAGTACCCATTGTATATACAGTTTTTTTCATATTTTTCAGCAGTTGGCATTTACATAAAAACATTTTCGTGCAGTTCCTTTATTTTTCATTTCAACTTTAAGCAGTGTTGTGAAGTGCTGTAAGTAAAACAAACACAGATGAAGATGGGTATAAGCACACCTTATATAAGCACAGTTTTGATGTAAGCAACACATCCTTGCATTACACTGATGGGCGGAGGCACAATGCAATTTCTGATAAAAGCATGCAACTTCTGATGTAAGTATACCTGGCATTGTTCTTGTGGGGTGTGCTCATGTCCAGCTTCAACTGTAACGAGCAGATTTATGATTTTCAACATTCCCCATTTAATTAGTTTTACCCCTCAACTGTGAACCGTTAAAAGGGCCAATATGACTACGTTTTGGCTACTAATTTCTTTGAAACAATTTCTCTCTTTCCTAAGGTGGCAAACTACATCAAAGAGCAGTCTGTGGAGAACTTCCAGGTTATAGTCATCTCCCTCAAAGAAGAATTGTTTGCACGTGCTGACGCACTCATTGGTGTATACCCCGAGGTATTTTGTTTCTCGCTTCTTAGATTTTTTTTGGAAACATTCCAATTTCCCGGGCCAAAGAAATTACGTAAATTACCGTTGTAGTATGAAGCAAGCAGTGGATAGCAATAGGTAGAGAGGGCAACTGAAATATAGTTGTTTCAATCTTAAACATATCAATCATGAGATGTGGTCCGGGTGGCTGAATGATCAGGGCTCCCCTGAAGTCAACAGTTCAAATCTAGTTTTCTGTCGCCCATGGTTAAGCCAGGTTCTCAATTGCAGTGAGGTCATGGTCATCAGAGACTGCAAACAAAATATTGCATAGCATTTAATGGATTTAATTTGGATAAAATCCAGCTCTGAATATTAAAAAAAACATTGGTTTGACTGCAACCGGATGAACATTTCTAGCAGGGTGTGAAGGCTAGAGAATAGACACTTGAATGATGCTTAGAAGAAGCTTTTCTACAGGCCGTGTGTTCTAGCAAGCGGTTATTTGCTGCTCTGCTATTATTCAAAATATATATATATTTTTCGCCTCAAGACTTGATGCCAATAAATACATTTTATTAAAATTGTGGATAAAACCAGAGAAATTCTAAAATTAAAAACGTACTGTTCGTGCAATTTGCTTGTAAGGACAATGCAAAATGTCACTTTTTAGATTCACCAGATGCCTTTGTGACTGTTAGAATGTTACATCCCTAACTGCTCTATTTAATTATTGCAGAGTATTAATAAAAAATGTTTTTTATTGTGTAAGTTCCTGCATAGGCAGAAGCATTAGATTAAAACAGGATATATTTAAATAAAAATTGTATCACTAGAATCTTGACTTAAAGCTTTCGTGACTGCAGGAATTCATCCTCTTTGGGTCTTTCGGTAAAGTCACGTAGATAGAAAAATAATAAATAATAAATCACGACGTTTTCATCGCAACACAAGCAATCGTCTTCAGGTGAAAAAATACAGCAGGAGAACTGCTGAGGCAGGATAAATATATATGTGAATTATTTCTCCTTGTGTTGCAATCGAAACGTCATGATTTTATTATTAGTATGTATCACTAGATTTGAGCAGATTGTGTGTGTATATAGATCCAGGTGTATTTTCCTATTGGCAAAAGTTATTGTCTGATGTGCAATCTGCTGTTAAAAGGTTACTTTATACTTTTCCTGTAACAGTATATCATTACAAATCAATTCAAATCATTCAATTCATCTACACATCTCTTATATTACATTTCCATGCTGCATCAGCATTATTACTAAACATGGACTGTTTCCTGATTTAGAATGGAAGAGTGTAGGGGCAAGTGCTGTTTGCGAGAACATATTAATGCCAGTACCATGACTGATCATTTTTGCTCATGCTAATGTTTCAATACCCCACTAAATTATAGGTGAGACGACCTGAGAAGGTCTAGGAAACATTTAGATGCCACTTACCGCTCATAATAATTTTAATTTACACAGTTATCACTCTGGGAATAGAACCCAGGTTGCCAGGATTGTAAAGCGGTGTACTAACCATTGAAGTCCTACTTCCAGCAATTAATACAAATGTGTGTGGAGTAACAATTGCTTTTTTAACACATTACAAAAAAAATAGGATTTTTGCTGCCCTTAGAAAATCCAACTCCCTTCCCCATGCCTTCCATCATGTCGACTTCCCGCCCCTCTTCAATTCCAAGCTTAAAAAGTTAACTTTTTCCTTTGCCTGTGGATTTTACTGCACTGCTCTCTGCTGCTCACCACATAGTCCTGCAGCAGCCTGTATCCTCTGCCTATAACTGCCTCTCTCTACAAAATAACTTCCCAAAGTTTCTGTGCATAATCTTGAGGTGAAGTCAGATTTAGATGCTATACTAATCCATTTTGCATTGTATTGTTGTCAACAAATGTTTGCCCATTCTTTGTGTGTGTGTGTGTGCATTTGCAGCAAGGGGACTGCTTGATCAGTCATGTGGTGACGATGGATCTGTCGCGCTTCCCCGACGAGCTGTCGGCCGACAGGTCCCATCAGCGCCGCGAACACGACAGCGCCTCTGTGCACTCCGCTTTATCGGATAATACGTTCACTCCGAATTCCTCTCTAGCGTAGTGTTCCTCCACTACTCCTCGCTGCCTATGGCCACGTCTGTGCAGCCCTTAAAGTAGAGGTGGGGATTTGAAGCTTTCGTGACTGTAAGGATTCGTACTCCTTGTTTTTTTCGGTAAAGTCACGTAGGTACAAAATCAAATCAAATAAATGAAAACAAATAAATTAAATCACGACGTTTCGGGCGCAACACAAGCGTCCGTCAGGTGAGGACAACGTAGCGAAAGCACAACCGCTTACGTGTGTGATTTAATTTATTTGCTTTCATTTATTTGATTTGATTTTGTACCTACGTGGCTTTACCGAAAAAACCAAAGAGTATAGAGGTGGGGAACCTATTAACTAACTAACTAACTTTATTTTACAGGTAAGGCCCACTGAGCTATGTAACCCTTTTTCAGAAACAACCTGGACACATGTGATAGCCTAATGATGTGGCTTATCACGTGGACATTTATAGCAGCCAAATACTCGAAATGCACATTTCTAAAAGTGGAGTAAATTAAACTTGGGAGCCTGGATAAAAATCCACTTGATCACAGGGAGAAAATAGAAACTCCAAATATTATAAAGGCGTCAGGGTCGGGATCGAAACCACGACCTGTATACCAGGATGAGGTAGTTAACATCTTGCCACTAGCCCCTTAATTTTATGCATCCCATAGCTTTGAAACTGCCTGCAAATGATAATTATGCATTACTGCAAGCATCTTTGCCGTAGTAGTCAGATACTAGAGGGGATTTTTTCCCACCAGGCAGCAACACTGTTTGTGATGCTAGCATATTCAGTATTGTATCAGTGCAAAGGTCTCTTTCAGTGACAGAAGTGATTGAGGTGTGTATTGTTGTGTCATTACCCGCCAAAGATATTTGAAAGTCTTACTCGCCGCTCGAGAAAAAGATTCCTCACCGCTGCCTTAAATTAAGGCGTCTGTAACCAGTAACCAGACAGCCCTTGTAAATATACACCAAGGCAGTGCGTCCTGGGCTGTCCTTCGTGAATTTGAAGCTTTGTTAAAGTAAAAAAAAAGGTTTTGTCAATGTGCTCTGGTGATGTCGAGGCACTGATATATTGAAACGATTTGAATTAAACACTGAACAAGGTACACAGAACAGTGATCGTCGGTGAATGTGTACATGGACAGCCCTCAATGCACTGCTGCATGAGGGCCTCCACAAGCCAATTTCTAGTATTTACATAACTACAGTAATTAGAAATGTACAGTCACATGATACTTTTTGCAGAGTGTAACATGAATGCAATATTCCTCGTAACTAAATTATATTATTTCTAGATTTGAAGCTTTCGTGACTGCAAGGATTCATACTCTTAGTTCTTTTGGTAAAGTCACGTAGGTAAAAAAATGAAATAAAAATTTATAAAAACAAAAGAATTAAATCACGACGTTTCGGAGGCAACACAAGTCTCCGTCATCAGGTGGGACCGTCACAGCCAGATTTGCAGCAAATCAACGCATTTTATGTTCATACGTATTTCATGTGTATTCGCCTCTGGGTTGTTAATAACATAAGATATTCTATTTCTTCATCCTCTCACCATGTAAATAAGCGATAATTATTGCATTTAAATCCTAATTAACATACGTTTGGCATATTTTAATTTATCCAGGCCACCCGTTCATCCATTACCCCAAATAATCGAGAGTTGACTCGTTAATTCGGTAGGACATTGAGATCATACTAATTGCAACTAAACATAGTTTTTAGGGGGGAAAACTCCGTTTAGTTTTTGTTCCAATAGTCAGCTCCAAATGCATTGGTTCTGTCGTTGATTATTTCCACAATGAGAAACCTAGAAATGATCTGTTTGACCTTTCTTTAAATCTTAGCCTCGTCTCGAAGCTACATCTGCAGGACGTGTTGCGGAGCCTGAGAAGAGCATTTAGGCCGCCACAGGGCTTTACATTTAATTGCATATTCCATTCATTCTTAATTTTGGAGCTTTCGTGACTGCAGGAATTATTCTTTGGTTCTTTCGGTAAAGTCACGTATAAAGAAAAAATAATAAATTAAATAATAACATACTGCGACGTTTCGATTGCAACACGAGCAATCATCATCAGGTATAAAAGAAATAGCAACAAAAATCTAACCAGAAAACTATAGACAGACATATAAGCAGACAGACATCATATTTAAAGCCCCGTCACAGAGACGACCTCTCTCTTTGTGCCGATACGTGTTCTCTCTCTGTGTATCTTTATGATGTCTGTCTGCTTATATGTGTGGCTATAGTTTTCTGGCTAGATTTTTGTTGCTATTTTATACCTAATGATGATTGCTTGTGTTGCAATCGAAACGTCGTAGTATGCTATTATTTAATTTATTATTTTATCTTTATACATGACTAAACCGAAAGAACCAAAGAAAAATATTCCATTCATGTTGCACTTTAGACTTTTAACTTGTTGGTGTTACCATCAGTGGGCTGTTTGATGAAACTTCTGCCATTTGCAGTTAATACCAACCCAACATGTGGTTGAGAATGTTATTTGAAAACAAAAATGTTTGTTAAATGGGGGGGTGGGAAAGTTTACTAAATGAAAACTCTTAATGTTAGCTGTTGTACTAACTGCTAATTATTGTTACAGATTTAATGTTTAAAAGTGTTTACTGCTAATTGTTTTATAAAGCAGAATAAACGTTTTGAAGCTCATGTATTGTATTTGTGGACTGACAAATGCTTTGTTTAACAATTATAATATTGATACAAAATGTGCATCCCTTTATCAATCCAATGCTTGGTGAAGTCCTTCCCATGCCTTTCAGTCAAGGGGATATTTCACCATGCTGATCAGTGCAGACTGGTGAAGGGGTTGGTGAACCACCACGATCAGTTCACTCGCTGCTGATGTTAACCATAGCCATGAATTCAACTTGTCGTGGCGTTCATAGCGCGTTGCACTTCATGCACCACCGCTCTTCTGTTTAAAGTGGATGTGAAATGGTATTTTACATCCCCTACTCTGCAAGTGTTTTTTTTCCCGGTCAGGCTACGTGTTGAGCATTCCCCCTCAAGCTTTGCGTCATGCGCTGCTGTGAGCATCTTCAGGACCGTTGGATGCCCGCAGCAGGACGTGGAAAAAACGTTATGAGAATAAATGCCCGACGCTCATCCCTAGCTTGGATTACAAGCGACGGTGAAAACTTTCAGAATCTTACATCATTAACCGGTGTGTACGACTTGCCCGAGTAAGGTACACGTAGCTAACACTGGGAGATGGCAACAGAACTTTTTATGGTATAATTTAAGCATATTTACCTCTTCCTAAATCACATTTGTTTTACATTTCCAATTTGATATTATTGGTACCGTCATTAAGAGAACCGTTGTTGCACGATATATGAACTGTGGACAGTTGAAAATGTTGAGCCTCGGGTGAGTTTTGTTAATTCGAGTTTATAATTGAAGGGGTTTGCAGCTAAATTATATGGCTTAATTGACTGTGCCTATGGCTGTGCGATTTCAATCTACTGTTTCCTTACATTGATTTTACAAGGAAATTAACTTGTCACTTATAACTTTTCTATGCAGTAAATGCTGCAGCACAAGATGACGTGCACAGCTGTATGCCAGTGAACACCAACAGTTAAAAATTTATGGTTTACATTTGTGAGGTGCCACCAAAAGTTTTGAGAGCACTGGCAATTGTTTCCATCAATGTTTGCTAAATGTAAAGATTGAGCTTTATACATGTGCATGTGTTTACCCTATGAGTCTATCAATGCATTGATTAATGTCGGTTTGTAATCTTAAAATAGTTGAATTGTGCTTTTTTAAACATTTAATCTCTTTTTTGCATGTGTATATAATGGTTTACATGACTCATACAGCCACTGCCCGATGCTGCATTCACCACATTTAAAAATAATAGGTTATTGACTCAAATCGTGATCCTGAATTGTAATAATTAGCCCTTGTGGCATTGTGAGAGGCGTTTGGATTGACACGCTCATGGTTTAATTTATTACAAAAAAAAATGTGGTCGCTGGTAAACTGAAATAGGTGGCAGGTGACTCGTAGCCACGTCCTTAGTGAGATGTATACTTGATTTGGTATGCCGGGTGTGGGAATTCTGGGTTGCTTAAATTCAGCCCTGGTTACATCTCCAAAGCACACTATGAATATACCTTTGTAGATTGGTAACTTTGTGAATTCTATTTGCTATTACAAAACCTGAATCAGATAAAACAATCTTCACTTCAGCTTTTCCATCCTCTGGTGACATCGTGTGGTTGACACGGGCCCTGGTGCACGGAATTAAATGTGGGAGGGTGGGCCCTGTCAGATTTCCCTCTCCTCGGCACCTGGACCCTTTCGGCTCACTGGCCTTGGTGTAGTTGCACCGCCTACATACACACTTCCATGGTTATGCCCACTGCTCTGGATGGACTAACAGAGGTGTAATTTGGATAATTTTTTTGCCAACAGTGGTATAGCTGTTAGACTGTTCTAACTTAACATTCCTACCTCCGTCTCCACCTTGTAATTAGGCTTGGCTGCGTATGGCTCACCCCTGCAGGGCGTTGTTAATGGGGCCCACAGAGGAGTTTGGGATGAAAAGGGGCGCATTGTACATTGTACCAATGCAGCATTGAGGAAATGACAGGAGAATTGGCTTTTATTTGTAATTGTGTGGGTCCCTGTGTGTTTTTTATGGGCTTATACTGTAATGCTTTTCAGGAATATATGTCCTATTTACAAACTTGGCCCTTTGTCAATCCACTGCCGTGTCAGTCATGGGGTTTGTTTTGCCAAATGTCACCACGTTCAGTGGTGGTTGGCGAAGTGGCGGGGGGGGGGGACTCAAGGCCGTTATCATTCACCGCTGATATTAACCATGACTGGAAATCGAACCCGAGCCGCTGTGTTTATCGTGAAATGTGCTAACTATTACAGAGCTGCAGTATAGCCGCAGTAAGTGCAGAACCAAATTTAAGCTAAGGGGAGGTGGGTTTACACGGTCATTAGTGACCAGGCTAAGATTATCAACTCGCCACTTGAGAACCCAGCTTAATTACAGGCGGCTGCCGGGATTTTAAAACCAGAATCTCACTGGTGTACCAGCTTGGCACTGTGTCTTCTGAGCCACCTGACCACATCAAGTAAATAATCTAGTTAATGTGCACTGAATGCACGCTTGCATCGCGTGTGATGTAACCACGTTTGGAGAGGGCTCGTGAATGGAGTTATGTTGATAGCATTGGTGTCACTGCCAATCGCTGGCAACTAAAATAACCACGAGTGCATTGCATTAGCTGCTCATTTCGAAAAATTTCCACGACTTTGTTCATGTATTATACGCAGCGATTTAACTTGCAGTAATGATGTGTTCACATTGTATGCTAATCACTGAAAAATATTTTTCATAACTATCCCCTGAAGCCCATCTAAACATCATGTTACGTATATTCTGGTCAAGAGATGTCAATTCACCACTCATGTATTGCAAAGCACCATTGTTAAAATGTCATACCGAGCTGGAATACATTTTTACGTTCATGCTAAAACGCGCATAGAGCTTTCATCACTTTTGGCAATCCAACCGCAAAGTTGGCAGTGTGATCCACAGAGACATTTTTTTTCTTTAGCTGTAGGAAGTGTGACTGCTGCACATTGGCACAAAGACGTTACTGTATGCGGATCCTGGAGCAATGGGGAAACGGGGTCCCCCCTCCTCCCTTCTCTCCTCCCCTTCCCGCCCCTCTTCCCAACTTTCTCCCAATCGGTTTTCCGCCCACGACCCTCCCAATTCACACACACATGTGGCCACGGGCAGAGCAAACAAAGGGAGGCAACCTCTGCTCGGTTTGGACTGGGACCGCCTGTCTGCTTGCCTTGGCAGCATTGCCGTTAAGCACTGCGTGTAGTGTGCCATGCACGCTGCTCATCTGGATTTGTAAGCGATTAATATTTTTCACAAGCATTTCTTGTTTATGATTTTTTTTATTTAAATCAGGGAAGCCGTGAGTTGTTTTTGCCGTCGGGATTCCACAGGTAAGAGCGCGTACGGAAACAGGACGGAATATGTTGGTGCTGTAAATTTGTGTGAATTAATGCGCATAAGGTGGATGGTAATCTGAACTCCATGCGAACAAGTTTGGGCAAAACCAGCCTTTCTATTTAACATTAACTGTTTCACCTAAGAGCAAGTTGACAAATTGGTGATGCATTGGCAATGGTGCACACTGTGGCCTTAAGAGGAGAGATATAGTAAAAGAAAAAGTAAGAACTACTTGATCACACTACTGAATTTATGCACTGTAATCTACTTTTAATCAAAATGTCTCGTTGCCCCAACTTTTCGCATTAATTTTTAACGAAACGGTAACGTGCTTTTTTATTGAATAAGTACCGTAAATATAGTTTGGAATCTTATACTTTGGGCTTTTTTAGTATTTTTTTTTACATTGTGTGTTTTTATTTATTTAAATGCAATGCAGGGTTGCGACTATTTGCACCGCTGCAAGCTGTACTGCATGGAATGTTGAACGCTGTAATTTTCTTTGCGGCCCATGTGTTATCTACTTATCTGACGCAGTTAACCTTTTGGCCGAGCGGCCAAAAGGGATTTGCTTGGTTCATGTGGTTTGGCTTCAAACGACCGAACGTTCAAATTGCCCCCACCTCTGCCCCCCACGATGAGATTAGCTAAATAGAAGAGTGCTGAATGGCACATGTCAAAGTTACTTTCATGTGATAATGATTACCCAGGAAATTGTACTTTGGCAAGGTGACCCACATTTCAAGCAAATTACAAGACTGTGAAAATATATATTACAGTGATTTGATACAGCCCTGAACTGGTGGTGGAAATTCCGCATTCCTATGGCAGGAGGAGCAAGTCTATTTTAGACCACCTGCTGTTGACTTCCCCACAAAGTGTTACTTTATCGATCCGGAGTGATGATGGGCTGAGTCCAACCCCAAACCTGGATTTGAACTCGCAACCTTTAGCTTGCAAGCCTCTCGCCTGCCCAATGAGCTACCTGGCCGGACCGGATTTATATTGCAATTTTAAAAAGCCATCTTGTACAATATAAATCTGCAGGCCATGTAAATGTTAAGCGCAACCATGTTTAAGTCATAATCGCATTGACCATCTTCTTAAGCGGTGCTAACTAAAGTCTGGCAGACTTTGACGAAGCAGCATTTTTAATTGCCTAAGATATGTAAACATCCAAACAACTGACGTGGGTTTCGGCTGACAACGTGATGGGCCCAAAGACTGTAATAGAACCGCATTGACATGCACAGCCCCTTCTTGTCAATCCATTGCTGGATGGGAGCTTCCCCCAGGCTGTGTGAGTCGTGAGGGTTATTTGACCATACTTCAGGCTGGTCGTGCCGTTTGGTGAAGGCGCGGAGCGTTGACATGGGAGTTTAGAAATACGGTACAGTAATATCACAGTTTGCGTCGGGGATGTGTTCCTGAAAGGTGCGACGACAAATATCGAGATGACGTAAATCGGAGCGATTTACTGGGTAGCTGGAGGCGAATGCTGAGAGGCGACGGATACGACAAAGGACAGACGATTCTGTCGGCGACGTGTGGGTGGGTTGAGGCGATGCAAATCAGGTAGTGCTATTAATAAAGCGACGACGTATTTGCGATACGCTGTAAAATGAGATGTAAATTAGAGTGTTGCTGTACAACAAATCTGTATAAATATCTTAATTTCCTTGCAGGTCCTAGAGAAGCGAGCTGTCTTAGTGGGTGAGCAGGCTTCTCGCTCATCTGGAGGAAAGGGGTGAGTGGCCACTGGTCTCCTGGTCATCGCTGCTTTCCACCCTTTGGACAGCACTGTTAATTTTGCTCGTGAAATGAGTTAACAAAATATATTATCAACAAAGCATTTTTTTTAAGTCAACCATTCATATGACTGGACGAAAGCCATCCAGCGTGATGGTGACTGGCTACCTGCCAAAGGCCAAACCATAACTGACGAGATGAAAATGAACATGTGAATGAAGACGCAGACCAAGGTTTAGTTACGGTATTAGCGGCAGCAACACATAAATAAGTATAACCCGTAAAAACAAAGTTTTTCACTATAAATCCTTTATATGCGTGGCGGCTAGAGTCCTCTCGTCCTCTGGTTTGAGATGGCTGCCACCTATGGGTCAGATGATTGTCTGCCAGTATTAAGCAATTGGTAATTAAATATTTTAAAAAAATTCCCTAAACAGTGTAAATTTTTTTAGGAAAACAAATTTTCACGAACATTAATTGTCTCGCACAACGAGTCTGTGTGCAAAATGTCAGCTCGATTGGATCACGTGAAGTGGGTTAAAAAACGACCGAAAGATTTGCACGGTCGCAAGCAAGCACGCAAGCAAGCAAGCGAGCGAACTTAATATAAAGGATTTAAAAAATACCAAAAAATTGAATTGGCCTATTCATATAAATACAAAGATTTTATGAGTTCACTGATTGGCTGACCTGATAGTATAGGGGAACTGAAATATATCCCTCATACATTTAACAACTAAGCATGGACAACATTTTGACTTCTTTGGTTGACTTGACTAAGAGAATGACAATTAAATCCACACACAGACTTTAACATTCCACAGATTGTCATTGAACAATTTAAGACTGTGCCAAATTCTAAACATTCTGACAACACTGGCTTGGGATCATCTGCAACACTGGGCATTCACTTCTAGCTGTGCTGACCTAAAGGTGGCACGCGTGGGGCACTATTTAATGACGGTCTATTGCCGCGTTCCTGTGAGCCACGGCTACACGGCTTGGGAACTTACTGGAGTCTCTCGATTTTTCCAACTCTAATTGGTTGACAATTTGGGCAGAAACCTCAATTCTCTGGGCCAATTTTGCTTAACGCGTGTTTATCCTGAATTCCCAATGTCCAAATTGGAGCCGAGTATAAATACGTCACCAAACATGTTACGATCGAAGCTGCTGTTGGTGGTGGGAATTATTGAACTTGCCATTGGACATTAAATGCATAATTTTGTCAGCAATTGCAGCCTTGACCTTTTACTCGCAAGCTTTTCGGGGAAAGCTTTTCTCGGAAGTGTTTCTGGGAAAGACCAACCCAAGCCTGTTGTGATGGCTCGACTTGACACATCATGGAAACGCCACTTTGTGTTTACCATCCCGATCTGTCCTCAATCCCAAGTTGAGGCCACGCATGTTCAGTCAACACATTTCTATATATTTTTTTTACTCTTAAAAACTATACTGTTAGTTTTTTTCGGTAAAGTCACGTAGGTAAAAAATACTAAAAATGAAAACAACTAAATTAAATCACAAATTAAATAAATAAAAATTGAAAACAACTAAATTAAATCACGACGTTTCGGAAGCAACACAAGCCTCCGTCTTCAGGTGGAACCGCCACAGCAAAATTACTGTAGTGAATAAAGAGAGCTGTTAACAGCAGCTGTGTTGCTACCGAAACGTCGTTATTTAATTTAGTTGTTTTAATTTTTTATTTTACTTATTTAATTTGTGATTTAATTTAGTTTTCATTTGTATTCTTTTTTACCTACGTGACTTTACCGAAAAAACCAAAGAGTATGGATCTTTGCAGTCACGAAAACTTCAAATCTAGAGTTAGATTGAAAACTCATTTAAAACTGCTTTTTGTGTTTATCGTTTCCCCGCACCTCCGATTTGCATGGTTGGCTACTTACGGTGCGAAAGAAGTTCAACATACATTACAGTGACTATTTGGTCTCAGCAATTTGTCAACCGCAACCCACGTGAGCACGTTTTTCGGATGTTTTTGTTTGGCATTTACAAATGCTTCTTTGAAAAAGCCAAATCTAAAACGTTTCATAGTAGCAATCGGTGGTACATAAGTGCTGGTATACGACGGTACGTCTTACCGGCACTTGTCAGAACACCAAGTGTTTGTGTCGGCACTATTCACAACGGTTTCTATCCCTATGCCACGATGTTTCTGCAGAGGGTTAATGGCAGTTAACATGGTGTTGCAGGACTATGCCGAGACATAACTTTACATTATGTCCACTGGTTATCGTCGTTTACCAAAAATGATATCTGAAGCTCAGGACAACTCGATTGCACTAGCCGACTTGAGTTGTCTGCCCAAGGACACGAGGTATATTTGCAAGAGAGTCTCTTAAGGATTTAGATGGGTGACTGTGTGTGAATCTTGGTTGGTGTGGGGAGAGCCCTCTACACTAAATGGGGGCCCCGTGCAAACTGGGGGAAGAACGATCCTAAAGACGGACAGAGAGAATGGGGAGAGACGGCGGGACACGGAGACGTTGATGCCGAGAGCAACGGGCAGAAAGGGGCATGAGAGACAGACACGGGCGTGGAGAAAAAACTACACGGAGTCTTGGAGAGTCACACTAAGGGACATAGGGACACAGAGATAGCTACAGATGTGACGATCGGCGAATAGAGATAGGGACACCACAGAGATGGACACGGGCATGGAAAAAGAATCATGGAGGGAGACAAAAAAAAGACGGAGATACTGAGAGATGACCATGTCAAGAGACACAGATACACCTTTTGGTGGGCCTCTCCTTTCAATATCCCCTGCTCATCGTTGCCCGGCTCTTGGGCCCCCTGCGTGTCTTGTGTGTGTTGCACTTGCAAAGATGGCATTGGATGTGGATGCAGGACACACTGACAGCCGTGTGACCCCAGTGTCCAAGTCGTGGACGTGAATATCGATCGATATCTGTGCAGTATGGAGTACTGTTGACTTTTTCTTTATTACTGCAGCGTAGCCACAATTCTGTATGAACTTGTAAATAGGGCAGACTACGTTGCCTAACGGCCTGAAGACCCTCGGACAAATGCCTTTGGCGCTGGGTCACGCACTGGACCGGTGCTTTGCGCGCATGCGCTAAATAAATCGAATGCCTTTTCTTAAGAATTCATTCAATCCATGGCTGCTGAATGGCACTTATTGAACACGTTTTCTTGAGCATCGATACGTTTTTTTCCTGCGGTCCTACTGCCCAATGGAACAAACCACACTCGATTGTACAAAGACGAATGTCAAAGATCCCCCGTATAGCCTTTAACAGACTGTTGGGGCAAGTGCTGTTAGCGAGTAGCACCTATGAAGGCCGGCACGGCACACGAGGGGGTGGGTGGCCAACAACCACGCCCGACCACCTTTGTCTTCCCAGTGGCGATGTCTACGCACCGCACCAGGTACTCATTTGAGGCCGAGCCGACCTAGGGGTGGCCCAAGACCGGTTCAGATAATCGTCACTGGTGTTGGCCATGAGTGGGAATGGAATTCTGGTCGCCAGGTTCTAAGCACCGCACGCTAACCGCTGCACTACCACTCCCCTAAATTATACACACGTACGGTATATGTATATATGCCACTGCTATAAGCTGCAAAACTTCCGATAGGATCAAGGAACGCTGTCCCACATGTGACGGCTGTTTTCACTTAGCGTCGATTCACATCCGTCTGTATAATTAATAGCACGGCCATGGGGTCTTTGTAGTTTTACTGCTCTCCCGGATGACACAGTTCTTTTTTTTATAGATATATAAACTGCGAAGAGCTTCAAACGTTTACATCGATGCACGTGTGTGTGTATGATATTACCGTGTGAGGGGGTGGTTTAAAAGAAAAAACGACGAACTCTACGGGAAGAGGTTTGGCCGACCTGACCGAGTCTAATAAATAGAAAAATTACCCCTCAATTTATTGACTCGTTCGTATTTTTTTTTTACATTAGTTTTTTTGTCTTTCGATTTAAAGCTTTCGTGACTGCAGGGATTCATCTTCTTGGTTCTTTCGGTAAAGTCACGTAGAAGGGAAATAATAATATAATAAAAATAAAAACATAATAAAATAATTCTCACGACATTTCGGCCACAACGCAAGCAGCCGTCCTCAGGTGAAGAACAGGTCTGTCGGAAAGACTGCGTCAGGCGCGTTGTGGCCAAAACGTCGTGAGAATTATTGTATTATGTTTTATTTTTATAATTTTATTATTTCCCTTCTACGTGACTTTACCGAAAGAACCAAGAAGATTTTTTTGTCTTGTTTCCGGCCAGATGGCTCAGCGCTAGGAGTGAGCGGAAAGGTTTGCGAATTGAAATCCTGGTTGTGGGTCGACCGGCCTGTCTTGCATCTGGGGTATAAAAAAACGAGCACTGATTTGTTTAGGAAAGTCTACAGTGGTTGTCCCAATATTAGACTAACCCCCCCGCAATAGGAATATGGAGTTTCCACCACTGGCTCAGGGCTGTGAAACATTTCGAGCATGAGATCACCGACTGTCTTGTTCAAATAGAATTGTTTATTTCTTTAACCTCATTTGCCAAAAAATGTGTCAGCTCCCCGCCAAATAAGTTGCGATATTTGTTTATAATTTACATGAATTGTAAGCATTCGATTCTCACACCCGCATCTCAACTCGTGTATCATCAGCATCTCCAATTAGTACGTTGGACTACGTACGGTGCAAAAGAAGTTCAACATATATGCACTTTAACCAAATGTAACCGTTTCATTGTGACTCGCCCACTGTTTTCCAGCAGGTGCCTGATCCACACTTCACAAACAACAACTCCACAACTTCTCTCGACACCATGACCGCTGCCAATTCCAGCGCAAGCTCGTCCCACCTCCTCGCGCGCAGAACGGCGCTGGCGCTGCTGCTGCTGCCGCTGCTGCTGTGCCTGTCGCTGCCCTCGCTCCCTTCCCTGGCTCAGCCAACCTCCGACTGCTCGGGGGTCGCCTGCCCCGAGCTCGCCAACTGCCTGAAGGACGTGCTAGAGCACGGCCAGTGCTGCCCCACGTGCCTCCTCCGCGGCTGCCCCTGCGAGGGCCACCGGCTCCGGCGGTGCATCGACGCCGGCTACAGCGCCGGCTCCGTCCCCGAGGGCGTCTCGGTCTTCATCGGCGGCGTCCCGGGCGGCGCGGGCGGCGGCGCCGACGTCATCGCGCCGGCGGGCGAGGAGTGCCTGTGCCCGCTTGGCGGCGGCGCGCTGGGCTGCGTGGCGCTGTCGGCGCCCTGCCCCGAGCTGCCGCCCCACTGCGTGGAGACGGTGCAGGGCGCTGACGGCTGCCCGCAGTGCCTGCACCTGGGCTGCCTGGGTGACGGGCGCGCCTACGCCGCCGGACACACGGTGCAAGCGCCCGGGTGCCGCCTATGCCATTGTCCCGCGTCGGGCGGGGAGCTGCTGTGCTACCCACTGCCCGACTGCGAGCCGGCGCTGTGGGACACCGCCGGCGCCACCGGTGCCAGCTTGTCAGAGCAGCAGCAGCGGAGAGCAACCGGGAATGGAGAAGAAGACGGGGATGGGGGCGATGACGCCGGCAAGCGCGGTGACGTCAGGCAGCTGCAGTACGAGGTGCGACCGTCGCAGTGGAACGGTGCGCCGGAGGTGGTGCCGGGACCAGCGGAGAGAACCGGCGAGTCCGACGAGGTGGTGGAGGCTAACGAAAATGAGACTGCGGCGGTGACGGCGATGCACGGAGAGGGGCGGCCGGCAGGGGCGGCCATGGGAAAGGCCGTCGAGAGAGACAGGCTGCAGCAGGCGGGTGAGGAGGCGGTGGGGCGCGTGGAGCCGCCACTGGCTGGTGCAGGAGGAGAGGCCGGTGGCGTTGGACGAAATGGCTCTGAACCGGTTCCTCTCACCAGCCAGACCGACGCAGGTAAAGGCCACTTTGTTGATTTTTGTCTGCTGGGTGGTGTATCTCGGTTTGCATGGGGTCCTGGTTCAAGCAATGAAACTGGGGTGGAGGCCCTGTTCATTTTCCACATCACCTCTTTGTAGCCCAAAACTTGTTCGCCTGCGGCCCATGTGCGGTTGCACCGCCTGCACACTTCATGGCTGTACCACTCTCTGCCGCGGTGGTACATTTTTACGAACTATCTTTGTTAAGTGTGAGTGCTCGCTCATTGGCGTAGGGTTTCTCTTGGGCATTCTGGTTTCCTTTCTCGAGCGAAATCTGCTTGATTCAAACCATTATCAATTGACGAGCAGCATGACCTGCCAATCGTAACAGATTTGTGACTTGGGAAAATAACGGAGGCAACTTATGAAGGCATATGGTTTCAGTCTTGTTTATTATGTGCACACGTTTGAAATAAATAAAACGTCGATTCTATCCTGAGAACATAAAATAATATTGCCACCCACATAGTCTCCCACCCCTAACATTTTACTAGGTGGGTCAGAGTGCTGAGCTGACAACACTAAAACGTTGGGTTCAAATCCAGGCAGCCGCCTGTAATTAAATTGGGATCTCAAGTGTAGGGAGTTGATGCTCTCGGCCTGGCCATTAATTGGTTGTACAACAAACCCCCCTCGTATCTTAAATTTGGTTCTGCATTTACTTTGGCTACATTCATAGTTCTGTACAAGCACACTGCACTATAAACCCTCGAGATCAGATCTGCTTCTGCTCTCAATTTGGATAATTTTCCAGCTCTAAAAAAATGTTAATGTCAGATTGGCTTTCGATTTAAAGCTTTCGTGACTGCATGGATTTATATTCTTGGTTCTTTCGGTAAAGTCACGTAGAAGGGACAGCCCTCTTCTTCACCTGAGGACGGCTGCTTGCGTTGAGGCCGAAAAGTCGTGAGAATTTTATCTTAGTGTGTTACATTTTTATTATTTCCCTTCCACGTGACTTTACCGAAAGAACCAAGAATATGAGATTGGCTGTCATGCAATAAACGCTACTCTCAGTGGTAGAGTGCTGCCACCAACTCTGCGGACCAGAGGTCACTTCAGAGGTAGCTCATTAGCATCCGCTTCTGTGGGTCATTCTCTAGCGCGAAGGGTTACAATGCTATACCTTCTCCCCGCACCTACGATTAGCGCTGTTGGCTACGTACGGTGCGAACGAAGCTCAACGTACATACATACCGAGGGTTGCGAATAGATTCTTGGTCTCGTGAATTGACGCCGATCGCTTATTCAATAACGACGGTCGTGAGAACGCTTTTTCCTTGAGGTTATTTTGTTGCGCAACGCGCACCAGCGAGATCTGACCGTCTTGCCGGTGTCTTCCTTCAAAAGCCCCTGCGATTGCCTTCGGGGGGATTTCATGAACGAGCGCTTTGTGGATTAAAAACGGGGGGGGGGGAGTGTTCGCCGGGTTCCACGGGCGGTGGTAAAAATAAAATAAACTAAAGAGCACTCGGACAGGTGTTGCGTTGCTTCGGTTTTAAGAGTGCCTTTGAAATGCCGGTGGCTATCGCCCCACAATATCACCTTGCGAGCAGATGTTGCTGTGATGTGTTTTAAGTGGCGAACGCGTTTGTTTGCCCGTCGGGTTTCCATGCCCGTTGCCCGAGCTCAAAGGAGACGGAGTGGTGAGGACTCGTCATGTATCAATACGCGTAAACCGATGAGGCGTTTGTTGTTAGCCAGTGGTCTGCATTTACCCCCATTGTATGTTTCAAAGTAACGAAAACAAGTGATTTTCTGTTCTATAAACTGAAACTCAACTATTTTTATTTAGCCACGGAAGGCCCACTGAGCTCTCTCGAGCTCTTTTTCAGACGCGACCTGGCTATCACAAGTGATAGCCAAATGAAGTGGCTTGTCATCACGTGGAAATGTTTATCAGCCAAATACTCTTAAACGCATGTTTCTAAACGTGGAGGGGAAAACCGGAGGACCTGGAGAACAATCCACGCAACCACGGGGGAGAGAGACGCGCAAACTCCAAATATACAGCAGGAGTCATGGTCGAGATGGAACCCACGACCTCCTGTATACCAGGCGAGGTAGTTAACATCTCGCCACTGCGGTGGCACCAAATGAGCGGTGAGGCCTTGGCGCTCATTTCCCGTATACAGCCACGAATCAGTGGTGAAAATTCCACATTCCTGTGACGGGGGACGATTCTCTTCACATGACAACCACTGTTGACTCCCCCCCCTACAGAGTGGCGCTCATTAGGGATGATGGGCTGCGAGTCACAGTTGGTGGCCTTAGTTTGATTCCTGGCGACGGCTAATATCAGCGCCTAATGATGTCTGATCCGGTCAAGCACTGGACCCTTTTACCAATCCACTGGTTTTAGCATGGTCAAACAACTATCCCGTGACCGACACGGCATAGGAAGGCCCTCATCCAGCAGTGGAGTGACAAAGGGCTGTAAACCATTGTTATAGTACTGAATAACAGGCATGTGGCTGTGGTGAAGTCGTTAACACACTGGACGTTCAATCCAGAGGTCACCGGCTCATTCTCCCGACGCAGCAGTTCAAACAACGGTGCAATTTTCTTAAAATCCCCCCCATCTCTGTCCACACAGCAGTATAAATTGTTACACCATGGTCGATCGAGTTTGGTGGGATTAAGTGTGGCTTCTCCCACCTCTCTTCTAAGATGTGTGACCAGCATGGCAACAAAAATACCGTCTTGAGCGGCTCATTTTAGTAGAGGGCCCCCCCCCCCCATCAGCAGTGGCGTGAAAGAGCAATTGCGGGGCTGCTCCTTTACCACAGATTGCCTTCACGGAATAACAGATGGAATGGTTTTACATGAATTGTTTGCTGCTGCTGATGCTGCTGCTGCGTTGGCAGTTAAGTACAATTAACAAACAAACACAAAACGCGACACATTTGTCAATAACACGTGGCCATAAAAGAAACAAGTATGTAATAGGCGACGTTTTGGGCAATGGCCCTTCGTAGCACAAAAATAATTTTTTTATTTTTGCCATGGCACAATTGCCCGATGCATGTCTTGTGGTAGAGCTATTACAACAAAAACACTCATGGACTTAATAAACAAACTCGAACTTGTTTATACGTGCACTTAGAGGAGATCGCATGGAAATTAAAACGCGTGGGTTGGGCTCATTTGGAAATTAGTTTAATCTGCAGCGATCAAGACCCCTTCCAGTGAAATATCCCGGCCGGAAAGCAGCGAATCGACACAAAGGCGTTTTGTTTACGGCTTTGCGTTCGTGGGCAGCCTGCAGATTGCGATCTCGCAGCGAGCACAGTATAAATGTGTCGCTGTGAAAGCAGTACAATATGCGCGGATTTCGTGCCGCTTCTGGGGAACGCGACTGCACGGGAAAACAGCGGGCACGTCTCGTTATATATACGATTGAGAAATAATGAAGGCGATCAGTCGTATCCGGAGGGGAAAAGGGAAGAGCCCTTGAGCCTTCTTGGCATGTGCAGGCTTTAGATGGTGACTCAAGACTCGCGTAGACAAACCCATACCCAGGCATAGAGACCACATTCAACTTGGATTTATATTTCGTGGAAAGCCAACCCGCGTCTCCAGATGCTGCACAGAAACAGTGGGCAATAGTTAATTTATTCTAGGGGGGTAAAGGATTAAAGAAGGACTTGAACTTGGGGCCGCCGGTGGCGGCTATGCAAGTGACCTATACAGCAGCACTGTGGAGGTGAGAGAAGGTGAATCGCACACAAACCTGTTGAAATTTCCTTCCTATGGGCATCGAGGTGGTACCATACCATGGCTGACTGGAAAAAGGCAGTACAGCAAACAGCGCCGCCGTGGCAAGATGTTTACGACCTCTCCTTGTATATAGGAAGTCTTGGGTTCATTCCTGACCCTGACACCTGTATATTTTGAGTTTGCATGTTCTCCCCGTGATCGCGTGGATTTTCTCCTGGGTGTTCTGGTCTCCTCCCACGTGAAAAATACTCTTCCAAAAGGAATTGGTCAAACATCCCAGTGCAGGACCCTCTTGAAAGAGTGTCTTGATACACAGTGAGGCTTTCCTGTAACAGTACAGGCCAGTAATCGCAATTAAAGCTAATGTATGCAGACATATGCTTCAATAATTATCATCGTTATAATTATTTATAAAGTGAGGCCAAGGAATTGTTTTTGTCGAACTGATGACATCGCTGATTTTAGATTGGCAGGTGGGTAGCAGATCTTTAGGTAGGTATATATGTTGAACTTCTTTCACACCGTACGTAGCCGACCGTGTTAATCGCAATGTAAACGCAGTTGATATATGTGCCTTTTCTTTATTTTGCCAGGATTTCCACTTAATTCTGGATTATGCAAAAGAACGTAATCTCGTGACCGACGAGGAAATAATTAATTCTTTTTTCTTTCATTGTTTACTTAAATTTATCTTGCCTGTTTAAGGATATTTGCGTTTGGATGAGAGCCCTGATTAAATGTCTTGGCTCTGCAGGCCGACCGGGGTGACGCAGTGATAGGTCGTGAGTTCAAATCCCGGTCACGGCTTGACTCAGCCCTTCATTACCCCCAGGGTCAATAAAATAAATACCACTGTTGGGGCATTGTATAAACTATAATAAACTATTTTTATTTTACCAGGTAAGGCCCGCTATGTAACTCTTTTTCAGAAGCGACATAGCCATCACAAATGATAGCACAACGAAGTGGCTTATCATCATGTGGAAATTGATAGCAGCCAAATTATCATAATCGCATGTTGATTCGAAATGTGGAGGAATAAAACAAAGGACCCGGATGAAAATCCACGCGACCACCAGGAGAGAGATATGCAAACTCTATATATAGGCATCGTTAGAGTTGGGATCGAACCCACGGCCTCCAGCATACCAGAGGAGGTAGATAACATTTCGCCACCACGTCACCCTACAGTGGTTGTCCTCTGAACAGACTCACACCTGCCATAGAAATGTGGAATGTCCATCACTGGCTCAGGGC